CATACAGAAAATTGGTCCCATATCAATGAAGTGATAAATGGTCTTAAGTTTGGCGAGGACATATCATTTGAAGATTTTCTCTCAAAAACCAAACTTACTGAAGAAATGTATTTACTTGCTGTATCAGCCAGCTTGAAAAAAAGGACACTTTTTCTGAAACGACAGCCATCTGAAATACGAAGCAATGCCTATATTCCATTTCTGTTGAAACTTTGGAAAGCAAACATGGACTCTCAAATTTGTCTAGACTCATACGCTGTTGCTATGTACATTTCATCATACATTATGAAAGACCAGAAAGGTATGAGTGAGCTTTTAAGATCATGCTGTGAAGAAGTTGAAAGAGGAGCAAGTTCTATTCGAGATCAATTAAAAACCATTGGTAACAAATTTCTAAATTCAGTGGAAATAAGTGCCCAAGAAGCAAGTTACATTTGCCTTCAGTTGCCAATGGTTCAATCCTCGAGAGCAGTAAAGTTTGTGAACACAAGCCCTGAAGAAAACAGAGTATTTTTACTTAAACCCAGAAATGTACTTGAAACTCTTGATGATGATGATGAAGATATTAGCTGCAAGGACCAAGTACAAAGGTATTGTGATAGGCCACATTCACTTGAACATTGTACATTTGCTGAATATTCTGCATACTATGATGTTAAAACAAAGTCCATGCAGCCAACTCAAAGAAAAAAACCTTACATTCTGCGATATGTTCATTACAACAAAGAAAAAGATCCCGAGAACCATTACCGTGAACAGCTTATGTTACATACGTCCTGGAGAAAAGAAAGTAACATAAAAGGAACTCATTCTTCGTATGAAGAAATGTTCTTTACAAGACAAGAGGACATCAACCTACAAAAAGCCAAGCTTGAACCATTTTCTGAATATATTGATGAAGCTATGGATATGGTGGAAAATGAAGTAAATGAGCCCTACATCGATGATACAATTGCACCTTGTACTGAGGCAAATGAGGAGAGAGATGTAGCTATAGATGAAAAGAACAAACAGGAGCGAGATGATACCTGTCATTATTCTACAGATCAATCATGTAATATAGATAAGCAGTTGAAAGCAACCCGAGAAATGCAAGAAACAGAATATTCCCAATTAATGAGATCTTTAACAATAACGCAAAGGGGATTTTTGAATCATATTGTCCATCATCTGAAAACATGTGATACTGCAATTTACAAATTTATCAATGGAGGTGCTGGTGTAGGGAAAACACACTTAACAAAAGCTATATATCAAACTTTAACAAAATATTTCAACAGCAGGGTGTCTAATCCACCAGATGGCATATTTATTTTGGTTGCAGCACCAACTGGGAAGGCTGCCTTCCTCATAGAGGGAAATACAATCCATTCTATATTCAAGGTGCCAGCAAATCAAGGTTTTAATTATGAACCATTGACATCAGATAAGCGAAATACGCTTAGACACAAACTGCACAATTTGAAACTTTTAATAGTGGATGAGATATCCATGGTTGGCAACAATATGTTAACCTTTATTCATAAACGCTTACAAGAAATTACTGGAGTTCCTAAAGATTTTGGTGGATTACCAATTATTGCCGTTGGTGATTTTGGACAACTTGCACCAGTTTGCGATAACTGGATATTTTCTGATCTGAAAAGGGGGTATGGCTCTTTAGCTACAAACCTGTGGCATAATTTTCAAATCATGGAGTTAGTTGAAGTGATTCGACAAAAAGAGAAAACTTTTGCAGAAGCTCTTAACAGACTTCGTGTAGGGACACATACAGATGCCGACATAGAGTTATTTAGCAGTAGGTGCATTTGTAGAGACAGTGATAACTATCCACTTAATGAGCAGCACCTTTTTCTCAGTAATAAGAAAGTCAATGAACACAATGAATCTGTATATTCACTTTCTTTGTTACGCAAACAGCATTTTAAAGCATATGATGTAGTTGTTGGAGATCTATCATCTGAGCACAAATCAGCAGTCCTGCAAAGAATTCCTGATGATCCTGCAAAAACAATGCAACTGTCAAATATGTTAAAGATCTCTGTAGGACTCAAGTATGACATTTCTGTAAATATGGACGTTGAGGATGGTCTCACAAATGGTGCAAATTGTATCGTTAAAGACATTTCCTCCATCTCATCCAGCTATGCATCTGGTGTTATTTGGGTACATTTTAATGAAGCACGTATTGGCAAAATGACAAGACAGCAAAATAAGCATTTATATACACAGCTTATTGACAAATCCTGGACACCGATAATACCAATAAGTAGAGAGTTTCAAGTTGGACGAAGCAAGCATGCTCGAGTTTTACGAAAACAATTTCCCCTTCGTCCTTCTAATGGTAAAACAGTATGGAGAGCACAAGGAGATACCATGAATAAAGTTGTCATTGATTTTACCGGGAGAACAAGCAGACATGTGCATTATGTAGCACTGAGTCGTGCAACTAGCCTTGATGGCTTATTTCTGCTCAACTTTGACCCAAGCAAGATCAAAGTTGATGATCAAGTTCAAACAGAAATTGAAAGGTTAAGGAATGCTCCACAAGGAGATGAATATAATAAACTTTTACGGACACAATCAAGCTTGAAATTAGTATATCTGAATGCACAGTCACTCCACAAACATCTTGAAGATATCAATGCACATGAAGCACTTCTAAGTTCCCATATTATGATGTTTTCTGAAACAAGATTTAAAGAAAGTGATGATAAAGTTATTGACAACTTTGTAGGCGTGCATTACATTGAACAGTCTCATTTAAGACCATTCCATGGTTCATCATTGTATTATAAGACTTCTCTTCATTTAGAAACACTTATGGTGGAGAACCACAAAGGCATTGAGATAATAGTTGTAAAACTATCCACGGATATACATATTGTTGAACTATATAAACCCCCACAAATTATGGTGAAAACCTTGATTGAAGCACTGGACACAGCAAGGATAGTAACAACTTCTTTTACAAATACCATCATACTTGGAGACTTTAACATCAATGTTATGACACCTGAACATAATCTGATAATAAGCTATCTTTCCAAATATGGGATGAAGCAAATAAGTACAGGCTATACAACAGACCTTCGAACAACCATAGATCACATTTATACCAATTGCAAATCTGACAATGTCCAAGCAGGTACAGAAGAAGTGTACTACAGTTACCATAGTGCTATATGGGTTGCATTAGATTGAATTCCTGGAATTTAATCATTCAGCTTACACGCCCTACCACTGAGCTACACGAGTGGACTACCAGTATCATAAGTAACATTAATTAATCAAAAGTTCTGACCAACCAATTGATATACTTACTGTGTTTATGTTGACAGGTACTAAGTACTGTAAAATACTATGTACCATGACTTAGTGAATCTACTGGAACTACAAGCAAACCTATATATTATATCATTTAAATGGATACAAATCTGACCTTATCAATATGGGACAACTTCATCACAGTCACCATCATGCCATATTGATTTCATTTGAGGGACTTCAGTATTTAATATTTGATCCAACAGTGGTTAACATCAGCTCAGATGAAACAACAAAATGTGTAACATCAGCCAGTTGATCAACCTACTCTGATTGTCTCTACAGGTATCTTAAGATTATGGGTAATTCTGTAGATTGGGTTAATTTGGTCACACTTTATTTTGACCAAGGCAAATGGAAAAATCAACAATTTTGATCTTTAACCAAAACTTTCCTGGGAATGTTTGTCACCATAGTTTAATGGAAACTGAGATATAGGAACTATTAACCAACCCCAGGTGTCCACCAAAATAGGTATGTACCAAAATTTAAATAATTGGAAATTCACCAAATAAAATACTGTCAAAATAACCTAATCTACAGTAAGTATTTTTCCTCTATTTCTAATTATTTTGCTACAGTCATGTTTCTTACTCTGGGCAAATAATGTATTAGGTAATTAATAAAAACACAGAAATAAATTCTGCGCTAAGGGCTGATGTGAAAAAGTCAGTCCACTCTAGTGTAAATCTTCAAAAGTGTATAGACAGTACAATGTTTGTACTGTGCCAAACGATCCTGAGACTGAAACATTTCTGGCATTTGGACACTTTCAACCTCAAATGACATGAAATGTGACTCCTAGAGTAATCACCAATTTTGCATGTTTTATACCTGTATACATGTTTAGCTTTTATCAAAATTTGGTACATAGTACCAAATTATGAGACTTATGCTTATACTATTTAACTTTTGATCACTATAATATTGTGTGCAACTAGTTTTAACTTGCTTCAGATTGAACAATTTCTTTTTTCAAAATCATCTACAAGATCCCAGAAGCTCAAATCTTCAAAAACCTTCTTAAGGTCAAAAGGTATTTTCCAACTTGCTTTAAATTTACCAAATTGTTTTAGGTGGTGACATTTTGTCATGTTAATGCCTTGTATCTTCCTAATGTCATTTTAAGAAATAACTGTACACATTTGTGCATCACTTAATTTCCTACCTGCCTATTTTATTTCATGACGATCAGATTGATAGTCAGTGTTACAGCACATTAAAGAACATTACTGGTAGCCACTATTGTGCTGTATAGAAACCTGCACGTGAAACCTGAAGCATGTTGTTCAAAGTGCTGTAAAATTTTGAGTATCAGTCTGATGGTCATGAAATATGGTAGGGTGGTAGGAAATTGAATTACAGATGTGTGAAATATCAGGGAGTAATTTCTTAAAATGACAAAGATATGAAGAAAATGCAGGGTTTCCAATTTTTTTGACCACCCTGTACTAAAGTGCCTTTATTATTTTATTGTACTTTGAGTTAATGACACAAAATCCTAAATAATGGAATTATAACCTGATTTTAGAATCCTTTATAATCTGCTTAAACTTGACACAAATTTAAATGTCTATAACAATTTCTGTTAGGTTCTTATATTCATACAGATTTTGGAGAAAATGTTCGATATTCCTAATTCTTCCTTTAACTTTTTTTTTGTCTTTTTACAGGAATGAAAGTAGGAGGGAAAAGGAAGTTGACAATACCTGCCCCACTTGCGTGAGTAAAATAATATTCAATTGAGTGTATAATTCAACAAAGATACAATAGTCAATCTCCATTGGGCACCCACCCTCAGGATAATTTTGCTAATATTTGAACTTCATGAATATTATGTAAAATCAAATGGAATAAATAAATCATGAATTTTGTAAGCAAAAATCAGTTGCAAACAGTTTTCAATACGAGATCTCAGAAACCATGAAACTATTTGATCATGTGATGGTTTGTAATTGCCATATGGGAATCAGGGCTCAATGGCGAAGATAACTGTTTACATTTACATGTATCAACGTAGTCTTGCATCTGGTCTCTGGTTCCCCTCATGAAATTTTCTACACAGAGTGTTTAAAATTGTATGTAAGGAAAATATGCCAAGGGTTTTATGCAAGACTAGGTATGAGTAAGAAATTCAATTTGAGACATGTTTGTATTTCAGGTACGGCAAGAATGGGGCTCCCCCAGATATTCCACCCAACAACACACTTGTCTTTGATGTCGAGCTAAAGTCAGTCAGTTAACCCACTACATGGACCTCTCACGTACAGAACTTGAGAACTTTTAAACACTTTGACAGTATTTGTGAATGGGACGTTTCAATGGAATGACCAGATACAGTGCCAGTGGATCATGTGTTTTATGAATAATTAAAAAATCATTTTAAGAATGATATGCAATATATTTTTTCATAATGATGTGTTTGTCTCATGTTTATCATTGATATATAAGGAGGTGCATCTTTCTATAGTTGTTGTAAATCTTACTTTGAGTGCCTAATGCATCACATGTGTTGATAAACAAACGATGCGATAAACATACAATGCGATAAACATACAATGCGATAAACATACAATGTACTGAATTAGTTATTATCGATAATGTTTTAAGGACTTTTTGTAATAAAATACAAATGAATTGTAGGTATCCTTTTAGTATTATATGTTTTTATTAGCTCATATGGTACGCTATTGTAGTCATCCATGAAGAGAAGTTTTAGACATTGTGTACTCTTACTATTAAGTTGTAGAATCCATCAATTATTATCTAATTTGATGTTATAATATCATCATGAGTTGTTTGGCTAATTTTTGAGATAATGAACTTAAAAAATAACCCCTTCATTCGAATTTGGGAACACGAATGAAAATACTTTACTGTGAGTAGTTTTCTCAAACCACTGTTGTGTCATTTGAAAAGAAAAAATCATCAAAAGAGATGCTCAATCCATATATCAATTACCAAATGGTATTGCACGGAGCCAAGAAGGGAGAAGTGGTTATGGGAAAAAGTGAATGACCAACGATAAGTGCGACGGTGTATCCCTTTACTCAGGACTAAGCCCTACTTAAACTGGTAAGTACACCCCCTCCAAAAAGCCAACCATAAGTTTAGTGTTCATTCACAGTCTACCATACTTTTGACTTCAGGATAAGAATTTTTCCTAGTCAACATGTTCGTTTTACCATGAGTGAGTGAGTCGTTGCATGTCACTAGAATCCAAAAATATTGGATCCAAGAAAGCCCTTGCTTGGACGATATAAACCAACGTGATATTGTGCTCACCAGCTACATTTCATGCGTTCATCAAATGTGGTTTGAAATTACCTACCCATAAAACTAATATTTTAAATGTCAATTTAGATGAAAATAAAACTGTTACCCATAACATTTATATCGTTTTTCATTCATCGTGTGGTTTAAGCCATAATGGAATGCTAATGGATTTTATGAGATATCGAAGCCTCAACTAGGATGTAACTGAAAAACAATGTTCAATTTAATAGTATTGGATACCGCAAACGTGCAGTAGTTCAACCAGGCACATGACATTGACTGAGGAACTCAATAAGCAGGAATGACAGATTGTTAGTTCTAGAATTTATATTTTCATGTACACATATATCCAGAAAGCACAGTTAGTCTTAAGTCTGCTATACTCTCAGAACACGTTTGCAACCCAAATAAAACTTACTCTTCATCCTTTAATTTTCGGCAAATTCCCCTGTTTCACTCCAGATCTCATCTATCAATTATATCAATTTGGAAAAATTAATTTATCGTGCACCTACATGTACGTGCTACATTTTTAATGATTTTATCACTTTTTGGATTCGTTTTGTCGAATAAAGTAAGCGAGTTCAATTCTCAGTCTATTAAAGATTTGTTGATTGCATGGTGGCCCTGTACTGTTCTATAGCTAGTATAGTGGGGCGATTTAGTCCGATACCTAAAACTTAAAAATCATTGATACCATGAGACATATTTACATGTATCTCATACTTAAGTGGGTTTGGGGTAGATATCACTCGGGAATATATATCATATCTGAGGAGCGGGCAGGATATATTGTATATGTCCCGCTCCATGCCAAATGCGGGCAGATATAATATATCCATCCCGCTCCCGGGAATTTTTCAAAAGTTTAAAAAAGTTTAAATATCAAAAGTTTTTATTTTTTAATTTTAAAATTTAAACTTTTTAAGTTTAAATGTTACAATTTCATTGTATTGAACAAAAAGAATATTACGAAAATGTGAAATATAAATATCTTGTCATTTAAAAAAGGTGGAAAAGGTTATATCTATCCTAAACCCACTCAAGTATGAGATACACCAGTTATGCACGGTCGGTTTGGATACATGGAATATCCCTTGGGATATACAATACATCTTCCCTCGGTCCCTTCGGTCCCTCGGGAAGATGTATTGTATATCCCTCGGGATATTCCCTGTATCCAAAACCTCCCAGTACATAACCCTTATATATGGCCAGATACAGCGAGGATATTTTAAAGTTTAGGTTTGACGGCCATGTCTATCCATAAAAGCTCTAAAGACATCAATCGGTTCAAAACAATTGTTTTGTTCAATTCCAAGTATTGAGAGGCATTTTCAATAAAATACCACAATTGTTATAATATCCAGGTGTCTTTTTTATTACTTGTTATTGAAGTCTGTTTTTATGCTTGGTTTTGAAGGCATTTCGTTTCACAAAATACCAATTATCTCCCACACGTATTTGAAGGCTGTTGCGTGTGAAAATTGTTAACGGCTCCTGTCTAACGCATAGTAGTGTTTTTATGTCACCACCAAAAATGGTGACATATTGTTATGGTCTCCGTTTTTTGCGACGGCGGTTGGCGTCCGGCGGTTGGTGGTTGGCGTCCGGCGGTTGGTGGTTGGCGTCTGTAACAATTCTTACAACTTCCTATAACTTAACAAATACTGTTTAGACTGACTTCAATTTTTTTCTAAATTATCTACATGTTCTCAGAAGTTCAAATCTGACTTTAGATTTGACATTTGACCTTCAATGACCTTCTCAAGGTCAAAAAGGTCTTTTTTCAACTTGCTTCACATTGACTAAATTTTTTTTCAAAATCATCTACATGTTCTCAGAAATTCAAATCTGACTTTAGATTTGACATTTGACCTTCAAATCTGACTTGAGATTTGACATTTGACCTTCAATGACCTTCTCAAGGTCAAAAAAGGTCAAAAAGGTCTGTTTTCAACTTGCTTCAAATTGACTAAATTTTTTTTTCAAAATCATCTACGTGTTCTCAGAAATTCAAATCTGACTTTAGATTTGACATTTGACCTTCAATGACCTTCTCAAAGTCAAAAAAGGTCAAAAAGGTCTGTTTTCAACTTGCTTCAAATTGACTAAATGTTTTTTTCAAAATCATCTACGTGTTCTTAGAAATTCAAATCTGACTTTAGATTTGACTTTAGATTTGACATTTGACCTTCAATGACCTTCTCAAAGTCAAAAAAGGTCAAAAAGGTCTTTTTTTAACTTGCTTCAAATTGACTAATTTTTTTTTTCAAAATCATCTACATGTTCTCAGAAATTCAAATCTGACTTTAGATTTGACATTTGACCTTCGATGACCTTCTCAAGGTCAAAAAGGTCTGTTTTCAACTTGCTTCAAATTGACTAAAAAAAAATTTAAAAATCATCTACGTGTTCTCAGAAATTCAAATCTGACTTTAGATTTGACTCAAGATTTGACATTTGACCTTCAATGACCTTCTCAAAGTCAAAAAAGGTCTTTTTTCAACTTGCTTCAAATTGACTAATTTTTTTTTCAAAATCATCTACATGTTCTCAGAAATTCAAATCTGACTTAAGATTTGACATTTGACCTTCAATGACCTTCTCAATGTCAAAAAAGGTCAAAAAGGTCTTTTTTCATCTTGCTTCAAATTAACTAAATTTTTTTTTCAAAATCATCTACATGTTCTCAGAAATTCAAATATGACTTTAGATTTGACATTTGACCTTCAATGACCTTCTCAAGGTCAAAAAAGGTCAAAAAGGTCTTTTTTCAACTTGCTTCAAATTGACTAATTTTTTTTTCAAAATCATCTACATGTTCTCAGAAATTCAAATCTGACTTTAGATTTGACATTTGACCTTTAATGACCTTCTCAAGGTCAAAAAAGGTCAAAAAGGTCTGATTTCAACTTGCTTCAAATTGACCAAATTTTTTTTTCAAAATCATCTACATCTTTTCAGAAGTTCAAATTTGACTTTTACAAGTTCTCAGAAGTTCAAATCTGACTTTAGATTTGACCTTTGACCTTCAATGACCTTCTCAAGGTCAAAAAGGTCTTTTTTCAACTTGCTTCAAATTGACTAATTTTTTTTCAAAATCATCTACATGTTCTCAGAAGTTCAAATCTGACTATAGATTTGACATTTGACCTTCAATGACATTTTCAAGGTCAAAAAGGTCTTTTTTCAACTTGCTTCAAATTTACTTAATTTTTTTTTCAAAATCATCTACATGTTCTCAGAAGTTCAAATCTGACTTTACATTTGACATTTGACCTTCAATGACCTTCTCAATGTCAAAAAAAGTCAAAGAGGTATTTTTTCAACTTGCTTCAAATTGACGAATTTTTTTTTCAAAATCATCTACATGTTCTAAGAAGTTCAAATCAAACCTTCTTAAGGTCAAAAGGTATTTTCCAACTTGCTTTAAATTGACCAAATTGTTTTAGGTGGTGACATTTTGTCATGTTAATGCCTTGTTTACTTTATATTTAGAGGTATGTGCACTACGAGATTGTCTTGTACATTTCAATACGTAAACATCTAAATGTTTTTTTGAATTCCATAAACATCAATAAAAGTGGATCTTGGTGCAATTCTCTCTTTATCCAGATACTAAAGGAAAAAAATTGAGAAAATTTGAAGGAATTGGAAACAAAGTCAAATTACTTTTCCATCAATAGTATAAGTATTTTCATCGCAGGTTAAGTAAATAAAAATTCAAAGGTAAAGAGGCTTTAACTCGTAGTTCAATGGGGGAGCTAAGGTTGCCAAACTTATGGAGGGAAGTGTATAGGTCCGTGGTCCGGCCAAAATAGAACAAACTGATGCCCGAGTCTCTTTTGATCTACAGAAACCGTACGGCCGCCGTAGCTTCCCAAAATTCCCGGAAATATTCAGCGGAATAAGCACTGATGAGGACGATGTCGATTTTCTCTATCGATTTTGTGAAGCTATGGTCGCCATACATCCTCCGATGAGCTTTGACTGAGATTTTATTTGTTTCAGTATGATACCAAACTTATATGGATTTATTGACAACAGTTCTTTGCGATCATTAAAGAGTTAATTTGCTATGAGATCTTCATCCTGATCAAGGATGAAGGAAAATCAGATCCAGATCATCCTTATCTATTCCGGTATTCGGACTTATCCAAAATCATTTTTGTGGAATTATTGATCAAACTCGATTACAAATACATATTATGAATTACCAGTTTGATTTTTAATCAAAATTTAAGACATTGAAAATCCTAGTATTAGCCTAATATTTTTTGCATGAGTTTGCGATAGACCACTGAAGCACTTCAGAATTTACCACACAGAAGGACGACACACATGGCCAACTGCCCCCCCCCCCAACTTACTCTTGATGGACTCTCCTACCTCATTCCTGATTCAATTAAACCACCAATGACATTTTATATTTTTTATAGCCTTTACTAGTATATAACACACCCGATTTATCGGTTGACATCCATTACCAACGGAGAGCAACTGGTAAGTTTATATCTCTTCATTAGAAATTTAAATTACGCAATTAATTATACGGGTAACGCACTGCTGAAAAAACAGATTAATGGAATTACATTTTTGAACAAACAAAACTTAATGCCATGAATATCATATGGATGCATGCACTATACAGCTGACTATACATATAACCGTGGGGCGTTTTCCTATATATATAAAATAATTCCACCACTTTAATTGGTTTTTATTTTACTATTTTTTTAGGATACGAACGAGAGTACCAGAATTACTCAATACAAATATATTCAATAAAGACATCGGTGTAACCGTTACTTCAGTTTACGTTTACATAATGGCTCCTTTGTTGATTCTGATGTTGGGTGTCGCCGTTTTCTCGGATGTTGAAGCTTATGGTAAGTGTTATAAGAATCATAGTAATGTTTTAAATAATCAAAATAGACATTGAAGATGGTATGTATTTAGAAGCTTCATATATGCTCGGAACGCATATTTTTTTAACTAAAATCTGTTTAGTCCAAACGCCCCTGGGATCGATTAAAAGTGTTCGGATTAGCAGGAAGGTTTTATTAACATGTAAATCAATAGTAAATTAGCAAGGTGTTCACATTGAAAGGTTCTCGGATAATGCGTAATGTTATTCGAATAAGGTAATTATTGTAACGACATTCTCGAGAAAATTAGTCACTACTTCTGTTTGAATTTTCAGGTAGAGGCTATCTCGATGGTAAGTTTGTTTTACAGTTTTATAGGAAAAAAGGTTTAAGAAATGAATGCAGGCGTACCACTGAACAATGAAATCACAGTTGATTTCTTAGAAAAGTTTATAGTGAATGTAATTTTCATGAGAATATTGACTTTAGAAGAATCCAATAATTACCCTTTGCATTCGTTTGACTTCACTTCTTAAAAGAGAGCTTCGTCTTCAGTTTTACTAGACTCTGCACGCAGGGTATCCAATAATTAAAGCATTCATACATTGTCACCTAAAAAAGTTAAATTATTATTTCTAGTTATATTTTCGTCTAAGAACTACCCGGCCTATATTCTTGATGTGAATTCTGCCGGCCTGGGTTATATCATCGTCCCCAATGCGGAAAACCCGAACATGTGGGTGATAGAGCAACCCGGCTTGACGGGGGAAGAAGGGACCGTTTCTTTGACGTACAAAGGAAAACCAGGCTTCTATCTTCGACACACTGGTTTCCTCATGCAAATTGATAACAAATACGACCCAGTTGTTCCTCAGCATTTCTTACTAGATGCGACGTTCAGGATCAGAAACGACAAATATTTCCCAGGATACCTCGCCTTCGAGTCAGTGAACTATCCCGGAAGATTCATACGCCATCAGGGTTATCGCCTTAAGCTTCATCCATCTGACGGATCTGAGTTGTTCAAGAATGATGCCAGCTTTAAATTTGAAGTTAAAGACTTGAACAGCCTTCACGGTATGAATTCTTTGAATTTTCGCTGTTGCAACTAATTCTTTTTAAAGGATTGGTATATCGATGTGGTGAACTGAATTCAACATTGTTTTCCTCTGATACATATATTATTGAAAACATTCTATAAAACAATACGCTTACGATTATTTATGTAATGGTCTCTAAATGCAATAGTCTCGAGTTAATTCCATACTTGTCCATGAGTAGTTAATAAAATCGATTTGAAATCAAATATTTTCACTATATTGCACGATTGCGTCGCAGCCGCTTTTTCATCACAGTGTACTAGAGTATAACTTTTTGTGTACAGTTGCTTTGAGAATCTCCTTTATTAAGAATGCATCGACAAACTTCTACGTGTATTTCATTTAATGTATTAAAATCTGTCATTTTGTTTTTGAATTTCCAGGTACATGTAGAGGCTATCTCGATGGTAAGTTTGTTTTACAGTTTATAGGCAAAAATGATATAGAAATAGAGGCAGGCGTACGACTGAACAATGAAATCACAGTTGATTTCTAAGAAAAGTTAGTGAATGTAATTTTCATGAAAATCTTGAGTTTAGAAGAATCCAGTTAATAAAGCATTCATACATTGTCACCTAAAAAAGTTAAATTATTATTATTTCTAGTTATATTTTCGTCAAAGAATTACCCGGCCTATATTCTTGATGTGAATTCTAACGGCCTGGGTTATATCATCGTCGCCAATGCAGCAAACCCGAATATGTGGGTGATAGAGCAACCCGGCTTGACTGGGGAGGAAGGAACCGTTTCTTTGACGTATAAAGGAAAACCAGGCTTCTATCTCCGACACACTGGTTTCCTCATGCAAATTGATAACAAATACGACCCAGTTGTTCCTCAGCATTTCTTACTAGATGCGACGTTCAGGATCAGAAACGACAAATATTTCCCAGGATACCTCGCCTTCGAGTCTGTGAACTATCCCGGAAGATTCATACGCCATCAGGGTTATCGCCTTAAGCTTCATCCATCTGACGGATCTGAGTTGTTCAAGAATGATGCCAGCTTTAAATTTGAAGTTAAAGACTTGAACAGCCTTCACGGTATGAATTCTTTGAATTTTCCCTGTCGCAACTAATTGGTATCGATGTGGTGAACTGAATTCAACATTGTTTTTCTCTTAAACATATTATTGAAAACATTCTATAAAACAATACGATTCTTTATGAAATGGTCACTAAATGCAATAGTCTCGAGTTTATTCCATACTTGTCCATGAGTAGTTAATAAAATCGATTTGAAATCAAATATTTTCACTATTGCACGATTGGGTCGCAGCCTCGTTTTCATCACAGTGTACTGGAGTATAACTTTTTGTGTGCAGTTGCTTTGAGAATCTCCTTTATTAAGAATGCATCGACAAACTTCTTCTTGTATTGATTTAATGTATTAAAATCTGTCATTTTGCAGATTGATTGGTATAATGAAAACAATTGTATCCATGGAGGACAACTACATGTAAATTCGATCGCATACGTGCTGAATGACAACTTTAAGCCTTTTAACCATACTTATCAAGAATTGAAAACTATTGATAAATTAGTATCGTGTATCTTTTCAACTATAATTACTTAATGCAAATAAATTAAAACTAAATTAAAAAACTGGAGTTCTGTTTCTTCTTAGGGACTCTGTGCGTATTCTCAGCATTCTTTGGCAAAATGAAGGCTTACTTTTGATCTCCATAATATTTCCAATGGACTGATAAGTAGTTGATGTTTTATGAGACGCCAAGTTTTTTATATGTCAAGTTTTTAGCCAATGAAAGATGGCGAAGTTGTTTGCATCACATGTGTAATTCATTTTTGATAGAATTTTCAATCGTACGTCATCTTTTAATGGAAGAGGGGTGGAATAGATATTTAAAAACATGGGCATGTCCTGCTTTGGATCTCTGAACTTCAAACGCTGTTCTATGTGAGTTATTTTCTCAGTTCAGTATAACTTAAAGGATCCGTTACCCCGCCTACCTAAAGATGCCCCCGAAGGTTTCATTGTAAATAACATGGAAGTAGTTACTTTTATCATTTATGAACATATCCAAAACAAAATTAGGTCATTTGGATTAAAACTGTACATTGAAAACCCTGCATTCATTAAAAAAAACTACGCGACCACCAGAAGTAACAAAAACAAGCCCCATATACCAGTATGTCCCAAAACCATGATCTAACTGAAAAGAAACAATGACTATTCCCCCACCAGTCAGGAACCAATATCACAACCCAATACCAGAACACCAAGGGACATTCATTCATACTGTGAAGTCATGTTGAAGAAAAAATTAGAATTTGATCGCCAATACTGAGATAATATTAAAAACTAGATTTTGGAAATTGAACGAGTTCAATTTCAGACTCCAGATCTAGACTTTTTTTAGCCGAGTCATCCAGAATAAGCCAAGTCATCCAAAATAAGCTAAGTCATCCAGAAAAAGATGGATGGATGGATGGATGGATGAAAAGGGAAGGAAGGATACGATAGAATAGGAAGGAACGATAGGATAGAATAGGAAAGAAGGATAGAATAGAATAGGAAGGATAGGAAGGAGAAGCAAGGGTAGATAGGAAGGATAGGATAGGATCAGAAAGGAAGGATGGATGCATTTTTCAATATTTTCTTCTCTACTCTTGACTTTCTATCAGGATACCATCAGATCGATTTTTCTTGAAATTTCAAAACGCCATCACTTCCGAACCGGAAGTCGGATCGAAATTTGATTTGCAGATTCGAATTCCTGACAAAATTCTACCCCTAATTCATAACTCATACGTTAAATTTGGCGAATTTTTATTTTGACCTACTTTTCGGACACGCCATAACTTCGGAACCGGAAGTCAAATCGAAATTTGGTTAGCAGATTTGGTTTTCTGAGAAAATTCTATTCTTAATTCATAACTCAAACGTTAAATTTGGAGAACTTTTTATTTTTACCTACTTTTCGGACACCATATCTCAAAAGTGGGTCAAAATACTTTCTGACGGCAAAAGGCTTACGCTATTAGCACACTCTTGGCTACATGTATACACAATTTCGAGGAATATAATTAAAGTGTAGTGTCAGAATCGCAAAAATAAGGATAAACTATGAATTTGACCTAGATTTTGACCTAGGGATTTTGGTGTCCAAATTTTGAAATTAGGTAGCCTTCGAGGTTCCCTTCTTTCATAGGCTTTCATTATTTTAAGCTGTAATTAGTCTATATCTTGTATTTTACACTTCAAAAAAATCTTTTTTCCCATTGACATAACATGGGGCACCAAATTTAGCGATTTTTGAGCTTTCAAAATGTCATAACTTCCGAACCAGAAGTCGGATTGAAATTTGGTTTGCAAATTCGGATTCCCGAGAAAATTCTATACTTAATTCATAACTCAAACGTCAAATTTGGAGAATTTGGGCAAAATACTTTCTGACGGCAAAAAGGCTAACACTATTAGCACACTCTTGGCTACATGTATACACAATTTCGAAGAATATAATTAATCTGTAGTGTCAGAATCGCAAAAATAAGAAAAAACTTTGAATTTGACCTAGATTCTGACCTAGGCATTTTGATGTCCACATTTTAAAGCTAGATGGCTTTTGAGGTCCCATTCTTTTAAAAGCTTTCATTATATTTAGCTGAGTCTATATTTCGTATTTTTCACTTCAAAAAAATCTTTTTTCCCATTGACTTAACATGGGCACCAAATTTAGCGATTTTTGAGCTTTCAAAACGCCATAACTTCCTAACCGGAAGTCTGATTCCAATTTGGTTTTCAGATTCGGAATTCTGAGAAAATTTCCCATAAGACCAATATCCTAGACATTTGATTCGAAGAACTTTTTTTTGGACCTCGTTTTCGAACACTGATATCTCGAAATCGGTTTGAGATATCAAAAAACTAAATCGATCCTAGGTTTCCTACTTTTTTATAAGGAACACAATGAAAAAAAAACGGATCGAAAATATTGAAGGATGACCGAGAAAATCGAAAAAAGTGACAAAGTACTGGATTTGACCTAGTTCTTGACCTTTGACCTAGATAAAAATTTGACCCAATTTCCGAGGAACTAGATACTGGACCTAAATTGACCAAATGATTGACTTTACTGAAGACCTTATGGTTATTGAGAAAACTGGTTTAGAAAAAGAATAATAAGAAGAAGAACTAGACTTTGGAAATTGAACGAAGTTCAATTTCAGACTCCAGATCTAGACTTTTTTAAGCCCAGTCATCTAAAATAAGCCAAGTCATCCAGAATAAGCTGAGTCATCCAGAATAAGATGGATGGATAAAATAGGAAGGTAGGATAGGATAGAACAGAATAGGAAGAAAGGATATGATAGGAGAGGATAGGAAGGATAGGAAGGAAAAGATACGAAGGAAGGATAGATAGGAAGGATAGGATAAGATCAGATAGGAAGGATGGATGAATTTTTCAATATTTTCTTCTCTACTCTTGACTTTCTATCAGGATACCATCAGATCGATTTTCCGAAATTCCAAAATGCCATAACTTCCGAACTGGAAGTCGGATCGAAATTTGATTTAAAGATTCGGATTCCTGACAAAATTTTACCCCTAATTCATACGTTAAATTTGGCGAATTTTTATTTTGACCTACTTTTCGGACACGCCATAACTTCGGAACTGGAAGTCGGATCGAAATTTAGTTTGCAGATTCGGATTCCTGATAAAATTCTACACCTAATTCATAACTCAAACGCTAAATTTGGAGAACTTTTTATTTTGACATACTTTTCGGACACCATATCTCAAAAGTGGGTCAAAATACTTTCTGACGGCAAAAGGCTAACGCTATTAGCACACTCTTGGCTACATGTATACACAATTTCGAGGAATATAATTAAAGTGTAGTGTCAGGATCGCAAAAATGAGGAAAAACTTTGAATTTGACCTAGATTTTGACCTAGACCCTGGACCGGATTTGGACCTAGACTTGACTTGGACCTGGACCAACACTAGACTTGGACCTGGACTGGACCTTGACTTGGACCTGGAAATGGACTGGACTGGCATTTTTTCAATTTTTTTTTTACTTTTCTTGACTTTCTATAAGGGTACAATCAGAACGATTTTTCTCGAAATTTTAAAACGTCACAACTCCTGAACCGGAAGTCAGATTTCAATTTGGTTTTCAGATTCGGAATTCTGAGAAAATTTCCTATAAGACCAATATCCTGGACATTGGATTTGAAGAACTTTTTTTTGGACCTCGTTTTCGGACACTGATATCTCGAAATCGGTTCGAGATATCAAAAATCTAAATCGTATTGCGTTTTTCTACTTTCTTATGAGGAACACAATGAAAAAAACCATGATCAAAAATATTGAAGGATGACCGAGATAATGGGAAAAAGTGACAAAGTACTGGATTTGACCTAGTTCTTGACATTTGACCTAGATAAAAATTTGACCCCATTTCCCACCAACTAGATACTATACCTAAATTGACCATATAATAGTCTTGAAAAGATACCTTATAGTTTTTGAGAAAACTTGATCAGTATAAGAATAATAAGAATAAGAATAAGAAAAGAGGCAAAAACAATAGACTCCAGATTTTCAATCTGGAGTCTAATAAGAAAACTGACGAAAACAATAGACTCCAGATTTCATCTGGAGTCTAATAATTGTAGATACAAGTACTCACACAAGAGAGAGCATTCAGTCTCGAATGATGTGTGGTAAACAAGATCCAGTTTCTCGAAGTCTATACTGTAGGCGTTTCAAAGGGTCATATCTATATTTCTATATATACATGGATATTTTCTTCTCTTTATCCTAGTTGATAACTCAAGGAAATATCACCCTGAAATTGACTGGGGATCTTAGAAACGGAAATATTCCAAGGTGACTAATTCGTACATGACTGTATTCTAATGAAAACTAAAATAGTATAAATGATGTCATCCTTTCGATAAACTTATGAAGGTTTTTTGACCACCTTACTGGGACTAAATTCTCCAAAAATGTATCTTTATTTTAGCTCTCAATTTGTTGACAGAATCGATGTGTAAGCTAGCGAGTCATCGAACGCATGTTTTCTATTACTTCAAACAAGTTGAATGCGATGAGACATTAAAACACTCAGCGTTTACAATTTTCTGACTCTATCTACCCAACAGTGTAAATATGGTTCCTAATTTGACCATTTATTTACAAGCTGAGTATTTGAATTAACTCATATCTGCAGTGTTTGTAAAATAAGATAAGGTATAACATGTTGTACAGACCCTTCCAAACATTGATTAGCGACTAGTTTGGGTTTACGATCAGAAAATTAAAAGTACCTGCGAACGATACAGTACGCATTCAGTTAATGATAAACTTTATAGAATGAAGAAAAACTGCAATCTCCTGGTACACTTCATAAAAAGTTTATAGTTCTAGTACTTGAAACGTTTTTCGTTGTCTTGCGTCAAGTCGCTGCACCCGCCCCCCCCCCCCCCACACACACACACTCCCGTCAGATTATGTTAATGGGCTTGATACACGAATATGCCAGTGATGGTACACACGGGCTGGATGCAAGATATACGGCAACCGTACGACGGTCTCAATCGTGAGTAATATGCAACAAAAATATAGGGATAAAGTGGTACGCCCGCCGTTGAGCAAATGTGACTGAGGCTTAAACGCAAACGTGTAATATTATGACCCCAGGAATTTTTGTCCACCTCTCCATTGGATTAACTTACAGTAACCGTCATACACAATCGGGAAAATAAAGATCAGTGAGGTGAAAATAGTCCATAGGGGACCATACTTTTACACGTTTTACGTACACGTTCTTCAAATTTATCATCCACCCCCCCCCCTTATGTTAGTAGTGTTACACGGTTGTAGATTGTCTGTTTTGTACATAAGATTACGATAACCATATTCGTGAAGTGGTATGGTAGTAGCTCTAAGCAATACAAATTGTAGACTGTTTGAATACTCTTGTACTTTGGCCTAGCAAACTCATGATAATAATTATATGTACATTTCTATTAATTTGATATGTCCTGGAAGTAAGATTGATTTGACTAATTTTAATCTTTTACACAAACGCCATCCTCCGATCGAAAAACAGAGTTAAGGTCAAAAGAACCCCGTCCACACGAACACACAATTTCACGTCTACCAAACATATTTTTCTTTTGAGACGTGAGAGCATTCTTCGCATCAACTTTTTGTTCCCCTGGGTTGTTCCCCGTAGTTGTGCTCTGACTTGGGTATTCCCATGGGCCATTGCTCTGGCAAACATGGTCAGTATACGATACAGTGCATCGTGGTAAGCCAAGCCCTCTCCATCTCTATCTTTGCAACAGAGAGATGCTATGAGTATCAGAATGGGCACAGTGTGTCTAGAGCATTCTGCACTGTACACTAGTGTAGATGAAGCTCTCTTTGAAGAAACAAAATCAAAATATTCATTGTAAAAATATACTTCAAAATTACCCCTCGCGCAGAGCCTAGTTATAAACTGAAGACGAAGCTCTCTTTTAAGAAGTAAAGTTGAATGAATGCAAAGGGTACTTCAAAATATGTAAGTTTAGAGCTGAATCACACGAAATAAAAATAATCAGGAAAACGTTCATAATGAAGGACTCGGTTGAGAACTTAAGACTCAGTCGACGAGTGTTCTTCAGAGATAATGAGGATTTCATAATCCCCATGATGAAAATATTAGGATATGATGATATCCCCATGTTAGGTAAAGTGCATATCCCCATGTTAAGTAAATACACCCTTGCTGGAATCCTCTTTTTAACTGGTTGATTAAGCCTCGATCAACCAGTAGAAATATGTTACTGAGCATATCTAAAATCAAAAAATGGTTAGGATAGGTCCCTTAAACAGAATATTTCACTTTTGGTTACCTCTAGAAGTTAGTATGTTCAATAAGTAATAATGGCAGTACTTCCCTAGACTACTTGACACCCACCCCAAGCAAATGTTGTAAGTAATAACGCATTTTATCTTATGACCTAAATTTTAAATCATTGTACATCGATTTGAATATTCTCCGCTGATAAGCGTGTCTCATATTTGAAATATGCACGTTATACATTGAAGGCGTTTATTAGTCATATCACAAATATCGTAAAAAAGACAACGCAACAAAGACTGTACCTGACTGTATATAGATAGTAAAGAGATATCAAACTAAGGACAACGGATAAAAGAGAGAGGGTAGAGCTAGTGTAGAGGACGAACTGGGATTCTATTAACAACACAGAACAAAGAGGAACCGATCAAACTGATCAACAAAATAAAACTGAAAATGGATAAGTTTCTATCAACGATTTTGCTACTGACGCTTACAGGTAAGGGATCGTATGGCATTGTTTTAAATCTATACAATTGTTTTAGAATCATAATGAGTTTCTGTCTTGTGACTGAACTAGTAAACTGAATATATATGTTGGGATTGATTGTCTGGGTATATGAACACTTTTTACTTTGAATGGTTAATTAGGGTTTTCGTTTTGCTTTATTATACCAAAGGAGAATCTTTATTCCAAAAGATTCAGACCAAAATAATGAAGTATAATGAAGTATATCAATATACTTGCATCAATACAACTAGAGACGAATTTCGGAAATGTGTTTGTTTGTTCGTTATTTTTAATTAGATCAACAACTTTTACAAACAATTATTTAGATCCAGTTTGAACCCGACAAAACACGTTGCAGTTTGAAATACAGAATAGAGCCTAAACTAGCAAGTTCTAAGAAACTCATGTGGAGCATGCACCTCCATGCGTGGAGAAACTCTTGTTACTTTTGATTTCTTATTCGATCGTGCGTGCAGATACACGCAGGGGTTGTTCCGGGGTTGTTCCAGCCGTTGAGATAGGGAAGGAGGATGTTCTCGATCTAGTTTATTGATTAAATCATGCATGACTGGCCCATATCTACAGAAAGTGGTACAGCACTCGCAATCGCCAATAGAACTAAAAATAAAGGAATTGCAAACCTCTCCAAACAACAACTCTCATTGTGGCAGTGTATGTGGGTCTGATGGCGCGTAAAATGAGTTTGTTTTCTTCCTGGGAATAAACTGTCTTTCTAAATGAAAATTTCAAGGAAACGGATATTACAATGTTGGTTGTACTTAGACCATTGTCAACCCAGAGAGGGAATCCTAGGGAAATTCTAGACTTTTACCACACAAAGAGCTCAACTTTATGGCTTACTACCACACATAGGTTCCATTCACCGGTTTTATCACATGTGTCAATATCATGACTCGACGTATAAATGATATCTGCGAATTGTAGTCCCTAATGATAACGGATTAATAATTAACAAATACAATAGTACAGCGTGGGTCAAAATTCAAAAAAGCGTATACGTTTTTAACCATATAAAGAGGAAGAGACAGAGGGGGAAAGAAAGAGGAAAAGTGCGTGCGTATGCCAAAGAAACATGTACAAAAAATCAAGTTGAGTTTCCCAGGGAAGTTTGAAAAATATCGAGATTGCATTAACTGGTAGCCTTGCAAGTTCCCTAAGAAAAAGACAATGTGACCCGATTTTTATACACGTTCCCAGGCCTATTGAAAAGTGTGGTTTGGGAGATTGATCTTTTCATATTGTGATGTGCAAAGGCGATATATGCGAAGAAAAGCACACATACCACCATTGTCCTCCTGTGCCCATCCATCAATTTGAAAAACATGAATATCGTTTTTTATACACTTTTGAACCATTTGGAATTAACTTTTACAATGTTTACTTTTATTTGTCTCGTCTATTCACTTTATTAATCAATGTATAATTTATGCATGAGTGAGCCGATCTGGTTTTATTTATTTTTGTGGAAATTATCTTTATCGTGATCCATGAGATATATTATATTTTGTTTAAGCTTATACTTCAAGAGCCATCGTGGAGCCAAAGGATCATGCAACGCGGGAAGGGGTATCAGTGACCTTTACATGTGACCCTGGACAACCAGAACCACAGGAATATATCCAATGGTGGGAGTTTGTGACGTCATCAACCACACCGAACCTTATATTTAATCCAGCCAAGGTAATAAACAAAGTAATACATTTCAAATGTGTTATATTTTACATTTTAATTAATTATGGCATGTGGAATATGTTTAAACTATGGCAAATAAGGTGTTAAAATCATGGAACGCAAGGGGTTAAAAACGAAATACGAGGGGTAAACAATGAATACAATATTCAGATACAAAAATATATATTTTTAGCGTTTACCGAGGTTAACGTTGTAAAACAGAATTCAATCAAGATAATTAAATGAAGATTCCATCAAGAGATAAATGAACCAAATTATATACATGTTGGACGTCGTCTCTTACTTTTAAAATGGCACTAGCGTTTTAACTTCATTCGTCCTATATTTACAGCCAAATGAGTATGATAGCACCAGGTATGATTTTGCCAATGCAGGGAGAAATTTCACGATTAAATCTCCGATGTTGAGTGCTGGTGGAAAATATGAGTGTAGAAGGCTGGTGGACGCATCAAATCACCCAGTTGAGCTTATTGTGTTAAGTGAGTATTTAAAATTCTGATACGATGGCTTACACTCAGTTAGAATCTGAAATCTTTTACCGTTCAAACGTTCTAAAATACTGCACTCTTCCTTTTCCTTTATTTACGAGTTGTGAGGCAAAATCTCCTCAACATTTTTATCACAATCGTGTGTCAGTATCATATGTTAAATACAGACCGTAGAGCAGGTATTATATCGATGAATAAACACCACAGGGCTAGGCACAATGCAAACGTTTTCCATAAGCTTTTGAAAATGTTTGTGCCTCGTCCTAACCCCCCTATCACACCAAACTAGTTCTTACCCGTTCTTGCCAGTCCTACGAAAACGTCGTAAAACGGGCTCAATCTGGCTGTGGTCGGGAAATATGTCTAAAATAATTAACTACTTCTTTCATAAACAGTCTCCAATACGTCCATCTCATTCACAGTTCGTTCAGGTCGCACCACGTCGGTGTGCAACGTCGTATAACGCGTCCATTAGTCTAGAAGGTCATCATGACCTGATTACAGAACGGTATGGTCGCCATCGAATTTTGAATCGATTCAAAATTCTAAATCACATTCTCCGTCCGGGAAAGTCCATGAAGTTCGTAAAAAGACCGTAGAACGTTGCAGCTACGTTCATTCCTTTCGCACACAGTTTAAAACCAGTTTTGAAGAACGCAGTGGCAACTTGCTTGGTGTGATAGCTATATTTTTGCTAACTCGTTGATAAATACGTTCTTAATCAGTTTTAACCCGTTTGCAATTAGTTCTACCTCGTTCTCAATACGTCCTCAGACAGTTCAACTCGTTGTAAAAACGTCCCTAGTAGGATTGAAGTACGACGGTTCCGTTCGTAGTACGTCCAGCTCGTCGTTAGTAGGCTGTCGCTCGTTCTAATTGTAGAACGTGACGACCAAGATAACATTTTGAGCATGCTCTACATGTAAGTGCTAGAGGACCTAATCGTTCGAGTACGTTCGATGAAGTTTGTAAATAGACCCCAAACGGTTCTAAGTACGTCCAGTCCGTTCGTACACAGTTGATGCCCGTTTTCGAGAACGCAGTGAGAACTGGTTTGGTGTGATAGTAGGGTTAGGTATGGCCCATAGTCTTACATGTTATACCTGATCTTAGGTCTATATCATGATTCGAACATGAAAACTCACAAATATTAGATAAGGTTAATTTTCTGCGAGGGATTTCTGTATTAGGAATATGCTTAACAAGACACGTGCATGACGAATTTGCAATTTAAATTATAAAAGTAAATCAAGTGATGAGTGTTCGGCTCCCCGTTCGGCTACTATACTAGTATATCAAACATTATTACCACCTTGCAGGGCCTGTTCTAGGGGTTTTAGTACTAGTTGAGAAGGCATTTAAATTGCTATATTGACGTGAGCAATATTGTGTCGGGCGTTAATGACTTTAGTCGGGCAATAATGACATTATCCGCCCGGCTATGTTTCCCGGGAAAAGTGATATCGTTCAGTGCGTAAGATTTTCTATTTCAAATTTGCTATTTCAGCCCTGGGCATTAACGGTTGTAATAATAGTAATAACGTCATTTCTGCGGGCAAAATAGTGAAATATTGGACCTTGGGCCTGCGGCCCTTGGTCCAATATTTCACTATATTGCCCTTTGAAATGACGTTATTGTACTATTAGTCTTAATACTATATTAACCCCCCTATCACACCAAACTAGTTCTTACCCGTTCTTGCCAGTCCTACGAAAACGTCGTAAAACGGGCTCAATCTGGCTTTGGTCGGGAAATATGTCTGAAATAATTAGCTTCTTCGTTCTTAAACAGTCTTCAATACGTTCATCTCGTTCGCAGTTCGTTCAGGTCGCACCAGGTCGGTGTGCAACGTCGTAGAACGCGTCCCTTAGTCTAGAAGGTCATTATGACCTGATTATAGAACGGTATGGTCGCCATCGAATTTTGAATCGATTCAAAATTCTAAAATCACATTCCCGTCTGAGAACGTTCATAAAGTTCGTAAATAGACCTTAGAAAGTTGCAGCTACGTTCATTTCGTTCGCACACAGTTTTGAAGAACGCAGTGGCAACTTGTTTGGTGTGATAGCTATATTTTTGCTAACTCGTTAATAAGCAGTGTTAAATACGTTCTTAATCAGTTTAAATCCGTTTGCAATTAGTTCTACCTCGTTCTCAACACGTCCTCAGACAGTTCAACTCGTTGTTAAAACGTCCCTAGTAGGATTGAAGTACGACGGTTCCGTTCGTAGTACGTCCAGCTCGTCGTTAGTACGTTGTCACTCGTTCTAATTGTAGAACGTGACGACCACGAGAACATTTTGAGCATTGTCTAAGTTCTAAAGGACCTACCCGGTCGAGTACGTTCGATGAAGTTTGTAAAAAGATCCCAAACGGTCCTTAGTAGGTCCAGTCCGTTCGTACACAGTTGAAGCCCGTTTTCGAGAACGTAGTGGGAACTAGTTTGGTGTGATAGTAGGGTAAGGAACAAAGATGTCACTTGTTTAAACTATCGATAGATAAATTTCTTTAAAAGGGGTATCTAGATTGATAAAAGCATCATTATTATTAAAATCACAAAAAGACCACATTCCCTGTAGGCGAAACTCAGCTGAATAACTCAGATGCGGGAAGATAGTTTCTAGTTTCATCACCAGGTGGCTCATTCGGGTCAGATTACATGGCGGGTATAGAAACCCGGGAGTAGAAAGTTCCCTTTAACTTAAATGTTATCAGTTTTAGTGGTTCAATTTTCATATCACCCTTATATATCTAATAGTTTTGTAAATTAAGATATTATGTCCAGTTGAGGAAAATATGATATGTCCAATACAAGAAAGATATTTCACTTTTTATGATTTTATAACATGGGGTCTAGAAATCACATTTTCCAAAAATTGAAATTTTTAGTTCATAAACAATTTTCAAAACCATATTTCTAGATGTACTTTTACATGTGGATTTCAAATATGACATCGCTTTGACTGAATTTTCCTTTTCATTTGTCTTTATTTTTTAGAATCGCCCGATTGTCGGAACCAGCGAGCATCTAATCCCCCTCATGAAGGTGAGAATGCCGAGCTGACGTGTCAAGTCGAGTATAGAGGTAACAGAGTCCCTGTTCCTATGTGGTACACAGAACAAGGTTCTCAGGTAAGTCTTGAAACTTTTGTACACTGTTTCACTCATCTTATAATATGACCAAAGCCAAAGGTAGGTAGATTGGCTCCCAGAATGCCATTTCGATATTCAGTACACATACTTAAAGCCACAGACTGGGCTTTCTGTTGATAGCCCATTTTTTATACAAATTGAATAAGCCCAATTTTGAAGGATGTCATGATTACGAAATCCAAAATTAAACAGTTGCTATTTTTCACTTCAGATTTTGAATCGCGCGTTTTGGTCTTATTATTACAAAACACACAAGAACCGAAGTGATCAAAATATTAGCTCAAATATTTTGTATTGCTGATTATGAATTCATTGTCAGTTAACAACAGACAATAACGACAAGTTCATTGTTTGAAAATATCGAGGTTGCATTCTGGGAGCCTATCCTCCTTGGCCAAAGCCCAAAACCTACATTTGTTGTTTCTTTGATAAGGAAAGATGGCAGTGCAGTTTCCCATGAATAGATTTTTACAAAGCATAAGATGAAAATAATATTATATAAAATCATGGGCTTTCAAGAGAATAAAATGTAGGATAAAATGAACAAAAGGACGGTATTTAATAGCAATTAAATGTTTGAATGTCAGTCAGTAAAATAATATAATCAAATTACAAGGAGGGGAACCCCGAAATTAAATAATATTAACCTTACTCCATCTAAAGATGACCCTCTTTGGAATCATGAATTCAATAACTGTATAAACCTGTCTAGTCCGAACGCCATTGGGACCGGATAAAAGCGTTCAGATTAGGAGGTGCGTTCACATTTCGAGGTTTTTGCATCCGCAATAATCCGGATTCTGAAGAAATGTGAACACATTCTCGGTAAATATTGATAGTTCTTTTGACCACATAGCTTTATGGCATTCCAGAAATTTGAAAATTTGATTCAAATGAATCTAATCATGCTGTAAAGCCCCATTATGAATGTGACCATTCAAGATTATTTCCCAAAGTTTTGATATCATGACAAAATTTGAGCAGTTTTGTATAAAACATCAGAAATTTTATGAAAAGTGTTCGGATTAGACAAGTGAATTTTTCAAATATGACTGTTCACTGTTCAAATTGGGATGTGTTCACATTTCAAGGTTTTTTTAACATGGGAGTCAATGGGAGGAAAAAATGGGACCTAAAAAGTGTTCAGATTGGGAGGTGTTCGGATTAGCCAGGTGTTCAGATATACAGGTTCTACTGTATGGTATTGCAATACTCATCAACTCTGTCTATTTCACTTAAACATAACATGATGCCCGTGTGTATGTCGCATTTCTCCCCCCCCCCCCCCCCTTGAAATACATGTGTTTCAGACTCATTCTGATAGAAAGACATCGTTTATTCAAAGAATTATGGAGTAAAAAATGAGATGTTGTCTAGTTATGATAAACTGGTGGAATTTATAATTAATGAATCGTTCATTTTTTGTTCAATAATGCACAGTAACTTTAGCAATCTGATTAGTTGAATTTAGTTTAAAATTCTGCATACATAAGTAAGGTTGCTACCTCTAAGAATTAGACATGACTATAAATTATTATCTTATATCTGTACGAAAAATGCAAAGGCATACCATAAAATGCACTTCCCAAAAATTATACGCCACATCTTATTTCAATAGCTACCTATGCAGTATGCCAGGGACGTTACAGGGGTAGCAGTGAAGTCAACTAATTTTACAACTAACGATCAACATGACGATACACTGCCCAGGTGCCAAGTGACCGTCGCTGGGACTCCTTATAACGATAACTGTACGTTGTCGTCTCCAATGAGAGTGATCTGTAAGTACTCGGGACCAGCTTGAGCAAAGGATAGGTATCGATATGGAGAACTGAATTCAACAATGTTTTTCTCTTAAACCAATCATTGAAAACATTCTGTATTTTATGTAATGTTGACTGATTGACAACAATTTAATGCAAAAATTATTTAGAAATATTTTATATAACTGTTTTTGTTAACATTTTTTTTTTTTTTTTTAGTGCAATTGTTTTTACTCCTTTCTACCAATTCTTGAGAATGAAATAAAATGTCTTTCCGAACCTTGTTGGAACAAAATAGCATATACAACATGTTTTTAGACCTCTCAATATTAAAGTTATACAAAGGAATTTTTGGTTGATTTTAAAAAAGTATTCAAAAAAATTAAAACAAAATCTCCCCAAAATATATAAAAATCAAGAAAAAACGTTTATTTCATTAACAAGATACTTTTTTAAAATCAACCAAAATTTCTTTGTACAATTACAATATTGAGAGACCTAAACAAGTGTTTATGTCGTTTTGTTCCAATGAGGTTCGGAAAGATGTTTCATTTCACTCTGGAAACATGATACATAGAACAAAACAAGTGTTTGATGTGTTTTTTAAAACAATATAGATGAAAGTATGTATATCTATTTCAAATTATATTGTTACCATTCAAAAGATGGCCATTAAAGTGACAATTTGTATGATTTTCAGAAACTTTTGATGACTGGTTTAAGAGAAACGTGTGTTCAAAAAGTTCGCCATATCGATACCCATTCTTTGTATTTTATTTCACCGTTGACTTGATTGTTAGTGTAGGAATACTAAACAACATAACCTATAATAATACACTACTGTAAAAGTCAAATCGATTTAGAACAATATCATTTATAGAGATACGTGCATAAAAAGTGTTCGTTGTTGTCTAATAATGAACAGTAAAAAAGGAATTTTGTTGGCTGAGAATATTTGGCCATGTTTGATAAGCAAATACTGCTGTTTTTAAATATAGAAAATTCTCGTAGCTGGAACAATCTTGAAAGGCTGAATTAGATCGTTTCTCACATTTATGATTCTCAAAATTTTCTCAAATGTTAGTGACAAAAATTATTTAACAAAGGCACAATTTCTAACAATAATCATGGAAATCGAGTAACCACAGACTAGAATTCCCCTATCGCTCGTATGTGTAAAATCCCCGTATGTGTAATGTTTTCCTGTAAATCGTTTCAGATTCGGTAAGAGACGTCGATATCCATCACGACTATGACGGCCCTGGTATGCCGCGTTTCGCGACTGGGGACAAACTTAACTGTACCGCACGGGGGTACCCTGACCCGGAATTCACTTGGAGTAAGGTCAAAGGAAGGGGTGCCAACATGACCATGAATGGGTTCCAGTTCGAGGTGCCAAGAGGCCTCAGTGGGGAATATACATTCATGTGTACCGCATTCAATACAGTTAATCGTACTGACTATAACTCAACGAAAGATATCACATTTGTGGCCACTGGTATGTACCATTATCAGGTTATAGAGAGAACATTTTAACCATTTTAAATGTATATATTCTGCCTCCTAAGCAATGTGATATGTAAGATCAAACTGGTGCCTCATTGTAATAATGGTTTGTGACATCCTCCAGATATTTTTTTTTTTTCATATATCACATGTCACATTTTATTTCACATACGATATGTGCTCGTATCTATCTATAATCTGCGATGCAATTGCAGTACAATAAAGTATAAAGTAATACAAAGCAATAGAATACAAAACAAAACATAAAATACAATATAATTTGAATATAATTTTTAATTATCTTGTTTACAGGCTATACTGGCGGATCTCAAAGTATGTTTGGTAAGTTTGATTAGCTTCCATGTATCTAAAACTTTTCATATTTCAATAGATATGGTTATGCCAGTATAATTTATTAGACATGTCCAAAACTGTGCTTATAAATTCAATGTAGTATATGTATCATATATTTCATGTTTACAAGTAAATACCGAGATAGCATGAGCTACAATTGAAAGCAATAATCAAAAAAAGCTATTTTCAAACTCGTGCCAGTATAAACCAGGCCTCCTAGACTTCCAACAGCGCGACATCGCGCATTCTGACATCGCGAACTATGTTCCTTGCACTCGAACCATGATTCTCACATCGCGAACGCAAAATCTTTATCAACGCACCACAATTTCCTTGTTCCCGAACCTATTTCTCCGCTCGCGCACAAAGATCCGTAACCGCTAACAATTTGTACATTATACATCCGGGAGTTTGGGATTTCCAGTTATATGCCAATATGTAGGACGATGTCAACAGTCAACTTAGTGAAACAAGGAAACGAAATTCTTTCGATTAGGAATGTGGTTCGCGGTTACGGAGAAATATGTTCGGGAACAAGGAAATGGTGGTGCGCGGTTACAGCTTTTGTGTTCGCGATGTGGGAATCGTGGTTCGAGTGCAAGGAACGTAGTTCGCGATGTCAGAACTGATGTCTGCGATGTTGGAAGTCTAGGAGGATTGTAAACGTTTGGTGGAAACAAACAAAATTTTGCCACCAATGGCATCACAAAGGACAGTTATATAAATGGATGGAGATTCACTTTTATTGAAACAATATAACTATTCATTAATGGAAACACGGGCATTAATTTTCTGTAAAAGTTGTTTGGACTAGATACTCAAAGTTACACTTTCAAAATACATGGGCAATCACCATAATTAGAAAAAAATCTTAGAAATAGTGCTTTTACTTCTGCTTTACATACTGTAATGTTGAACAAAATGAAATGATTTTTTCAGGGCTCTCTGTGATGTTGCTGACTGTCGTCTCAATTCTACAAATAGTATTACAGTGAAAGACAATGGAGGGACAATGAACATAATTCGCCATGAAGCAGCAATTGAATTACTAACTAGCATTCCTTGTATATATCATCGATATAAATGTTTTAAGAAAGAATGTTAATGGGCTTGGATTTGTAACATACTCGATAACTTTTTCATATTTATCTAAATTTTAATGTATTTCGATAAAGAGCTTTTATAATAAAACACATACATATTGTACCCTATGGTTATGTTATCCTATAAACATTTGTAAATCTCTCAATTCTGTAACATCGTGGATTGAACCTCCTTAATAACGTTACATTCCTTAGCATTCTTCTGTTGCGACAAAATGACCTCGACCCGAAAAGTTGACTTTGACCTCAGGTCAACTAATCTCGGGTCATAGCACTGACCAAGGGTCTCAAAAAGCCAAATATATACCTAGATACTGAACTTTGACCTTGGAATGACCTTCACTGTCTATTTGTCTATCTTTCCGTCTGGAGATCTCCTCCTAGACCGTTTGTGGGGCCCTCATACGTGGTCAATATTCTAAGTGGGTCGTTTGGCATTCTACGAAGGCCAGAGATCAATGTCATCCCAAGGTTAAAGGTCAGTATCTGGGTATTTGGCGTTCTGAGACCCTTGGGCTGTGCTGTGATCCTTGATTACCCACGATTAGGTGACCTGAGGTCAAGGTTAACGTTTTGGGCCAAGGGCATTCCGTTGTGACCCTTGGCGACCATGATTAGATGACCTGGGGTCAAGGTCATTCCTAGGGTCAATATCTAGGTGTTTGGTGATTTAAGGTATTTGGGCTGCTGTGACCCTTGGCAACCCATGATTAGGTGACCTGAGGTCGAGGTCATCTCAAGGTCAAATGTGAATATCTAAGTTCTTGGCATTTTAAGGACCTTGGGGGCTAATGTGATCTTTGGCGCCACATGATTTGGTGACCCGAAGTCAAGGTCAACTGTGATGTAGGTTTTCAAAGATTTATTTGAGAATATGATGAAATATTTCATGTATAATTTCTTGTGCATGCTCTTGGCAAGACGTTTAACTTTCTAATTACATTAACAGATTCTCGAGTAGTGCTTGAGTTTTTTCTAGGTAATTCCACCCACATAGAGATGGTTGTTGCTGTATGTGCAACTTATGTGCTCTGAAGATTTCTCTTGAATTTCTCTTGTAATTACTTTTTTGGTGTTTACTCTATAATTCGAAAGATCAAAAACGTTTATTTTTCAAATTTAGGTCAGCTTAATCACCAAATGCCTACTGAGCTTTGAAAAAGTTAAATATGAAATATAATTAATATCAACTATGAACAATCTGGGGTCTTCATGACACATCGTTTTAATAATATAGATTCCATTTCTGCTCAAAAACAGTCTGTGCAAAAATAAAAGTTTCATTTTTTCAATAGCTTTCTGTTGTTATCAGCCCAAATGTTGCTTTAAAAGCACGAGGCTTTCCAAAATATATTTCCATTATTACCCTAAATGTTGCTTCAGAAGCACAATCTTTTTTTAAATAGCTTTGCCTTGTTATCAACCCAAGTGTTGCTATAGAAGCACAAGCTTTTTCTAAATAGGTTTCCAGTGTTGCTATAGAAGCACGCGTTTTTTTAAATAGCTTTCCATTGTTATTAACCCAAGTGATGCTATAGAAGCGCAAGGTGTACACATTGGTGTGGTCTTTTACTCCCCCTCTCTTATGGCCAGGCCCTTTGTTCTGTATTCCATAGCTTTGTCCACTTCACCTAACTCTAAATATGCTTGAGCGATTCTTAACAGTAAACTTGGTATCTGTTGATTATTCGAATTCTGTCCATCACTTATCTGCCTAATAATTTCGAGACTCTTCTCATAGTATTCAATGGCCTTCTTGCTATCACCCATTTTGCTATACACTGCACCAATATTATCAAACGATGTAGCTATGCCTGGATGAGATCGGTCTCTGTAAAGTAGTTCTTTCATTGCAAGACTCTGCTCATGATATGCAATGGCGTTGATGTTATCTCCCAATTGCATATATGCTGTACCAATATTACCCAAAGATGTGGCTATTCCTGGATGAGGTTGGTCTCCGTTAAGGAGTTTATACATTGCAAGACTCTGCTCATAATATTCGATGGCGTTGTTATTATCTCTCATGCGCATGTACGTTGTACCTATATTGCCCAAAGATGCAGCTATTTCTGAATGAGGTTGGTCTCCGTGAAGTACCTTTTTCATTGCAAGACTCTGTTTATGATATTCAAAGGCCTTGTTATTATTTCCCATTTGCATATATGCTGTACCAATATTACCAAACGATGTGGCTATTCCTGGATGAGGTTGATCTCTGTTAAGTAGTTTATGCATTGCAAGACTCTGTTCATAATATTCAATGGCTTTGTTGTTATCTCCCATATGCATGTATGCTTTTCCAATATTGCCCAACGAGGCAGCTATTTCTGGATGAGGTTGGCTCCCGTAAAGTAGCTTTTTCATTGCAAGACTTTGCTCATGATATCCTATACCCTTGGTGAAATCTCCCATTTGCAAATATGTGATACCAATATTTCCCAACGATGTAGCTATTCCTGGATGAGATTTATCTCTGTGAAGCATTTTTTTCATTGCAAGACTCTGTACGTGATATTCAATGGCTTTGTTGTTATCTCCCATTTGCATGTACGCTGTACCAATATTACTCAACGATGTAGCTATTCCTGGATTAGACTGGTCCCTGTAAAGTAGTTTTTGCATTCTCAGACTCTGCTCATAACATTCAATGGCTTTATTGTTATCTCCCATTTGCATATATGCTGTACCAATATTACCCAACGATGCGGCTATTCCTGGATGAGGTTGATCTCCGTTAAGTAGCTTATGCATCGCAAGACTCTGCTCATAATATTCAATGGCTTTGTTGTTATTTCCCATTTGAAAATATGCTGTACCAATATTACACAACGATGTGGCTATTCCTGGATGAGGTTGGTTTCTGTAAAGTTGTTTTTGCATTTTAAGACTCTGCTCATTATATTCAATGGCTTTGTTGTTATCTCCCATTTGCATGTATGCTTTTCCAATATTACCCAACGCGACAGCTATTCCTGGATGAGGTTGGCTCCCGTAAAGTAGCTTTTTCATTGCAAGACTTTGCTCATGGTATCCAATAGCCTTGGTGAAATCTCCCATTTGCAAATATGTGATACCCATATTTCCCAACGATGTAGCGATATCTGGATGAGATTGATCTCTGTGAAGCATTTTTTTCATTGCAAGACTCTGTGCGTGATATTCGATGGCTTTGTAGTTATCTCCAATTTGCATGTACGCTGTACCAATATTACTCAACAATGTAGCTACTTCTGGATGAGACTGGGCCCCGTAAAGAATTTTTTGCATTTTAAGACTCTGCTCATAATATTCAATGGCTTTGTTGTTATCTCCCATTTGCATATATGCTGTACCAATATTACACAACGATGTAGCTATTCCTGGATGAGGTTGGTCTCCGTTAAGTAGTTTATACATTCCAAGACTCTGATCATAATATTCGATGGCGTTGTTGTAATCTCTCATTCGCATGTACGTTTTTCCGATATTACCCAAAGACGCAGCTATTTCTGGATGAGGTTGGTCCCTGTAAAGTACCCTTTTCATTGTAAGACTCTGTTTATGATATTCAAAGGCCTTGTTATTATTTCCCATTTGCATATATGCTGTACCAATATTACCAAACGATGTGGCTATTCCTGGATGAGGTTGATCTCCGTTAAAAAGTTTATGCATTGCAAGACTCTGCTCACAATATTCAATGGCTTTGTTGTTATCTCCCATTTGCATGTATGCTTTTCCAATATTACCCAACGAGGCAGCTATTTCTGGATGAGGTTGGCTCCCGTAAAGTATTTTTTTCATTGCAAGACTTTGCTCATGATATCCTATAGCCTTGGTGAAATCTCCCATTTGCAAATATGTGATACCAATATTTCCCAACGATGTAGCTATTCCTGGATGAGATTTATCTCTGTGAAGCATTTTTTTCATTGCAAGACTCTGCTCGTGATATTCAATGGCTTTGTTGTTATCTCCCATTTGCATGTACGCTGTACCAATATTACTCAACGATGTAGCTATTCCTGGATGAGATTGGTCCCCGTAAAGTAGTTTTTGCATAATGAGACTCTGCTCAAGATATTTAATGGCTTTGTTGTTATCCCCCATTTGTCTGTAAGCTGCACCAATATTACTCAACGATGTTGCTATTTTTGGATGAGGTTGGTCTCCGTTAAGTTTTTTTTTTATTCTAAGACTCTGCTCGTGATATTCAATGGCCTTGCTGTTATTTCCAATTCGCATGTATGCTGTACCAATATTACCCAACGATGCAGCTATTTCTTGATGAGGTTGGTCTCCGTAAAGTAGTTTTTGCATCGCAAGACTCTGCTCAAGAAATTCAATGGCCTTATTATAGTCTCCCTTATTGTCATATGCGATGCCTATATTACCCAAAGATGTAGCTATTCCCGGATTGGGTGTGTCCCCATAAAGTTGTTTTTGTATTGCGAGACTCTGTTCGTGATAAGTAATGGCCTTGTTGCTATTCCCCATATGACTGTACGCCGTACCAATATTACACAACGACATGGCTATTCCTGGATGAGGTTGATCCGAATCAAATAGTTTTTGCATCGCAAGACTCTGCTCATGATATTCAATGGCCTTATCATAGTCTCCCTTATTGTCATATGTGATGCCAATATTACCAAATGATGCAGCTATTCCTGGATGAAGTTGGTCCTCATGAAAAACTTTTTGCATTGCAAGACTTTGCTCGTGATATTCAATGGCCTTGTTGTTATCTCCCATTTGCATATATGCTGTGCCAATATTACCAAACAAGGCAGCTACTCCTGGATGAGGTTGATTCCCGTTAAGTTGTTCTTGCATTGTAAGAGCCTGCTCATAATGTTCGATAGCCTTTTTATTATTTCCCATTTGCATGTATGTTGCACCAATATTACGCAACGATATAGCTATTCCTGAATGTGGTTTGTTCCCGTTAAGTAGTTTTTGCATTGAAAGACTCTGTCCATGATATTTAATGGCCTGGTTGTTATCTCCCATTTGCCTGTACGATGTGCCAATATGACCCAGTGATATAGCTATTCCTTCATGAGGTTGGTCCTCGTTAAGTAATTTTTCCATTGCAAGACTTTGCTCGTGATATTTGATGGCCTCACTATAGTTTCCCTTATCATCATATGCAATGCCAATGCTATTTCTTATCCATGCTACTTGCTCATTGGGCGCATCTCCGTGGACATGTAAGACTTCTTCGAGAGCTTGATTGCAGTATTTTATTGAAATATCATTATTTCCCAGTGAGTTATGAAGCAAACCCAAGGTATGTTTAACACCAGCAAGTTTTAATGTATTGTTATACGTTGTATCAAGTGACTGAAGTCTTATGTGTTCAAGTTCGAAAGCTTTGATTGCATTTTTAGTAAAATACATTTCTTGATGAAGTTCCCCCTTCATAGTATTGCTACTGTCATAGTATCTTTCCTCGTGTCTACAGGTAGCTATGTCACCTCTATGCGCCTCTAAGAATTGTGACCAAGGTAAAAATGTAGCATAAAACCTGTAGATCGATGTAAAGTCCCTCACAGAAACTACTTTAGGGGATACCTGTGTATCATCTTGTTCAGCTCTCGGAATGATAAAGGATATGATATCTCGTTGCTGGTCATACCTACTGTACACGAGATGTCTCATGTTTATCGTAATACAGACCATGAGCTGTAAATCTATCTTCGCTCGCTCTTTGAGAACATTTCTTTGGTACAATTCCTCGATGATATCAAGTGGGTTGAATGAGATGCAGTTATACAGAAGTTTCAGAGTATTGATAGAAATCGTAGCAAATCTATAGATGTCGTGCTTTGTTCGTAACTGTTTTTGAAATGATTCTGGTATCAGAGGACGTCTGATATAGGTTTTCAAATCATCTTTCAATGTATTCTGTCCACGTTCTGTTCCAATGGTTACTTTGGGATTTGTGGTAGACGGTGAGGCAAGAATTTTATGGACTTCATCATTGTATGTTTTCCAAAGAGATTGATCACCGTGTATTAGAGTAGATGTCATCAACACATCGCTAAGGTGATATCCTTCTTTGATAGCCACATCTTCCGACTGACATTTGACAATTTCCTTAAGTGTCATTATGAGTTCTAGACTAGCCGATTTTTTATGTGGAACACTAGTTGAGCTTCTTCCTAGTGGATGTTTACTTGCCTTGGGTAAGGTTCCATCAAAACATAACCCTTGAGGGGTAGCCCTATCGAAGAAATCATTATCATCAACATTATGGGGGAGTCTGGAATTGAAATCAGTGAGTACGGGGATGTCCAGAACATTGACTTTGGTTTCCCCTAAGTTGATCACTTTCATGTGGACGTAATGAACAAATACTCTGAACTTCCGTTTTATCTCATCACATTCCTTATGTGTTTTCCTTGTAGGATCAAATATGATCGCCGACTCAAGATCTGACCAAGCGGTTGCTTCCTTTCTAGCAAGCGACCCTAACCCTAACATGACATACTTACAGTCGGGTTCACCTAATACCGCTACACACTCATCTACTAACTGCTTATGGAATGCTTTAATCAAGTCTGTTAATTTAGCATAGTATCCTTTACTGTTTGAAATTGTTTGCTTCTCATTGTCAAGACTCATGTCTGACGTAATACTGTCAATTTGCATATCATTGGTATGGATGTCATTGATTGTTTCTGTTGAATATGTTCTTATTGTCTTCAGTATTTCTTTGTACCTTTTGGTACAACTAAGTGTTGGCTCATTGTTTTCACTTGATTGTAGTTTAAGGAAAGCAGTCTCTATTTGTTGGAGTTCATGATGTAAATATTCAGCGGTGAGAGGCTTGTTTCTCACAATTATCTCACCTTCGGGGCAATCTGCCGCACATCCCTCAACGCGTCGTAGAGCTGCATTAAACAGAGTTGCTGCGTAATTAAAATGCCAGCCATCTTGTGTTTCCAGGGCCAACGCTGCGTATTCTAAGCCCAATTCGGTCATTAGTCCCGCTTGTTTCTTAGCTTCGGATACCTGGTCACAGGCTGTAATTTGACGTCCGAGATGGTACATGTATTCGGTTGACTCTAAAATAGTTGATGAAATAAGTGAAGTAACAGAGCAACAAATAATGTAACACATGTGTTGTAATTTACAAACGCGATATATTTTCATTTGTGGATGTTGTGCGTGTTTGAGAGGATTTGACAGCCCTACGGCCCTACTTAAATACTTGACAGAACGTTCGCGTTTTGATTGTTCATTTTCATCATACATTGCCTTATGTTAATTTCAAATCAAATACTTACTAGTTCTTAGATGTGGTTCACGTTTTTATAATCATATGCAACTATTTTCACATACTTATTAGAATGTGGTGCTGGTCCTACCTTTGTTGGTGCTGACAAGGCTCACGAAACAAGCCTGACCGATGAACCCAAGTCTGATAGTCGCTCTTATGCTCTTGTCGTGATCATCTTTTACAGATATTTTATACGACCGATCGGAGGCAGCTGGGAATATTTCCACGTCAACATTATACAGTTGCGTGCACGCCCATATCATCAACATATCTCCCGGTGTCCCTGGTTTGTTCATGTGCGAACCTGTGTAGTACTGTAGTTTCATTTCATTGTCAAATTTCCCCTCATTTTGCTCACAATGTATTCTCCATTCATCATTCGTAGTTGTGTCAAATAGTGCCATAACATGGTCTCCATTCTCCTGTAGATAGATATACTTTTCACTCATAAATTAATAAATCATTCATTTTGAAACGAATCGTTTTAAAATGATTTTCTATGCAGGGTGATCCGAAAAATCATTTACATTTTTGACAAAGCAGCTTTTCTAAAGACAGGAAAATTTCACATTTTTTATAGACCTGTGCACCTGTTTTATTTTGATATACCACCCTAACATAGTTTGTGATGTGCTCAATCCTAGCACGTTGGTGCTGATCGCTGTATAGTTAAAAAGGCTCTATGCCACAGGATGCCACAATCAAGATTGCGATTGTACTGGCCGATCTAATTATTTTCGAAGAAATTAATTCAATCTGATGTTTGAATATACCGGGAAAGTCATCCTGTTATCTGATTGGTCGTTGAATTTGTTTATCATAAACCTGATTGGCTGCCTGGTTCAAGGCGCTTGTGGGCGCTTTGTGACTCAATGAGGATTCCCCTCGCTAGCCAAGGAATCGATTGTGTTTAATTCTGGAGTTTGGTTGTTCTGTTGATTATTTCCGATGTTTCGGCAATAATATATCAAAAGTTATTCTCAAGATATATCCATTGTATGTGAGATATTATATGAGCAATAACAATAGGACTTCATTGATTGTCTGGGGGAGAAACCTATGGCATAATGCATCTTTGATTGCACATTAAGTTTGTAGCGACCTTCAACAAATAGAAAATGCACTTTCTGGCCCAGGTTGAGCCTTGTGAGCATCAGCATGATGTAAAGAAGTTGACTGATGAAAGTTATGTCATAATGGTGATACTGGGCCGTACTGGTTTGAGGACGCTAATGGACGTTCATTTCCTGTGAACATGGACTGAAACATTGAAGTTATGAGGAGAAATAATCACTCTGGCACTGGTGCAGAAGCGAGAGGTTGACATGGATACTGTTATCTATCGGCAAGATGAAGCAAAACATTGCACTGCTTCAGTGCTTCACCTGAATACCTCCGTCATAACTATTCCCTGAAGACAGACTCATCTCTCATCGTATGAATCACACCTGACCTGCAAATTCTCAAGACATTCCCCTTTACAGTTTTTTGGTGGGGATACTTTCAAGGCAGGATCATTGCAAATAATCAGCAAACTATTGATGAGCTAAAGAATATTAAAACAGAGATCAGGAAAAGACAGACTCGTGTCCCATCGTATGATCTCATACAATGTATGCAATAGGGTTGGATTGAGCACATTAAAAAACTACATGATCTGTGCTCACATTATGGTGCTTCTATGATAGTTAAACTGAAACAACACTGAAGGTAGAAAATGCTATGCAATCAAAAGTGTAAATGATTTTTAGACCACCCTGTAAAATCTGAATCACATCAGTCCACTGGTATTTGAGTTATCGAAGATTACATTTTTACGAAAAATGACAGCCATTTTGAAATTCAGTAGACATCTTAAAAATTCCTTTTTGAGCAATCTCCTTTGCCCCTAGGCATCATCTTACAAAATTCGAACCAAATCCATCCATTTGTATTTAAGTTATCAAATATTACATTCATTTACGAAAATTGATGGTCATTTTGAAATTCAGTGGCCATCTTGAAAATCTCTTCATAAGCAAAGCTTCTTTGTCCCTAAGCATCAGCATATAAAATGTGAACCAAATCCGTGAACTAGTATTTGAGTTATCAAAGATAACATTTTTATGAAAAAATGGCGGCCATTTTGAATTGAGCGGCCATGTTGAAAATTACTTCTCGAGGAGAAATTCTACACCCATAAAGACATGAACCTATTAAATTTGAATCAAATCCGTCAACCGGTATTTGAGTTATCATCCGGACAAACGGACGGACGGACGAATGCACGGACGGAGGAACAGACGAACGCACGAATGGTTTCTTTATATCCCTACGGCACTTTGTTCTGTGGGATAAGAAAAAGTGCCAGAACGACTTAAGTTAATCAATCTGATAAATATAAGCCAACGAATAACATGAATTTACCAGTTGTGTATTTTGCTTTACATAAGCCACTAGTTTCTGTCTCAACTCCGTAGGGGTTGTATTAGTCGTTTTCGTGTAAACGAGTTGATGGCAGAGAGCCTCAAATAGACTGTCGCCTGTGTTCTGATCCGGAGTGTTGCCTTCTATCGACCAACCACATTTCTTAACCAATGCCTTGAGAATGAGATAACTCAGCGACGTTTTCATGGATCCAGTATCTGATGACCATTCCTTTTTACTGTTGATAATGGTATTCAGATGTTGAAATGTTGACATCTCTTTCGGAAAAGCCGATTTATTTGGTGGTGCACTCACTTGATTTAAAATGATAAATATTACAATATTAAAATATTATGAACTACACATTTACATCAAAGCTGCATCATCAATGCTTACTGTATGTTCCATTCTTAAAACATAGCATAACATATGAAAACGTGTTCATAGCATCCATAAATCCTTGGCCCAAGAGTAATTCATTGCATAACATGATCTGCTATGAAAGCAGTGAAGGACCGATCTTGAAGGATGCATCCATATGTTGTCGTATGTTTTCCGGTCATTTAATATGGAGAGGCAAATTTGAAATATGATACACACCGTATCTTTGTGTTATATCATTGTTTTGGATACTTGGGATTCGTTTACTTACCCCCTATCACACCAAACTAGTTCTTACCCGTTATTGCCAGTCCTACGAAAACGTCGTAAAACGGGCTCAATCTGGCTGTGGTCGGGAAATATGTCTAAAATAATTAGCTACTTCGTTCATAAACAGTCTTCAATACGTCCATCTCATTCACAGTTCGTTCAATCAGCTCGCACTACGTCGGTGTGCAACGTCGTATAACGCGTCCCTTAGTCTAGAAGGTCATCATGACCGGGGAAGTCCACGAAGTTCGTAAACAGACCGTAGAACGTTGTAGCTACGTTCATTCCGTTCGCACACAGTTTAAAACCAGTTTTGAAGAACGCAGTGGCAACTTGCTTGGTGTGATAGCTATATCTCGTTGATAAATACGTTCTTATTACAGTTTTAACCCGTTTACAATTAGTTCTACCTCGTTCTCAATAAGTTCTCAGACAGTTCAACTCGTTGTAAAAACGTCCCTAGTAGGATTGAAGTACGACGGTTCCGTTCGTAGTACGTCCAGCTCGTCGTTAGTAGGTTGTCACTCGTTCTGATTGTAGAACGTGACGACCAAGAGAACATTTTGAGCATGTTCAAAGTTCTACTGTTGAACAGTTCCTATTGAATAGTGCATATTACATTGATCTAATGGTAAAAACAGTAATCAAACAAACAGAAATGTAAAACTCTAAATGTAAATCTATATGTAACAATTGATATGTACAAATGTAAATAATCTGTTAATGTAAATTGTTTGTAATTATATGTAATGTTTAAATCTTCACCTATGTGGAGGAAATAAAGACACTGAACTGAACTGAACCGTACAAGTTCCCTTTACATCTATATCTTTAAAACGTTCTGTTTTTTCCCCTTATAGCACTGTATCTTACATACTATTTACCTAGCATTAGGTAAGCCTCAAACACTCGAAGCACCTTCAGTGTATCATCTAGTTGTTCAAGCAGTTCCTTTGCCCATGTGACTTTGTTACTCGCCTCGTCGTTTGTGTCTAGATCTGTAATAATATTTCAAATAAACATCAACGATGCATCGCTACAAACTATCAATGGGAGCAATATCGATAATGACTTTAAGACATGTTGAGCTCATATCATTCGCCATTTGACAAATCTATGTTGAAATTATGAAAATCTTGACGATACTTTATTTTGTGCATTTCATGGATTTCCATTTAAACAACAACTGGTTAATTCTGATAAACTTAGTACAACTGGATGAGAAAACGGATCCCCAGCATCACAAACAATAATCCGAAGTACAAAGAAACATCACACAGTACCTAATAAAGCTTACCCTGCGTGCAGAGTCTAGTTAAACTACAAGTGAAGACGAAGCTCTCTTTTAAGAAGTGAAGTCAAACGAATGCAAAGGGTAAATAAAGCTATGCCATCACTTTGGACACATCAGTTGGATATGAAACAAACCCTATTTTGCTTTACAACATATATTCTATACATTCATGAAATATGTTCTTTAAGATCAGATGGGTATAGTAGCGCACGAGCCAAACTAGCTGACAAGTCACTAAGCTTGTATTCGCGAATGCAACTAACACCTGTCGGCTATCGGATAAACCTTCTATTTTATGGTCAACTCATTTCAATATATATGGAATAGTGGCAGGTACTATTCATAATAAAATGATTTGGTCATAAAATAGTAAGTTAATCCGGTAGCCGCTAGCCGTCAGTTACATTCGCAAATACAATAATACTAATTACCATTTGTTGTGATGGAGACTTGAGATGGAGATCCTTTCCCACTGTGTTCTTCTTTTACTTTCTCATCTATGTCCATTACCATTTCAAGCAAAAGGTCTAGGATTTGAAGATCTGAAATTCATGAAGGTCCATATCTCGTAGCAAAAGGTCACCATTTTTCATAAAATGGTATGTTTTATTCCGTATTAATGTAAACAAAACTATCAATACGGAATAATATAAACGACACCGTTTGAATAATTTGTATGCACAGTGTTTACCTTCATCGTCCATGTCTTGGAGTTCGATTTCAGCTTCATTATCAGAGCCACTATCCAGGTGAACGTCATTATTGACAGAAATCATATTCTGTGTACCAAGTACTATGTAGGAATGGAAAATATATTGAATCATCATTAATAATACTCTTTATAATATATACATATGCTATACATTATTATGTACGATTTAAATATTTCTAATATTAACCTCTTGAATACCCAGAATGACGGATATATCTGTCACAAATAAAATCCATTTGGAACCCAGAACGACAGATATATCATATATATGTCACAGAATTTCCACTAAAACTGCTCTAACTTTGGCATTTTTTATCCAATCTTCACAAATTATGTATTAGAATGTATGTAATAGGTCTATGTTTACTATTCTCATGAAATCAAATATCAAACATTGTATTTTTAGATTGAAATATCCAGAAAACTAGCAGAAAATGAAAAATGCTCTGGTTTTAAACCCTTTTAGAGGCTGGTATTCACATTAGAGTACTGCAATACATCGAACCAATTATCACCTTTATTCTTCAATCTTGTCATTGACTCATCCATGTGTCTTAGTTTCCCCTTAATCTTAACACGTAGTTCATTCAACTGTGTTCCTGAAAGACAGAAACATGAGATACAAAATCAAAAACGATGACAAACTTTTTTATGAAATATTGTGTTAGTATACTGTTTATAATTTTGCTTTGTATTCACTTAGACGTTTTCTTTTTCTGGCTGTGTTCTGTAACTATTTTTTGGTATTTCCCCGTTGGTACTTGCGCTTACATATCTGTTTAACTATATAGCAAATGGCCCATTCATAAAACATGTTTTCAAGCACAAAACTTTAATTTCAATGCTTTCGTTCTTCTCACTAACATTATCTAGTCAAGCATAGTAATCATACCATTGTTACTATCAGGTGTCAAGGGCCCTGGGTTGACTTCTACACCTCCAATCAACAGCAGAAATGCAATGACTACTAACAACCGAGGGTCGATTCTCAATGACCGAATCCAAGAGAATATTCTTCCATAACCATATGGGTCATCCATTGTATTTACCCTTCCCTCTCGAGTCTCCTCAAGGCCATTTGTTTCGGATGGTTTTACTGGTTTGCTTCGTACGTGGACGACAACTATGCGTCCAGTGTTCAAATGACGTGGATGAAATGAACCAATGGTACATCGCCACTGCTCGATACTGATCCCCATGATTCTTAACCTAAATACATAACACAAAAATTAAAATGATACTTGAAGTGAAATTTCGATAGATACGTTTTTGACGTTTTTGTGCTTGGTAAACAATCTACATTATGCCTACCAACAAGATTTTAATAACAAAAACTAGCTATTGATGGTATATTTCTTGTCGCTTAACTAAGTTGAATATAGTATTCAGATGCATAAACTAAAACGAATACGTACTAATATTGTTGTAAACCTGTTTTTACATGTATGTTGTCACGCAAGTCATATTCCATCGCCTCTCGAAAAAACGAGAGTTTAGCCAGGAAAGAGTCCTTTCGGATCATACTTCACTGACGTATTCTACCATGGGTATGTGGTTCTGCGACTCCTAAATGGCCCCACATCAAATAATGCCACCTCCGATGCGATGTGATTCACAAATCGCGATATGTTTTTAAGAACACTTCACTGTTAATAAAAGGTTATTTGATTTAAATCAATTTCAAAGTCCAATAATATAATTTATAGCTAGACAGACAGGTAGGTCATGTGTACTAACAGCGATTCGAACTTGACTGTATTCACGCCTTCTATAAACTGTAAACAAAGTCAACATTTCACCTGGGATATATTCGCGATCAATACCCCTGTAAATACGTGTAATGTGTGACGTCATAACGGTGGGTCGTAGTAATGGCGGACCATGATGAATATTCGAAACAATTTGGTTAGTTTTCATGTTCGAATCGTAATATAGACCTCAGAGCAGAGGTTATATCGTCGAATACCCCCCTTGGGGCTAGGCACAAAAGCTTTCGAAGAAAACGTTTGTGCCTAGCCCTATGGGGTGTATTCGACGATATTACCCCTGCTTTTCGGTCTATATTTCTTAATTAAAACCAAAAAAACAAAACACATGCATGTATTTTCCAATTATGCGATTTATATTCTAAAAGTCTTTTCATGGGTGTTTACATGTAAATGAACCATTTGTCGCTGATAATCCAGGAGTTGTCTATATTTTTGAGGTATAACATAAGTCGGTAGGGATAAGTATAACATTACTTGGACTGTTCATACCCTTTGCATTCGTTCAACTTTGTTTCTTAAAGAGATCTTCGTCTTCGTTAGTTTACATCTAGACTCTGTGCGCAGCGTAGACTTTTCATTGAATTTAGCTAGTTTTACTTATTCTTTCGCCATCATAGCCCTATATATGAATGGCACCACGTACTGCGATAACCCCTCCCCTGAATAATTCATTGAAAATGTTTGTTCTCCCAGTGTAACATAATTCCACTGAGCATTAGCGACGCTGTGTAGTGCAAGAAATGTGGCGTTTTACACATTCTGGTTTGCGGAATTCTTTATGAAAGTGTGATAAAGAACGCGTGTGATTTTAGTAATTTCCTGTATTGCTCCTTTTGGTGAACAAAAGAAACGTTGGTATATTAGCTAGATTTATTATCATTTGTTAGCAAATTGAAAGTTATGAAAAAAATATCAATAAGTAAATATGACATCTAGAATGAAGAAGCTAGATAAAAGATAATAAGTTTAGATCAATCCTATTTTTGCACTGAAACAATAAGGAAATCAAAATCAATAGATGGCATATTTAGTACTGTCTTTCTCTATTAGTTTATTGTTATTCAAATGAACTTCACATTTGTTTTCGTGTGATCTCCACCGTAGATGGGGCAATTTGTCTTTAGAGTGAAACTTCAATGAGTGAGAGCACTGATTTTGCTTGCGTTACTATGTAGTATGTGGGACACATCAGTGACGTTTTGTGATGAGTACGTTAAACAGAGGTGGACGCATCAAATTCGAGCAAATGGAGGATTCTGGCGACGGTAAATCCTCCCCAGGTGGCGCTGTGAATGTGAATTGTTGCAGAAGACTTGTGAAGAAAAGGAAAAGTTCAACCTTGGCCAGAGTCTTTCCAAGGCACTCTCGCCGACCTGAAAGAAAACAAATTCTTATGTTCAATCCTCATAGTAAATTACTTTTGTCAGTATAGGCCTACTCATTGAGCAATACAAATATACTAAAAATTACATGTCTCATAACTTTAGAAAAAGTGTTTCATTGACGTTTTTTACATAAAATATTTTGGACCTCCCCTCCCCCATGTTGGGGAGAGCAGGGGGCTGAGGGGATATAATAGAGAGGTTACGTTTTCAAGTACGTGAACGTCAATTGCTTTTTTGGGGGACCTTATCTTAAAAACGTGCAGCTTTAGTTCCCTGTTTTCTTCGAAATTAAACAATATTCATTTCTGCACATAGAATAATATAATAGCTAATTTAAAGATTTAAAGGAAATATGATTTATAGGTCAGCATTAATTTTTTACGTCCCCGTCTAAAGTTTGAAAATATTTTTGTATCATTCATTTACTATTTGTCATGACTTAAAAAGTTATTCTAGAGATTTTTGAAAGAAAAATTTTTTTCAAAAAAAAGTTGTGAGCATTTCATTTTTCAAATATTCAAATTTCCCGCCATTTTTCAAAAAAAGTTGAAATTTTTTAATCATCAAATATTTCTTAATGCATTTCAAAAAAGATTATCTTTTTAACACCAATGCAAAGATTGATCAAAGGACACACTATTTCAATAATAAAATGCCATATTTAATGGGCCACTTCCATGTTTTAGCATATCAAAAATATTTTGCACCATTAGTGATGTCACTAAGGTACCAAAAACTTTTTGAAAATAATTGAAATTTTTTTTCGACGTCAATCTTTTCTAATTATGCTAGACTTCAATAATATACCAATGTTGATTGTCTAACCAGGTTAAAAGGAAGAATATATTATGTTTTAGATATCATTGTACCATTGGTTTCTATGAGAACTAGAATTTTTAAATGCATTTTTCTCGGAACCATTTTCATGCACTGATAAGTTCATTTCTCGCTTATTTATGAACCGATTTTCTTAATTTTTTCGGCAAAAAACATGCGAGGATGAATGCTTTGCATTGGTATGTGTTGTTGCTAATTAAAAGATATGTGTGACCTCTAAAATGTAGTTTTAAATAAATTCACAAATTTTGGAACAAAAAGTCTATCAAAAACCACTTTTTGAAATTTAAAAAAAAAGTTTCACATATCACACTTTGATAACATTGGGTAAGACTACAATATAAGCCAAAGTGGTTTAAACTTTAGATGGGGACTTTAAGAGTTCCATTACTAAAGTGTCTAGTATCACGAAATGTATATGACCTGGCAAAAATATCAAAAAGGTGTTTTACCCAGTCCAAAAGGTAGGAATGCATCCAATTGGCGAATTTTTCCATCTTGATCTATAAAACGCTTTGGTTCAAAACTCAGTGAATTCTCCCAATGTTCCGAGCCTCTCATCGTAGCGAACCAATTTGGATATACCCAGGCGTCTTTGGGTATCTCGAAACCGCATATATTCACAGATCTAATACTCCGGTATGGGAGAGTATTTGGGAGGAAGAGACAGCTCAACCTTTGTATTTCCATTATAGCCGCATCCGTGTAAACCAATCGAGTGCGGTCTGCGGAAGATGGCATTCGCGAGCCACCGACAATGTCATCAATCTCGATTTGCATGTTTCTTTGAACGTCTGTGTTTCTCGCCAAGTAGAGGATCCCTGTCATTATCGTCATGGCTGTGGTATCATGGCCTGCGTCAAATAGCTCAACCATGAGTTGCGCAAGCTGGTCATCATCTGAAATAAGTCAGCGTACATGTAATGTTGATTTTTTGCTCTTCATAAAAAGGCCTACTATAATTATATGACATCTTATTTGTTTCTTTCTTTCTGAATATGAATATTTGTATAAACATCCAGATATCTGCATAGTGGCGATTATTGTACATGAACGTATCGCTAAAATAACACTAAGTGCGTTTAAGACATATAAGCTTACAGAAATGATATAGGTATATCTATAGATAGGTAATCAAAACAATTACTAGAGAAAGGAGTCTGGTTCCCTTCATCTTCAAGGGCTCGTCTTTTTATCAGGTACGCATCTAGAAACCCCTTCGGATTGTCCACATCCAACTGAGTTAGGCTCTCATTGATGAAACTTTTCATAATAGTCCGCATGGCATTCTCGCGCTCAAACATGTCGTCCAGACGCTTTTTATGACTCCGCAGAAAACTCCGTGTGAACAGGCTGTCTCTGAGTGCGGGGAAGTAAGTGAACATTGTCTCATTGAAAAACATTTCCACCTAAATATGGAAACACAAAAGCAAGTGCAAAAAGTTGAAACAAAATATATATGTAACAAAACATATTTAGAAAAAGAAACATCCAAGAGTGCAAGCGGCCATACTCAAAGCTCCTAATATTCTAAACAATGGTCTGATGTCCAAATAATGCATAACTCCTCCCTTCCCATATCATTCGGGAATAGTTATCAAACTCGAAAATCACATTTTCCATTAAAATTCATTTTGAGTAACACATGAACAAGAGAATAGCAATACTCTTATGTCTAAAATATTTCAAAATGGCTTATTGTAAATCCAATAAATCTCTGCACCCCTAACAACAAACATCATCCCTAAACTTGGGTTTGTATCTATACTTTACTCACTTGGACATCTGCTGTGTCGTTCAACATGGCATAAATGGGTTCAGTATTTTCAAACCGTCTCCCAAAAAGTATTGTACCAACGACATTTCCAACGCTAGCCAAGATATACTTCTTCAAGTCCACTGACTGACCTGTAACAAATGATATTCCATATTAACAGATTAAGGCCAACCCTTTTGAGAGGAAATCTTCCTAGTGTGTAAAGGGGGAAACCATGTGGACAATGGAGGATATCATCACTATAGAGATACGTTTTTCAAACGATAACATTAACATCATTATTTTATTGTAAATTATGACAATTCTAGTTCATTTTGGTCACAATAAGTGTGCATTGTACTCAGTAAATATTACAATATAATGTACGCACAAGCAGATAAGTGCCAAAGGGGAAGGACCAAAAGTTGCATTGTTACCTAGCAAAAAAGCAAACTTTAAGTGTATACCAGTCGTAAGAAAAACAAACACCAGGAATCCCAAAACCATGATCTAACGTGAAATGAAACAACGTCTAATAACCCCTTTCCTCTGCCATTCAAGAACCAATATCACAATCCAAGACCAGAACACTAAGGGACATTTCATTATACTGAAGTTATTACAACATACGTTGAAAAAAATAGAAAGTGATAGCCAATACTCATAACATCAAAAATAATTGTAGATACAAGTACTCTGAATACAAGATAGATCATTCAATCTCAAATGATGTGGGACAGACAAAATCCAGTCTCAAAGTCCATAAGTGTTTCAGAGGGTCAACATTCATTCGCAAAGCCATTGCCATAATCCATTATCACAATGTATGATCATCAGGAGAAAACTATTGCTGGTTTTGATCCCTATTCCTCAACCATTAATGCCAAAACCGTGATCCACCTCAAAATGTGGCAAGTGAAAAATTGTAAGTTCAATGCCGTTCAGCGTCTGAAAGGGTAAAACCTTTTTTAACTCATTAAAAAGCGGTAAAACTTGAAACGTTGAATTAGTTTATCTTTAATCTTGAACAATCAATATGTGAGATGAATATAAATGAAAGTGCGTCAAACCGTCCAGTTGTTCAAGCCCTGACGTCAATATTTGCAGCTCATGATGTGTCACTTCTTCAGCACGAAGTTTTCCCATTCCAAAGTTACGCAAAGCTGTGAGTGAGAATCTCCGCTGCTCTTTCCACATATCTCCCTCCGTCCAAATGATACCTTGATTAAATATCATGAAAAAATATGTAAAGGGTTTCCCCCAACGCCCTCAAAATCATGTCAAAGTTGAACCACAAAACATAGAGTTATGAACTCCAAGGCTTTTCTTTTGTTTCTACATGTAATTGGTACAAAACTGCTTGACTTAATTGAGCCATTTGAGGATCTGTGCCATAGGATCCATTAAATGTGGCGTAATAGCCTTTAAAGTAACCAAAAGTGCATTGGTATGTGTATAAAAAATGTAAATCATTGTCATGTATACCGTGTGATTCTGCCACAGCTTGTACTACAGTATCTGGCCGTGCTGCAAAGTTGTCCCCATTCTTGAGGAGAAACTCCTTCAAAGCCGTCGTCCCTGACACTATCACCACTAGTCTAAATGACCCAAAACATATACAGCACTTTTGTGGCAACTTTTATACTTTTTGTCGTAATGAATTAAAAATACGGTTACCGTAGCATATGTAACTGCTACAGTATGTGACCGTGGAAATTCTACGGCGACCTTATCATTACTGTTGACCGTAGAAATTTCAGATCACACGATCATAGTAGTAAATGTGATGGAGGCTTAATAATACTAGTGATATTTGAATTTTTGAAGATAAGCTAATTTGGATTTAGATAATAAATGGATTTAGATAATAAAATATTGTGTAATGCGCAAGTTGGTTCCCAAGACGTACGTACATTAAAACATACATACCTCGAACCAACGTCCATTAAAACATACATACCTCGACCCAATCATCATACTGCATACATGTCCAAACTTCTTGCTCATCTGTTGAAAATATCTGTTTGGGTTATCTCCTAGTAAAGGAAGGACCCCCACAACAGGATATCCCCATGGCCCTGGGGGTAACGAAACAATATGTCGTATTGTTTTGACAGCATATACGATACATAGCACTATGATAATACAACCTATAGTAACTGATAGTCTACCATATGATATTATGGTACTTGCGTCCGTGAATTCAAACACCATCCTAAAGAAATCGTTATGTTGGGTAAAATCTTCTTCCAACTTTTTTCTTTGTAGTTTTATGGTATGTGATTTGACTATTATTATAAATCAAAGTATCGGTAAGTACTACCAGAGATGTGTTTGACTTTCCTTTTATATTGTCAGTTTTGAGAGTTTAATGACATTTTGGATTATTCTATTTAGCATATATTCAATTTAACCACTGCATTCTTCGCAGCAAAAGTTCTGTCAAGGAATGTTGTTAAAGGGAGGACTCATATTTCGATACTTTTTATAAGCAAAAGTATGTTTGCATAAAGGTTTACATCCCAGTGTTCGTTAATGATTGATCATTTGTGAACGTTTGAAAACTGGAATACTTGAAAATAAGTTACATTATGTACACGTTTTTGTTTTTAGATGTCACTATAGCTTCACCTTTAAGAAAAAAATATTTACAGAGTTCATTTGATCAAAATACAACTTTTAACCCAACTTTAATTAAGTATGACATTATAAAAGTAAAACAATGTTACAAAATAAACCACGTTTGATCGATGATATTTATATTATTACTACCTTGCCAGGCTTGTTCTAGGGGTATAAGCGCTAGTTTAGAAGGCATTTATTTTAGTATATCGACCTGAGCAATATGTGTCGTCAAAGTGGTGGGCCATAGTGGCGGGCCAATAATGCATTAACGCCCGGCAATTTCCCCCGGGAAATGAGATATCGTTCAATGCGTATAACTTTTGCTATTTCAGCCCTGGGCATTAACGGTGGTTATAATACTAATAACGTCATTTCTGCGTGGGATTCTGCCTACAACGCGTGAAATAAGGAAAATTCGTACCTTCGAGGTTCCGACATTTTGTTACCGAAATGAACCGTCCATCGCTCGGTAATGATACATGTAGTTTTATTCATGAATCAACTTAACACTCCTTCAATATGACACTTAGTATGATTGTTATACATAGTTATTGGTATGGGCAGTAATACTTGGCATGAAGACATATTACTATCCCATCCACATTATAAATAAGGGATTACTCAATGTTACTTTGGATACGCTTTAAAAAGATATATGACACATACTATAGAAACATTGGTATATGTCTGCCTAGGGGGGGCATACTATCGGGACACCCTGTATATTCATTTTCGTGAAAAGAACGTTAGAAATGATTGTTGAAATATACATTTCTACAAACTAATATTTTTGCGAAAAGCAAAATTTCAATTCACTTTATAGCAAGCGTATAAGTTATACTTTCACTTTTAATCAAAATCTCTCTTATACACACCTAACCATCGTCACCGTACAGCGTCGAAAATAGCGCCGTGCGGTTCTCTGTACGTTGACGATTACTTAACTGATTTGAAGCAAAATCTATGATGAGGGTTTTACAAAATTAATTTGATGAAAACAAAAACGATTTCAAGTGAAATAAAAACGACCATATACCGTCAAGAGCAATATCTAACTAAAATTTTCTGTTGAACAAGAGAAAAAGATGATTGAATCTTTGAAATATTAACGTTACATATTCACTAGTCAGTATCAAGCGTAGATAACGGCCGTAAACTTCGCATCTAAAATGTCGGACGGTAATTGGCGATTTCGATATTTTTTTAGTTTTCATTGAATTAAACTACTTTATAGTCGACGTAATGCTTTGATATTTGAACCAAATCAGGCTTATGACAAGGGAACTATGGAGCATGATACTTTCCTCATATATTGTACGTGGGCACCACAGTCCAACAATATCTCCCACCGCGTAAGGGAAGGTAACTGGAAATTTATGATACGGTAACGGTCATGTTAGTTTTCAATTCGCGGTAACTTGACATCTTAGCTCTCCATTATAAACTCTCATAACGTAACCGCATCACTGCACATCAGTTATCTTATCATCTGTAAAACCAAAATCCCAGTTACCTTCCATTCTGATACTAGTTAAATAATTTATTATATGCCGTTGTCTTTGTAAATTATCCCAAATTCCGATTCCGTTAGCAACGATCATCCTTCTTCAAAGGACTTCATTTATGCTTAAATTCATATATACATGTACTTGTAAAATACCCTTGCTGCAAGGATGGCAACGATAAAGTCCCATGAAACGAGGACGAAGTGATTGAAGAATTGAAGCGACGGCCATTTGTGACAACGGTATCTGACTTTACCGTTGTCAGGCTATTCCGGTGTGAAAATTAAGCAAGTATTATTCAACAAACCAACAAACCTATACGATGCTAGATTTTGAGCCAACCAATCATGAGGAATAACTATCGTTGATGATGTTTTATTCATAAATCAAATAACACTCCTTCAATATGCAATATGCACTTATAATTTGAGTAGTCATTAGAGGCATTTCGTAACGCACTTTGTGTATTTATATATCCCTTATGTTTATAACTTAATACGTTTACCAGGTCGTTCAATAAGTTCAAGGAAAAATGTTTTCATTTCAAAGATTTTTGATATTTTCTCATGAAATTTTCACATAATGTGTAAAAAACATTTTTATTGATTCATTAGTATCAACATCCACTGATCTATAATTTGATTGGTCAAAATGGTTACTACGATAACTTAACTTTTGGGTAGGCGGAGCACTTTTGACGCTGTAATATTTTAAGAATCAATTTGAAAATGATTTATACACATTGTGTAAAAATTTCATAAGAAAATATATCAAAAATCCTTGAAATGAGAGCATTTTTCCGTGAACTTATTGAACGACCTGGTATGTACTTCGTCGTTTGTTGTCATGCAGCTCTATCCGTTCACAGGGAACCATCGCTTAAAAAGTTGTTTTCAAGTGGGCAAATCCTCATCTCGTTTAGCCATAGTTATTATGTCACCAGCAAAAAGTGGTGACATATTGTTATGGTCTCCTTTTTTGTAACGGTGGTTGGCGGATGGTGGTTGGCAATTGCCGTCTGTAACAAACTCGTACATAACAAATACTGTTTAGACTGACATCGATTTACATTATAGTACTAATTTTAAACAATTCGAAATTGCCATTGCTACGAATGACTATAATTACAAATACAAGAACGTGATCCCTACCAATGTTTGAACACCCAAGGAATGAATCGATTCTGCATGTATTACGAAGATTAGCATGTCTTGATTCATTATTAATATCTTAGTAAATTATGTAAATTGATGACTGGAGGTTTTCTTTGGATTACAGCTACATATTGGTAATTCCGTCAAATGCATCTACAGGGTGACACAAAAATCCCACCCACTAATTTTGGAATAACTTTCTCAATAATCAAGAAATCTACGTGATTTTCTGTGTAGGTAGAGTGTTCAATGGAAAAAAGATTGTTGCACTTGGAAAGCATCAACATCTCGCTGGTTTTCTGTCCAGGCATGCTCCCGGCGAAATCATCAAAAAATGTTCAAAAATGCAATTTTCTTAAATTGGGATTTCTGTCTTTGCCAATATTTGAGTCATTTCTGGATTGCTTCCAATACTTTACACCTACATGTATATTATCAATAGAATGTCATATCTACCCATTTTTAAACAATTTTGTCAAAGGATTGGTATCGATTTGGCGAGCTGAATTCAACATTCTTTTTCCTTAAAACCAATTAATGAAGACATTCTGTAAAAAACATGATCATTTATGTAATGGTCACTGATTGGCAACAATTTTAATTTTTCATAACTGTGTTTGTTAACATTTTTTTGATTTTTAGTGCAATTGTTTTTTGTTCCTTTCTACCAATTTTTTAGAATGAAATACAATAGTTTTCTGAACCTTTTTGGAACAAAATAGCATATACAAAATTTTCTCAAACCTCTCAATAATATAGTTATACAAAGGAAAATTTGGTTGATTTGACAAAGAGTATTCAAATATTTGATACAAAAATCCCAAAAATAGTTAAAAATTAATTAAAGTAAACCTTTTTATCTTATTAACAAGATACGTTTTTAAATCAACTTTTCCTTTACCTAAACACGTTGTGTATACTAGTATGTCGTTTTGTTCCAATGAGGTTCGGATAGATGTTACGTTTCATTCCGAACATGTGATACCAAGAACAAAAGAAGTGTCTGATGTATTTTCTAACCCTAGAGAAAAGTATATTTTTCAAAATAAACTGTCACCATTCAAAATATGATCAATAGATTGCCGATGTCTAAAATTTTCAGAATTTTTTGATGACTGGTTTAAGAGAAACATGTGTTCAATTCAGTTCGCCATACCGATACCAATCCTTTGATGATAACATATTGGGTAAATTTTGAGTGATTTTGTGTCAGAGCATGCCTTCACAGAAAATGAGATATCTCTGAATTTCCAGGTTGTGAACAATCACTCCACACATACAAGATCATGATGATTCCATAACTATTGAGAAAGTTATTCCGATTAGTCGGTAGTATTTTTTGTCACGCTGTACTATAGAACCGCGCCGGATAGACTAAACATATTGGCTTAGTCCGAATATCGTATGGTCATTCTATATGTGCAATAAGCCAGCCATCATACACGATCAATTTGCTATATCCAACAAATAGATAAAACAATTGCATGGCAGCGAACAACATACAAAAGAAATCTGACGATTATGTTATTATATATCATTATACTTAAAATGTAATATTTAGCATAACAAAAGTCAGATCAGGAATAATGGTGTAATATTAAGCACAAGTAATAGTTGCCTTATATAACAACAATTGGTACACTAATGGACAGCAGAACTTAAATCATAATGACAAGAAAAAGCACGCGCAATTGTAGATGAAATTCTCCAAGCACTTGCCGACAAAACAAGAACAAATACAATTACACTTATAAGCTGCAAGGGACAAGTTAAAAAGTATGACCAAAGAAAGGAAAGAACAGAAAGCAACTGCGGGTGAAATCCTCAAAACATTTGCGGACAACACTACTGCCCATGGTTGTGGCTCTATAAGCAGGTCCAATCATAAATTTGGAAAATTCATATGGAGCGTCATATTTATCACGTGCATCGTCACTGCATGTCAAGGACTGGTTGCCATTTTCATCAGATACTTTGGTTACCCAACAACAGATACTGTAACATATGCTCGCAAAAACTTGGAGATTCCATCCGTGACCATATGCAGCCTTTTTCCATTCACCATTTCTTCAATGGCAAGTATTCAGCCTGACCCAAACACAGAACTATATAAACTTGTAACCCTCTTCCATTCTTACACCAATGGTATTACGAATGGAGAGCGTAAAAAGGAATTTACTTCGCATAAGAATAGGATAAACTCGTACGCCGCATTGTTTGAGAATACTGAGGATGACCAAAAGATGTTGTACAATCATGATCTGCCAAGCATGTTGGAACAATGCTTCTTTAATGGTAAACCATGTGACACTTCGTTCTTCTCGGAAATAAGCAATGCGAACTATCAAAAGTGTTTTACCTTCAATGGAGCTGGGCTCAATCTGACGAATATGACAGCGTTGCGTACTGACCCGAACTCTGGTTTAAGTATGGTTCTTTTCCTTGATGCGTACAAATCAAATTATAGTCTCGAAAATGGTATGGTCTACAACCCAGAGAACCCGAATAGTGGGACCACCGGGATACATGTCACGATACACTCTCCGCAAACTATACCATATCCGACGATAGAGGGATTCGATGTACCCCCTGGTTACTCAACAACTATTGGTTTGACTCCTATAGCAAGGGAGAAGCTTCCTGAACCCTATGGAGTCTGTACAAGCCAGGAGTACATAGAAGGAACTGATTTTCGGTACTCTGAGTTGGGTTGTTTTGGTCAATGTGCTCAGAAAGAGATAATGGTTCAGTGTGGATGTATATCTGCCTATTTACCATATCCTAACGACACACAAGGAATGATTTACTGTGGTGATCTGGACCTTGATAATTTCTTAAACCCACTTGGACCCAATGTTACTTTATTGGATGATGACTTCAATAGTCTGGAATGTGAGGACAGGCTCATGAACCAAGGGTTTGTAGATAATATGACAGAACGATGTCCACAATGTTTGGCGCCTTGTAAAGTGATGAAATATGAACAGACAATTTCCCAAGCGTATTGGCCATTTGATCATGTCCAGGCAATGTTTCTACAAGAACTGTTCAATATTCATGACAACAATACACGACGATCAAATAAGCTCTTTGAAGATTTCCTCGGAGAATGGCCAGCTAATAAAGATTATCTTATTAACACGGGAATGATTCGTAAGAATTTCCTTCGTGTCAATATCTACTTCAAGGACTTTACAGTTGAGACTACTCAACAAACCATCGCTTATGGTCTCAATAACATGGTATCAGACATCGGAGGGACTCTGGGGTTCTACGTAGGTATCAGCGTTGTCACTCTCTGTGAGTTTTTGAGCGTATTCTGGATGCTGATTGTAGCGTGCTCGCGAAAATGCAAATCGGCTGGGGCAAGAAAATCCGACGTGGTTGAAGTAATGAAAGGGAGGGAGACTAACCAATCTATGTATTATGGCAAGACGCAAATAGACAATAAAATTGCTCCAACTCAGAAGCATCATGACATACATATGAACACTACACAAGCGAATGATTTTTCAAGTGCTTTTAAATATTAGATCCTGGTAGACAGGTACACGATAAATTATTATTTATTTTACAATGTAAGGGAAACTGTTATGGTGGAAACTAGGCAAAATAGCGTTTTACCTCATTAATGTTTGCAGAGGTGTATCTTTATTTATCTAACTATGACTGTTGAATCTAGACCTGGTTAGTATTTGAAGCATTCTGGATACAATTATTTTGGAGAATCACTTCCAGAGCTCTGACCAAAGTAATATCTTAGCTGATGGATGAAAGAACGACACGCGGCATATGTTTAATAGACCTAATATAGTGTAGTAAATAGTAATAGTAGTGTGGTGGAATTGCAATACACAACACAGTGCACCATGCTGATGGCCTCTTAGGAAGAAATTGACCCTAGAAACAAACTTTTACATGTACTTCTAATCTTTTTAATCCGTTTTCAACGTGCATTTTTATGTAATCAGTATGAATGAAATGTTCTTCAACCGTGATTAAAAAGGAACCATTCCATCCTACTTTTCCTTTGTTCTGTTTAACCATGGGCTTTCAAGTTGGCATCCATTTTCAATAGCAAGAATAGGGGTTCCCGAGCAGGACATTGGGCTTGCTTTTTAGAACTTTTTGTTGGCTCTGGGCTACACGCATCAGATAAAATTTTGAGATTAGGGGTTCGCTCTCTGAATGACGTAGTTCTCTAATTGTGTTACGTTACTTTTACATGTTTGAACTGAACTGAACTCTTAAATCAAACTGGTAAACGAGTATGACTTAATAGCTTGGAACAATCAATAATGTAATGAATAAGAAACAATTACGTACCCAATTATTCAGCTATGTAAATTGTAAGGATTATGATATCGGAAAAAGTTAATGCATGTCTACATCGATTCTTGTATTCCATTCCCTCTTAAGATATTGTACTCTCGATGAATTTTGCGGGCAACTATATTTTGCGCTTTCCGCCAAAATCGCAAACATAAAAGCCGCGAATTTCAGTAGTTCTTAGTCGCGAAAAGTAGTATTAGCGAAATTCTTGGGAATGTATTTTCATCCAGTGTTAGGCAATAAAAATGAGATCTTTATATTCATTCAGTAAATGAACCTCCTGAAAAGCAAAACATCGGATGAGGAAAGTACAAGCATGACTGGCATTAAAGTTTGGAGGGTGATTTCCTTAGACAAAGACAAAAACATCTAAAAGGATCAATGTACCCGGGCAATACAGAAGTGCGAAAAACCTTTTAGGGATTGACGGTTTCATGTTTTTGTGGGGTAATATCACTTTTTGCAATTAAAATTACTAAAGTGTTGTTATGTGTGGCATTGAAGCTATTCAGCGGTTCTGATTGCCATTTTACAAAAATTGAAGATTTATCTTTCAAATTTTTTATCATACTATGTCCCGATCGCATGTACATTTACAGAATTACTAACACGTAATGGTACATCTATTTTCGGAAGACTCTTGAACAATGGTTTTAGCATAATATATAACATGTTAGATATCAAAACATGGGTAACTGAAATGAAAATTATATGGTTTTTTAATATTTAATTTTTTATTTTTAGATAAGGGACGCTTAAAAGACTCTATTGAGTTTTAAAGTGCACATTTTACCATGTAATGCGTCGCATTTGATAATTTTGAAATATGGTAATTTGGTCATAACTTTTTTATTACTTTTAAGTAAGTGGTTAAAACCAATTTAGTTCAATTTAGGTATGGGACAACAATTGCTGATGTATATTATATTGCGACATTATAATGTAACTGACAAGCTGATATATAGATGGCATCGATGATGCGTCAACTCACCATCATAGTTCATTTCGAAGACTCGCCTAACACATGTGGAAGACTTGCAAAACCTACCTAAAATGGAACATATGATCACATTAACGCTTGATGCATATAGCATTGGGCACACCCCATTCATAGAGAGGGGCTTTTGCATCTCAATCAGGTGCGAATAGAAACAAGGCACTTCAGGGGCGTAGCCGGCTTTCAGTCAGGGGATGCGATCACCAAAAATTTCAATTTCAGTCGGAATTTCAGTCAGGATTTTTCAGTCAGAAATTGAATTAGAAGCTTCAAAAAAGCATTTTAAAGCTCCTTTCTTTTCCTATCTAATGGACTTATTTTTATTGGTTATGGGAGGGGGTGCGACTACGCCAATGCACTTTGAAAGTATTCCCGAGCAGGACTTTTATCATTCTGATACACATCGCAACTAAAAACCTGTCTGTCTCTCTTTATGATCTATGATGCAAGAGAGGGCCATGGTATTCCATGATGAAGTTTTATATGTTATGTGTTTTATATGGCACTGTTTCATGTGCAGTTTTAAATGAACAGGATTTTATGATGAAATGCTCATTTTATAATAAAGTGAGAACAGACTTGTAAGCGTCGATGCAATATTATTACAACCATTTTTAGGTTTGTCCCCCCCCCCCCCGAATCCGCCAGTGATATATATTGAGCAGGTAAGTCTAATTTGGTTTATTTGGTTGTCTGGGAACGTTTTGTTGGGTTCTGATTTTATATGGTATTTAATGATGTACATGAGCCCATTGAAATGAAATCAATAAATGGAAATATCTGTCATAAGAGAAGATATTTACAGATTTTTATTATACTGCCATCTTTTTTACATTATTAACGTTATTTCTATTACCACTGCCAACTTGAAATTATGAAATTGATTTCATACATAATAATTTCAAATTGGCAGTTGAGTGGATCTAAAAATCTGTAAAATTGCTCTTTGTGATTCTGGTATAACTCATTGGATATAACTCACTGACGAACGCTAATAACTGACATCTTATCTTTTCCCTGATGAAGTTTTCAGCCACATGACTTCATATGAACATCCGACAATTCATGATTAGAACGCTGGGCTAAGCTGCAACCGCAGTACGAGCAAGATGAATTAATAACGTTTATAGAAACATAATATAACTAAATCACTATTAATTTAAGAGCTTAGTTACTTCTTCTGAGCCTTCAGTGGGGGTGATAATGAGATGAGATAAAATGACAATAATTATACAAGGAAATTGGTTTATTAAATGATTGCTTGAGAGCCGTAGTCTAAGGGCGACCTCTGGGAAAAACATTTTCTAATTCAATTTTTAAATCCTATTTGCCTTGACAAGATATTTGTGATTGACAATAATGATATAACGTTTTACACGAATCTTTATGATAATTCCCAATTGTAGCCTGTAATTAGTTAGAGGGACCAAGTCACAATCGATGTTTAGTCACGGACAGAAAATATAATAGGTCCATGTTCTCACCTACGTACTTTCATTCGTAATCCTGGGTTGCCATGGAGGTCCTGGATAAGTTTCGATCTGAGAATTTATGAAATTATTTTCATATTTATTATTACCAATAAATGAAAACAATGGTAATTAGTCTAAATGCTTTTCACATTTGTATTGTAGATATAGTGATGTGGTAGAATACATTGTTCAAAATCAAACTATTTCGTATGTTGAATGACTGACATTCCTTTGACATTTTTTGAAAGTGTGCATGGGCGTAGCCAGGGGTGTGATGGGTGCGACCCCCCCCCCCCCCATAACCAATAAAAAAATAAAACCATGAAAAAGAAGAAGAAAAGAGCTTTAAATTACTTTTTATTTGAAGGTTCTAGCTCAATCTTGAAGGAAGTTGCATCAATTTTTGTAAAGTTCAACATATCATTTTTTGGCTTTTTAGGCCTATGCCACAATCGCACATGTTTGAATAAGGCCTGAAAACCGCGATCTCCCCCCCCCCCCCCCCCCCCCCCCCACTGAAGCTGGGGCTACTGTTGCGGAACTACCTTACGACAATGTGTACCATGCAGGCCCATTATATAACTCAGCTTCTTAACAACAAGCCGAGTTACCATTACTGTTACTGTTAGAAATGGCGTGAAATTTAAGTATTTTGAAAAAGAAAATGCCAATAGCTGTCTTTAGTTTTAACGTTGTAAAATAATATTCTAATATATAAAAATCACGTTTGTTTACTCGATATGCAAAACTTATGATTCAATCCCTCTCGACTGTAATTACTTGAAATGGCTCGCGTGCTCTCAGATGGGATTTGTATTTCAATTTGAACATTTTTAGACTTAGACGAAGCTAACAGCCAATTAGCGGGTAAAGTATGTAAATGGGAGAGATTACCGTAGTTTAGGGCAATCTCATGCAACTCCCGAATTGATAAAATCGTCACCATAAGACTCATCAATGCTTCTATTCTTGATTAAAAATATCTTATATCCAATATCCTAACTTCATTTACAATGAAAATTCATAAACAATAAAAACGCAATATTACATGTAGCAGCCTTGTGAACAGTTCAGTCCAAAAGGAATTACAGTAAACAGTACACTGCCAAAATATTGGAAGCAATTTTTTAAAAACATGTCGATGTTTCATTTACAATCCTGATTGCATTGCCTGAGAACAGATTTGAGATATCGTATCAAAAAAGGAAACGAAATTGCAGAAATAATGTCCAAATGCATTTATTAGAATCGAAAGAGAGAATACCCCGAGTACAAAGGTTAGTCCTTAAGTCAAACGAATGCGAGTGGTAAAAAGGGAACGTCCACTTTTTTATAATTTATTGCTAAATCAATTTAAGCACCTTAAAATCAACGAATTATCAATGTATAAAGTCTGTCTGACTGAAACAAGCATGATGTGGAATGAATGTTGTGGGTAAAAGAAGTGAACAATCTAAAAAGTTCCTCAACTCGTATCTAGTAGCTTGCGTTTTGAATTATATAATTATCCGAAATGAATACAATAACAGTATGTTCTTTTTAATATGAACCCAGGGAGTCCACGCGTGTATTTCATTATTTACTTATTTATATTGAATCATATCTGACACTCTTATGTAATAATGTCAAAATCAAGGCAGTAAACCAAGGTTAATTGAATTACCGTGTGTGGTTCAATTGTACGTAATTTTATATAATTTGGTTAACGGTTTTGTTATTATTTTATCAATGAAATCACCTACTGCACACTATACTGTCAGCTAATTAAATTAAATCTATCTCACTCACTCTCTAAGAAATATAACCCGCTTTCAATGACATTTGTTAAAATGACTCGTACTTTTTTGTTCTCACTTAAAGTTTAATATATGTCACTTGAAAAGTTTGGAAATGAATTTCGCAATCTTGACCTCAGGGGGGTCGTTTCTAATGAGTAACCTATACTATCCTTAACACTAGATATATACATTAGGATCCTATTATGTATTATACTATACAATTCAAAGCTTTTTAAATATCAAAAGACACACTTTTTCAAAAGTTTAGTATATTCAATAAATTTGAACTGTTCACAAGGCTGCTAATATTGCGTTTTTATTGTTTATGAAATAAAAATATTCGTAGAAATGTTGTTTTTATACACTGTCTTGAACACAGTTAATCAAGTCTCTGTCATTTTTGAAAACAATTTCTCTCTTGCTTGTACTAAATCAATTTGAGAGCTTTTTTCGGAAGACAATTTTTGACTTTGAAGACCTCAAACACATAGAAAATATTTTCACGAAGATTTTGATAAAAGAGTATTAACTGTTATTTATTTGCGACAAACCCGCCAATTCAGTTGGTTTTCAAGGCAATTGTTATTTTTAAAACATGTAATTTCACATGCATTGGTAGACAGCAACTGAACAATAATAAAAGTTCGCTTGTGTTCGAAATTTATTTGACTTATATAATATAATGTTCAAGAGTTGTTATATTGCAATTACAAAGAAAACACATTACAAGTTGTAAATGCATTGGGAAATCCGTTTATGAAAACCATGTGCACTTCTTCTCTTGGTCCTTCAGCTAATCTATTTACAATGATTATACCTGGACATCCCAAAGAAATTACACTCGCTTATAATGATTAAATTCCCCAAGCATTTGGAACACCCTGTTCCGCGGGAACTATCTGTAAAAATGCACCTTATTACCAGTAGCCATTAAATTGCACACTTTTGACGAACGAACACAAAATCACAAAAAATATTTATAACATTCAAAAGTTAAGGAAATCCGAGTAAACAGTCGCTCATAATCATGGGATATTTGACAATTGATAAAACATATACACTTTCATCTAAGTGACCAACATTCCATGTTTATGAGCAACTATAATGAACTATGACCTATAATCAAATAATTTTACAAATGTATTCTATTTCACACCCTGAGTAGTATGTCCAAATATTTTCTCTATTTGTATTGCTAAACACCCGATTGACTTCTGCTTTTACTAATCAGATGTATTTTTCGCTTTAATATAGTTTTAAAACTTTCAAAGAGCTGCCATATCATTGGATTTTGGCAAATTAAGAAAATTAAAGAGCTTTTAATACAAATATACTTTAATATTATGTCTATCATATGCATAGACCAGGAAGATGAATAATTCAAGCAAAAGCGAAAAATGCACAAACTATACATGTTCTTGGCCTGTTTTATGTCTCTGATTGCAGTGTTCAAAAGTCTGTTTCACGAAATGGTTTTCGGAACCCTCAACGATACTCCAACGATTGGCGAATCATCAGTGTCGACAACATTAATTTCTTCATTGTCTATGGCAACAGTTGAATTACTATGGAAACTCTGGTTGCTATGGTAGCCAGATCTATGCGCAGTTATAGTGGCTGTTTGTGTTTGAGTATGTGGGTATCCACATAGGCTTCCTGTCATTGAATAGTCTCTAGGGGTATTTTCCCCACTCTCTCCTTCAGATAGTCTTTCTTCCATCTCTGCAGCGTCATTAGAGTCATCATCGTCATTGTCATCTATCCCGGCTTCTGGTCTATCACCACCCGCCCCTTTCCTGTTTAACTTCTTGTGCTTCATACGTCTGTTTTGGAACCATGTCTTTACCTATAATGTAAAAGTTGATGTCATATCCAAATAGGCCATCCTTAAGATTGAGCATTCACTGTCCAAGCTCATGGAATGAACTGGAATACCCTTGGATCAAGGATGCAAGTAGACTACCATTCCCATTGTTTTTAAAACACTTAGAGGCTTATTTGATAGAGTTCCTCTTCAGTATCGCACTTCAGATGATATTAGTTTAATTTATTTAAAAATTATTCTGTACCTATGCCTGTACTAGCTACAAGCCCTTTTGACCCCCTCCCCCTCCCCAAAGGGGTACCTTCATCCCTTAGGATCATAATTTCTTTTCATCGGACCGGTCGACCTACCTGTGTCTCTGATAGGCTCAGTTGGTTAGCGAGGTCAACTCTCTCTGGAGTGGACAAGTATCGTTGAGACTCGAATCTTTTCTCCAGTCCGTTAAGCTGCTGGTCGCTGAACACGGTCCTCGCTTTGCGCCTTCTACAATGTTTCCCCGGGCTGTCGTGTGGAAACACCGGGTGAAGGGGAAAACCTGTAACAGAAAATTAAAAAAAGATATATAAGCCCCGATACATGGATAAAAGCTTCGAAAGATATGTTTATTATCAATAGTATTCAAAATATATTATCTTATCAACAGAGAAAGAATATCTGGAATATGTATCGATACACAAATTGCGAACTGACTCAAATAAAACTTATCACATAATTGATGATATCAATTCTAAAAGGCATGAGCTTAGGTTTATATCAAGCACTGCAGGCCACTGTCGAACAAATACCTCATAGAGGCGGGAGTGTACTGGCATAAGTATGTGACAATTGTAGGTAATTAGCAAACCAATCACTTCTTAAGAGCGATTAGATTCTCTAAGTCATTCACAGTTAGAGGTGTATTGATATTGTCATTGGGCGAAAAGATCAAATAAATCTCTACTCCAGTTACGCCATGGATTGCAATCAGGTCTAAGTCGGGTTGCAGACGGTATAGTTGCAATCAAACCTCAAATTTTGTACCACTTGGATGTCGATTCATCGTTATGGTTAAACCAGAATCGGGGTTTTATCCAATATAAACCGTATAGAATATTGTAACTAAAGAAAATGAGGTTTACATTTTTTTAAAAACATTGCATTATATTTCAAATCAATATCGTGTCAGTCGAATAATGAATTTATTCCGTTTTATTTATTAATAATGATATGATTCGGCTGTGAAAATATTAAGTTTATGGTCGATATTCAAACTAACATGCAAAATATTCAATCAAACCTACGTCACATGTTGTGTTTGGATTTTAATGCAGGTATAACTGTGAATTAGCGAAAAGTTTGCCTACCATTTTGACAGGCTTGATTCTTAACCAATTTATATAGAGTTATCAACATAGCATGACAGTCATTCGATCATGATCAGATGCTCATTCTAAATGCTAACAATGTAAAACTGGTATAACAGGTCGAGAAGTGTGACAGAAACAACTGCAATATGAGATAATTTGACAAGAACGTGTGACAAAACTCCTGTTACACGCAATATGTGTGAAATTGACGGTAATTGCCGTTCCCAATGGTAATCAAAATGACGTCTTTTGTTACTCTATCATGGTTATGCATTTGAATAACAGAAATATTGGTAATTAAGGATCATATACCCTATGGCTTGATATAATTATTGTCTGATTAAATTACTTTCACTTTTACATTATTTTGATTTGTAGCTTATTTAACAGTATGTGTCTACTTTTTTTTAATTTTGCTCTCATTTAGAAAATAAAATTTTAAAAATCAAATTTTATTAGATAGCCATATCTGTTTTTAGTTTGATATATAAACGTTGTTGGTAGCCTTATAAATTCCATTCTTCCATTAGTTTCTGAGTTTTTCATTCATTATTCTAAGGACGCTCAAAAAAAGGCATTTGTTCAATCGAAATTTTACAACTTTTACAACGACCAGTGAAGAAAGGTAAGACCCTTGGACTAAGACACCGCCTGAAAATGAAATTCTGACCATTATATACTTCAATTCTGGTGTCAGATCGTATTTTAAATGTAAGTTGCTTGTTAACAAACACATCAGTATTGGATAAGCCAACTAAAATATAAATATTTTAAAAACCTTGGAGCGAAAATCAACACAGCCAAAACTTTTTGATTGATTTAGTATTGGAGAAATCATTTTGGCGTTAAATCTTGAAAATATTTTCGTCATTATTATGACTTCAAGAGCACTTCACGTCTGTCAAGATTATCATAAGAGAAAGCAAAGATAAAGATATCCTACTTAATCAATTAAACCCCGATGGGGTATCAATTTTACAATTAGGACGACAATCAGGGGCCCGTCTTCTAAGGATACAAGTTATTGAAATTAATGATTCCATATGTCTGTCAAATGAGCCAAATCAATAATCTAGCCATATATCTGGCAGAAAAACTCATAGATTCTATTCGGATATTGCATATATGTGTTTGTACATTAAAAATTGTTTAAACATGTTAGTTTTGATTAAATTTTCAAATTTTTGTTTCTATTAATATATATCGCTGAGTGATTGCTATCGTTAGAAAAAAGTGTTAATTCATGTTGAACAAAATGTTTGTTTATTATTTATCTATTCCAGGTTTTTAGTGTATTTATTCCAGGTAAACCAGACCACATCATGTAAGGTATTTTTATTTACATTTTACGTTGCGTCAGTTGAGTCAGTCTACAGTTAAATAAAATGAAACCATGACTTGTCGGCAACGATTCATTTTCAAAAAGAGCATTGGTTTTAATTTATTATGAAATCATCTGTAAAATGAATGATTGATTAATTGATGATAATTTTTGGTCAAGTCTATCTCGACAAAATATTTTCTAAGTAGAACTATTCTCACGTAACAATGCATGTTTTCGTGTCTTGGGTGTATTAATGGCTTTAATTGATTGTGGATACTTTCAAGCGATTATGATTACCTTCCCTGTTTGTAAAGAAAATCTGGAGTTTGCCAATGCGTGATGAACACAAGCAAATTGCAATCAGTCGGTCTGGACCCCACGATTGCAATCAAAAACTCCGTTTAATTCTTTCCAGTTTTCATGTTTTGATCGAATTTCATCACTAGATTCCTGTACCATTCTAAACAAGTAGCTACGACTTAAGTAAAATTGCCATCCAGATTTATGTCAAAATCTGGTAAGATACATAAACACCTGATACAAAGTATAAGTAAATATACTTTCCGTTTCAAGTAGAAACTTAGAAGTTGTCCGACATCTTGAATTTTCACGAAATAAAATGAAATTTCAGAAACTAAAATCATCATTTCAGCATTTGTTAGTTTAATATAAATTAAGTTTGTATTTTTCCTTAAAAGTGGGTAAATTTTAGAATACATCTATTTGACAAGTTTTATGATTTCTTCAAGAAAGTGCTCAAAATAATTCAAAACATCCATAAAATACAACAAATTCTTCCATAGTAGTCGCATAATATTACGAAACTTGAAATTCTAGGTCAACACTTGAAATTTTAAATCACACGACGTAAGTGTTTAAAGCGTTAATAATAAAAAATATAACCCAAAACTTTTTGAAATATATTTTATATAAAAAGTGTTATTTAAACTCACCCGATGCTGGTAGCAGAAAGGAATGCTCTGCAGTTTTAGACGCCAAATGGGGCGCAAAGATGGAAGGATGTTGTAGAAACGCTGGATTCGGGACATACGCGTAGCCATAATCAGTAAGTGACAACCTGGGTACACCAACGGAAACTGGCACCTCACGTATGACAGATTTAGGCTTGCTTAATAAAATGTCATCTATCAGAAACGACGATCTTGGCTGTCCATTAGTCCCAGGGATTCTTGGCACGAAGCTCATTTTCTTTTTCAAATTCAGTTTCTTCTTCACATTGAAGGCTTACGCTAATAATGTGACATCGCGCAGGGATCTCACTTATATATCCATTGTAAATTGAGATGGCTTGTGTTTTATGTTAATTCGATGCTCCTCACGATGAAGTGATTGCATTTACGTACCCCTACTGGGCGACAAATCCTTCATCATCTATGCTATGGCTTGCCGCCCACTGTTCCCTCCTTCAATCAATCCAGTCATCTCATTTGTTGCAATTATAGAATTAATCTACATTGATTGATTATTTTTCGGTTGACATTTTTTTAATTTCTAGCTGCCAAATATGGTGTTTCTTCTAAAATGTCCTGTATTGAATGGTAGAACCTTACGCGGAATGATATAACGGGATTAGGAAATATCAACAAACCAGATTGTGCGCAATTTCAGTTGCACGCAATCAAATATTACTACACTTCTGGAACTATTTAATTCGTACTCAAATAAATTTATAAATTTATTTGTTCGACCAGGAAAGGGACAATTAGCCTGTATACGCTATCTTAGACTAGCTCAACATGACTACAAGTCCCCATTGCTAATTTTTGATTCTTGATTTTTAATTTAAAATTCAAAACCTTGGACTTTATAATATTTAAAAAAAAGCAAAATACCAATTAGATATAATCAGATTTAATTTAAAATGTGTTTACCTGTAGTGCATCAACGACTAGGTCACACTAGAACATACCATCTAGAACATACCATAATAGTTCACGCAAAACATTAACCATATCAAACATTTGATATCTGATACACCGTACAGTTGACCACAAATGTAAATATTACGATCTCAAATGGATACTTCTTGGATTTCCCAAAGAATGAAATTCATTGACTTCGAGATCCCGACAGACATATATAATTCTTGGGTTTTCAAAAATAAAATCGATTTGACTTTGAGATTTCCCAAATATTGATACTAGCCGGAGAATCTAAGAGTAGGTACAAGATATATTCCAAATATAACAACATGGTATGAGTCTGATAAAAGGGATTAAAACTAAAAAGATCACTGTATCGTGATAAACATACTGTACAAAAAACAGATAACAAACAGATAAATAAATAAATAAATATGATTATCATATTTACCCTTACGCTATCCAGCTTCAAGTAAAAAATATATAGCCAGTCATCTCAGTGAAAGAAGGTCGGTCAGACGGACGGACGGATCTGCAGTCAAACAGTTCATGTTTCCAACATGTATGGTGATTATAAGTAATTGGTGATTTTATATTTAATTAACTCCGAAGAGACATATTTATCGTGTGGCACAGGTATACTTGTATGGCGAGAGATAGCCAATAAATATGCATAAATAAGGTGTTGGTATAATGCTATTGCACAAAAATACAAAAATAAAATACAAGTGATTTTGAGTAATATCATCTCTATTAATGAGTGAATATCAACACGAGTGTTCTTAGCGAATGAAAACTAAGCATTACTTAAAAGAATTGATAAATTAGATATCAATAAATAAATTAGATTTTTTCCAAAATGTGATTTTACTGATATCGCCCGCATAAGGTTAGTAAGCAGTAAGGTTAATTGTTATTGAGTAAGCCTCGTATATAATTATATAGCAGGTTACTTAGAATTTTTACAGCTTTTCCCTTGACACTGTTTCGCATGGCATAGAATCAGAATGACAGTTCAGACACCGACATTATCTCTTTCGAAATCGTTATAAAGGTTTTCAGAGGTCAGCAGGTATACAAGAAAATAATTTTATATAAATTCTTCAACTTCAAAAATGAAAGCTTATTTTTCAAGTCTACTCTTTGCAAAGATCTACTAACTTTAAATTATCTTCTTAATGAGAGCTTCCTCGTTTTCGTAGAATGTTTTCACTATAGCATCTGACGGTACCCTGCGTGCAGAGACTAGTTAAACTACTGAAGACGAAGCTCTCTTTTAAGAAGTGAAGTCAAACGAATGCAAAGGGTATATGACGGTCGGCTTGTTAGAGAAATCAGAATGATAATACAGTAATTTACCATGCATATAATGGTATTTTACTGTTTTGATTCGCATTTAGTTTTAATTGCTTTAGTACAGAATTCAAAACATCGTACTCAAAGTTGCGCTCATTACCATATGCGTAGCCGGTGGGGGGGGGGGGGGTGATAGGTGCGAAATAAGAAAATAGCTTTAAAATGCTTTCTATTTGAATCTTCTAGCTCAATTCTGAAGGAAATTGCAACAAAATTCAAAATAAATCTTTCTTTTTTTGGCTTGTTTATGCCACAATCGCACCCCCTCCCCCTTACTAAATGCTGGCTACGTTCCTGTACACGTTGGACCAATAAAGACTATATATATTGATAAGGTCACAAACATACAGCCAGGATTTAGATTTACCCTACTAAAATCTACCTTTGAAAATGTTAATCTAATATGGTGGTCTTTTTACGTTTGTTAATGGATCCAGAAGAATATGTTTTTAAAAATCAATAATAAAAATCATTCCTTTCAGGCGTTGTTACCTAAAATTAACACTTGATGCTGTGCATCTTGTGCAAATTTTGGAAAGCGACACCTTCAAGCAACACTTCAAGGAATATTCATTCCACATTGCACTGATACCAATGAATATTTAATTTAATTTTCAATAAAGAGACAAAAAAATATGTGGTAGTTTGAAACTAGAGTAAGTTTAGTAAGAGATGCATGGATAGATATTAGATTCAAAATGCAACATTTTGGTCCACCCTGCTGAAATTAATCAATTTTGGGATTTCAAGAAAATACAAAAAATGAGGAATGCGATAATCGCTGATTAGCTTTCATTCTCTCATTAAAAAAATAATTTTAATATGATCATTGAAATTTTGTTTTCTTGATAGTTCCTTCAAATTGAGTTTTACTTTGTGATTTTTCAGCTTTGCTATTTAACATTTTTGATCTGATTTCTGTTTCTCTGTATCATCCAAAATATCTTTACAGCCACGTTTGATGTCTAAACACACGAAATGTTCGCTTCTATGATAATAAATATAATATAAAAGTAATGTGTCCATTATTAATGCTCACTTTATAAGATAAAGACGCTTTTAGCGATGCTTTTAGTTTCTCAATCAGCGTCTTCAAGTATAATAGTTTATGATTGGACGTCATAATCTAACCAAGAATAACCAAATGGTAGCTAATTAATAAATTGCAGGATATCAATCTTAAATTGCTGGATAATGAAAGAGAAAAGATGTGTAATAACACGTCTCAGCTCCTATCAACGACATGATTTAATTAACTACTAGGGGCATTACGAACGCTATGACAGATCCCCCGGGGACATAGAAGAGTCACATTCTCAGAAAACAGAATACAGTTATATATCTTGTGATATGTAACCAATGTACAATGGTAACACGCAATATGGTGGAAGAATGATATAAAATATATGATTAACAATACCACACGTTACTTGCTATATTTCGGATATACTAAAATGATGGGTATAAAGTGATATTTAAATAATGGGACTGTCATAATGATCTTGTTTTTGTTGATACTGATACAGTTGAATTTCTCATATTTTTTATTCCAAGCTTAAACAAATAAGGCAAACTGTCACCAAATGCAAAAGGTTACAAAAGTGTAACACTTGTTACAGACGCCGGCCAACTACGCCTGTCACAGAGAAACGGTGGCTAAAACAAAATGTGGTGACAAAAACGAAAGATTAAAGCAACCATTGGTAATCCCTGGCCCCTAGTATAGCTGGACAAATCTCAACAAAATCAGTAAGGCAAATTAAATCTGATTTGATTAACTCTGTATAAAAATTGCTGAAAATTAGTTGTAATTACTGTGAAATCTGCCATCCTTTTACGCTAATAAAGGGCGTTGACTAATTTGAAGAGTTTAATCCTGCGGGCTCTGAATGGCGATAGTGCACAGAATAGTTCGCTAACGAACCCGAGGCGCTTAACAATCTTTTCTTCACCAAATCGAATTACCCAACTAAGTATCTCTGGATGAATTTTACGCTAATATTGGAAATTGAATTACAAATCAGTTATTTTACTTGTTGGCTGCAGCGACTACATTGACTTTTTTACCCTTTACTAACTCCCTAATTGAGCTCTAATTGTCCCTACTGAAGAGCCCTACTCCACAGGCCCTTTCAGGATGTCCGTCGTAAGGAGGAAATGGTTGAGGTATATGTGAGAGACTAGAGAAACAGCTATCCATATAAATTGATGAGTAGACTAACAGGCTAATTAATAACACCACTTACTTCTTTATTGTTCGATAATTGAGTCCTGATTTTTGGTAATTTGTCAAGAGGGGATCAGAATAATGATTTCAATAACAATTTCGTCCTCACGATTATCAACAACATGCACATGCTTGTGGCCAGGGGGTCTCCAGGGGGTCTTTGTATCGAGACCCCCCCCCCCCATTTCAGCCAGGAAAATATTGACTTGAGACTCTAAAGTGTTGCTTAATAGCTCATATTGTAAAATTGTCAGTTTGGTATGTCACTACCCTGCGCGCAGAGTCTAGTTATAAACTACGAAGACCAAGGTCTCTTTTAAGAAGTGAAGTCGAACAAATGCAAAGGGTAGTATGTCACATGACCAATTGATAAATTAAATATCATTGTCCTAATCAAAAGATGAAGTAAACGGTGTTCTTTTTGAGGATGTTACTTCGGTCCACTTCCAACATCAGACCGCCAAACACACTTGTAAGATAACACAGTGTAGCACTACACTTTTTGTGGATTTGTTTAAACAAAACAGTATTCCAATTTTAAAATTCCCTGTCATTTCTCGGAAAACTAAAATTACCCGCCCACTAACGTGTAAGCAATTTTTGAATAAAATAAATTCAATGTAGAATATGTAGCTTTTAATATTAAATCTTCAAACTAAGTAGCTGATCATTAAATAAAATGGACAGTAGTTTTTACTAACAATTAATATATCAGTGTATTTCAATATTTAACGCACAAATATTTACACACAAATTAATCTGACTGGTTGATGGACAGCTCGTTAGTGACATGATTTAGTGAACTGCCATTATACGGTTTTCAATGGTACCATTTCATGGTACAATGTTAATCAGAGACATATAATTGTTATTATGTTAATCATAATAATGGTAGAATATAAACATTTTTGACTATCAATAGATTGCTTATAAATGTAACTTTGACTTTGGACACCAGGAAAATTATTTTCTGAAATCCATTGCCCGGGTCCCTTGCTCTGTCATAAGGAGGTTTCATACATTCTCAAAGTTTTCTTTCATTTGGAATTTCATTACTCAATATTCAGTCACATCCCGGTTTCACATAAAGTTTTCCTATGTTATACTCTGAATTCTCCTTGCACAATTCTCTTATAGAGTTCTTGGTCCATAGGTACATAGGTAGCCTTGGTTGTATCCATGAAGTAAAGGGGATCCTCTATTCCACTGGGATCAAAGCCATGTTCTACTAAATCCACCTGAAACAAATATATTCTACATATAAGATGTGACAAGAGGTGAATGGGATTGGAGTACAAGGGATAGAGATGGGCTGAGAGAAAGTTTCCAAAACATCGTCACAAGTTTTCAATATTTTTTCCTCTCATCATTCAATGTTATGCCGTTCTCAAACAAGCCCAACAGATCTGACTTCATTTCAGGATGATCCACTCTCTTTCTATCCCTTATAATTCACATATATCAAAGTTTAAAACCCCGTTTCAAACAAAATATGGCAAACATTATAAAGGGTGATAGAAATAATTTTTAAATAAAGAGGGCAGGCCAATCAATCTGTGATAGGATTCTACTGCTGCTGCCATCTTTATATTATCCCAAAACATATGGGAAATAAGAAAATGTGATATAAACATCAGTATTCCATCTGAACTCAAACAATACAAGGTACCTTTTTCTGTTTAAATGTCGCTGTTATGATCATTTCCTTGATGCTTCGTAGGAACCTGGGACGAGCATAGACAGGAAGTAGGTCCTCACAAGCTGCATAAATAATCTTAAGCTGCTCTTCACTGGGGAGGTTATTGTCCTTCATTGTGATAGCGGCCATCCCTGCTCTGCCATCGTGACCTAAGGATATAGTTAAAGTTCAATCCCGGAGTTTAATGCAGGTCGAGACTAAAATACTACACTTGTCAACAATGTCTTGAAGGTTTTTTGTGGGTGCGCATAATCAGGGCTTATTCATTGAAAATTAGTATTCAATCAAAGGTACAATATATTAGATCAAGGGTAGGCTGATATAATAATTTACTTTCCATCTTTTGGAATTCTAATTGATAAAAGGATGCATGGAATTTTCATTTTTATATTTTTGGTCATTTTTTAACATGATATCAGTGAGCAATCCTTGTGTATAACTCCAAGTTAACTAGCAGTATTTTTTATTCCAATCAGCCAATCATAACCATACAATGATGTGAATCTGCTTGTTTTCAAGAGTCTGAGACAGCAATATAATGTCAGGAGAATATTGCAAAAATGTTAATGACCACCAGATTTCCAGACATTTACATTACAGGATGACCCAAATGCAGCATATTCATCATATATAGTTAGGGCCAAGTATCAATACAATCTAACACAATATTCTCTGAGGGACAATATCATCTTTTACACTGGCTCATATAGCATGTGTAATATCTTCGCAAAACAAATCTAATAAGGGGGAGTCGTTCAATATAGAAGACTGTTGAGTGATAATTATCATAAATTTTGGAGGAAAGAAATTTGAGCCTTTGTTTAAGTTTTGTGAGAAAAAAAGATATACTAATCAGTGTAAAAAAAATATCGACCACCAGGGATTATTGTCCCTGTTTGTATTGCTATGTATGTGGGCCTGCAAGTGTATGACTGATAAAATAAATCGGTTCACCATTACATAGGCTAAATGGCAGCAGAAATAATCTTTAAATAAAGAGGGCAGGCCAATATGATTCTACCGCGGATGCCATCTTTAAATCAGCCTAAAACCTATGATACGGAACTGAACAATAAATACTAAAGCAGGGAGCATTTCTACAGTATGGCTACACCCACCAATAATTGTACAAGATTAGAATACACTTGAGATAATCAAGAAGTTCTTCACCAGATATTACCCATAAAGATGGACTGACTAATGAACAAAGGGCTTCCCTGTATCCCCATCAAACTTTGTTCATTGGGGTTATAAACACTACTGAACCGGCCCCTAATGCTATATGGGAATGCTATGAAATTACCTGGAACTTCTACACCATATACATTAGCATCTTCAACACAATCAAGGTCACTGATTACATTGGAGACCTCTATTGTAGATACATTCTCTCCTTTCCATCTAAAAATAAAGGAATGCATATTAGCGGTGTTCTCAAGTATATATTGCATGAAATTATACACCCGTCCCCTCGTGTTCATTGAAACAGACTTTTAGAAAGTGCAATTCTTAAGTCAGAAAATTCAAATTGAAAGATAAAATATGATTTCTGCACTTTTAGTAAATGAATGACATTTTACCACCCACCAACTGAACAAAAGTAATCATGTATAGAATGCAGTTCAAAATACAATGACAAGGCCTATCAGTCAAAATGGCAGGTAAAAGAGCAAAAATAAGAAATATTTATGTTAATATACAGGGCGGCCCAAAAGTAGGTTTAAAGTATACTATTGAACTACTTTTGGGCCACTCAGTAGATTATAGAACAGTTAATTACACATTATCAAAACAATGAATCCTAAATGCATGATTCTCAAACAATAAATAACAGGGGATACTTGCAAAAGGATACTAACATATAGAGAATAAATTTAACCTGTCTAATCCATACACCTCAGGGAGTGACCAAAAGTGTTCATATTAGCAGGTGTTCACATTTCAAGCTTTTTTTATCAAGTCAGTCAATATGAAATAATAAAATTGGGACAGAGAAAGGGATACATTATTAGGGGTGTTTAGATTAGAGAGGTGTTGAGATATACAGTTTTTACTGTGCTAATGTTCAACTAACAATCATACCTATGAGACTAACTTACCTAAATGTATCTCCTATTCTATCTTTGAAGTACACAAAATATTCCTCATCTCTGCTCATCAAATCACCTGAGTTAAAGTACCTGAAGCAAATGAGATATCAAGTTAACTCACCTATAATGGAACATTGAGTTAACATACATGATTGTGAGGTGTGAGCTTAAAGCCCCAGTGTAAAGTTTAAAAGTTTCAAATATAACTTTTCAGTGGCCCTACAGTAGAATATGTACATATTAATGGTAAAATTAAACATGTTTACAGTAAATAAGAGTGGAAAGTAATGTAACATACTTGTCTCCTTTTTTGAAAACATCAGTTATGATCTTTTTCTCTGTAAGTTCTGGTTTGCCCATATAGCCATCATACTCCGTGTCTCTCTTGATCTTGCATATCATTAGGCCAGTCTCTCCTGGAACACATCATATTGGATCAGGCCTGATACATAAGCTATACCCTTTGAAAAAATGTTGCATTCCCAGCAGGGCTTTATATATACATATTAAAATAAGAAGTTCTTTGATATATCTTATAGGCCAAATCATTTGATACTGATTTCTATAGGAATATAGTTTATTTATTCCATAATACTACTGTTTTCCCAGGGAAATATGAAGGAATAAAAATCGTACTGAATCGTATTACATGAAAAAATCGTATTGTCCCCGGGAAGAAAATCGTATTGGAGCGTATTACATGAAAAAAATCGTATTGTCCCCGGGAAAAAAATCGTATTGGAAAATATTAACCTATTTTTGGTTTTCCTGTTATTTTTAACCTTAGCTAATTGATAAAAGCATTTTCAAAATGTAACATTTTAGAGGAATGTATTATGGAATAAATAGGTTATTTCTGGTCGGGATTGAATATGGGTTTCATTCCTCGGAAAATATGATATTGACCTTGGGAAATATGATATTGACACTCGGTCGCTGCGCTCCCTCGGTCAATATCATATCACCCTTCGGTCAATTTCATATTGTCCCTCGGAATAAAACCCATATTCAATCCCTCCCAGTAAATAACCTATATTTATATAATAATATCAATAATTTCATATACTGACCTGCTTTACATCTTATACAAAAACCATTTTCATCCCTCACTGGTTCATCTTGCTCTACGCTGTATTTTATGAAGTCAGTTGGGAATAGGAGACCCTGTAAAATAACAAAATTGCGATATTTAATGAATGTGTTCCGATGAAAATTTTTAAAGACACCCTGTATTTCTATGGAATGTAGTATTCACAGTTTTTACCTCAATAAAAACATCTAAAATATGCCCCATAGCCATTGCTGTGGCCATGTATTTCATAAAAACACTAAGAAAGTTACTCACAGTGAAAGGGGAGGACCTTCCCACAGCTGCAAACTTATTGAATGTGTTAATGAAGCCTCCATTGCCCTCAGTGGCAGCATAGAACTCTCCTATAACCTTGATATTGAACCTCTGCTGGAAGTCCTTCCAAACATCAGGACGTAGACCATTACCAAACGCTATCCTAACCTCATTGTTCCCATCATTGCTGCGCTATATATCAAGAGAAAGCACATGGGTCAACATTAAAAAGCACAATTTGACATGAGCTACTATGAACCATGGCACAACTGAGTTAGAAAATCCAAGTATCAAAGAATTTTAATTTATGTAATTTTACATAGTGAATTATGGGAAAACATGTTTACGCTTGAAATTTTCTTTTTTGAACAAAATGCAAAAACATATTTATTGACTACAAACCTGAAAAGTGGATCAAATGAAAATAAAAAATATATTATGAAAAACTGTTTGTTCCTTACCTTGGGTTGAGCCAGCAGGTATCGACATATTTCCCCAATGTACTGTATTACAGTCACTTTGTGTTTCCTACAGTCATCCCAGAACTTACTGGCTGAGAACTTGGGACTCAAAACCAGTGTGGCCCCTGAAGTGAAATATGTCAAGTTGATTAAATCAAAAAATGGGATCGACTCATTACAATATGTACACTAAAACCTGTCAAAGTGGAAGACCTTTGTTACCTCTAAAATGTGTTCCACTTGGGAGGTGTTCCACTAGGAACTCCATCAACAGTACAGAGATGTTCCACTTTTAGAGGCAAGTCATTCCATAGGGGGAGAGGTTTGGAACAGACATTAAACAATACAGGCTTTTTGGAACCCTGATCAATCAGTTCAAAAACTTACATATATTTTTTGTCAATTACAAGGGCCTCATTCCAATAATAAGTGATGTGAAATAAAATATAGTTTTATATAGTTTTTTTTAGTCTTGCCTAAAGACTGTGCCCCCCCCCCCCCCACTGTGTACTTCACCTTCCCAACACAAGGTGATGTACACAAGGGGGAGGGTACATAGTCTTGAGGCAAGTCTTTGAGGCATAGTCTTTTGTCAATTACAAGTACTGATTTCCAATAATAAACAATGTAAAATAAAATTCCTCCAGCAATGCTTACCTTGCTCAACAACATTGCCAACTCCTATTAGAGCAGCAGCAGAATGGTACAGAGGGAGTCCCGTGTATAAAACATCATCATGTTTCATACCACACAGCTCGATTAGATTACCCCCCTTGAAAACCTTGGAATGTGTCACCACAGCAGCCTTCGGAAGACCTTTAATATAATACATCAGAATGTTACAGCCACACATACACTTTTTCCTTCTTTCAGCCACAGATAACTTTTCTTTTTAAACTATTAATTTAATGATTTAATTAACAATAGTCACCTATTTTATTTCCAATAATACCTGTTTCAATTCCTATCATGGATATCTTAATTACAGTCATACCTGTTTCAACTACAATCACACCAGTTTCAACTACAATCACACCAGTTTCAACTACAATCATACCAGTTTCAACTACAACCACACCAGTTTCAACTATAATCATACCGGTTTCAACTACAATCACATCAGTTTCAACTACAATCATACCAGTTTCAACTACAATTACATCAGTTTCAACTACAATCATACCAGTTTCAACTACAACCATACAAGTTTCAACTACAATCGTACCAGTTTCAACTACAATCACACAAGTTTCAACTACAATCATACCAGTTTCAACTACAATCACATCAGTTTCAAATACAATCATTCCAGTTTCAACTACAATCATTCCAGTTTCAACTACAATCATACCAGTTTCAACTACAACCATACAAGTTTCAACTACAATCATACCAGTTTCAACTACAATCATCCCAGTTTTAACTACATTCACACAAGTTTCAACTTCAATCATCCCAGTTTCAACTACAATCACACCAATTTCAACTACAATTATACCAGTTTCAACTACATTCATACCAGTTTCAACTATAATCACACCAGTTTCAACTACAACCACACCAGTTTCAACTACAATCACACCAGTTTCAACTACAATCACATCAGTTTCAACTACAATTACACCAATTTCAACTACAATCACACCAGTTTCAACTACAATCATACCTGTTGTGCCAGATGTATAGATATAACAAGCTGGGTCTTGCATTTCTATGTTTGCCCTGATCTTTGCATTAATGTTATTTGTAGGCGCCTTTTTGTAGAGGTCATCAAATGAAAGGTAGCCCTTCTCTAAAGTCTTATCACCATGGCCTTGGACATAGATCTTCATGTCGTCACTGCGGATATCAGAGTCAATCTCTTGGATAGCATGGAGGAGCTCATCTCCTACAATAGAAATTATTTTTCACGTCCAACCACAGCGGAGAGGGTATTTCAAATTCATCTGTGTTCCGGAGTATTTTCTTCATGGAACCTTTCAATAAACTATACAATAAGTATATTGTATGATTTGTATATCCTATACATGTATGCCCTATTCCATATGTCCATATCATAAAAGGCGTAATCAGTTCAATAATACATGAGAGTTCCTTACCTTTTCCCACAATGAGAACCTTGGCATTACTGACTGCATAACAATGCTGGAGGGACTTGTGCCTCAGGTTGAAGTTGAGAAATGCAGTTTGAACACCTATCTTCATCAAACCTGTCATAAAATAAAATAAAATGAGGTTTATAAATAACATAATATTATGTTGTGTTACATACAATCAACATCAGATAATCTTCAATTTCTTTTTCAGGTAAAGAGTTTTGATTTTCAACCCCCATGCCCCCCCCCCCCCCCCCCCGGCCCTCTTTTGTAACAAAGCGGGGAAATGTTTGGCAAGAAAATCAACATTTTACAATACAAAATCCCCATTCATTTCTCAAACATGACCATTTGTTTTCCATAACATAACAACACCATCACTTAATTACCCTACCCAAACACTTATGAGTTATTCACTCCTCGTCTTTTTCATCATAGATCTGTTAAACAAACAAAAGAGGCAGATGAGATCCTGGCTTAGACTACTATTGGCTAAAATATAATTCATTTAGACACTGTCTCATAGGCAGCATAGGAATAGTCTGGGAATTTGTCCTGTAAAGCATGTGTTTGTACTCTCTATTTGTGTCTTGATATCTTGTGACTTATTCTTTTGTCCGGAATGTCTGTTCTTTACTAATTATATAATCTAATAAACTATAATTAATACTACTATATACTTTTCATTCCATATTAATCAATTATTTGATAAATAAACCACATAACAACCAGCAACAGAGGTTGTATGTGAAAAACCATTTTCAATATAGAAAAGCTCATACATCTCTTTATGGTGTTTATCAGTTTAAATGTTTTATAGATTGTGCTTTTTATCATTAATTTTTGATTTTTTTCACATTTTTTTATTTCAAGGTTACATAGTTGAAGCTTATATATCTCAACTTAAAACATGACCTTTAACATCATTTAATTTCACATTTTTATACTGTTCTGAGGTATAATGGAGGCACTAACAGTGTATGTTCAGATAAATACAAATCAAAAGGTATGGACTGTGAATAGGACCAACTTTCCTTATTTTATTCATTAGTTGAACTAAGTGCAAAGTACAGATATAAACAAGATTTCATAGACTTCATAGAAATCATCAGGACCAATATAAATTAATAAACATATCAATAGACATAAGGTAAGATAAAATGAGTTATACATGTACATTATATTCTTATAATTTAAAATTGCTTTCAAGTGTATTGGAATAAAACTGCATTCTTAAAAATCTTTATACAATTTCTAGGTTTATTAAAGGCCTTAAGCAAAGTTAAAAAATAGTGTTGTATTATCCAATATTATTTTATTTTTTCCAATAAATATTCAAATTTCTCACCATTTTTGCAGAAAAAGTTAAAGAGTTTAAGATCATCAAATAAGACACATTTTCTAAATACCTTTAGTCTTTCAAAACAAAGCAATGTTATTGTTAGCCTATATCTTAGTTGAAATGTTATTTATCTCTTATTTTTCAACACCGTCTTAATTTTTCAACATGAATAGCTTATAGGATGTGCTTTTTATGTATTGGTAATTGGTATACAGTAAAACCTGTCTTAGTGAACAAACCTCACTATTGAACACCTGTCCCTAGTGAACACCCTTTCTCCCAACATACTCTATGAACTCCTGTATGAATTATCCTCTCTGTAGTGAACACCTACCAACACATTTTTTCTCAGCAAAATCATGTGTTGGTAGGTGTTCAATACACAGGTTTTACTGTAAATTGATAATGCTAATGGATGCTAGATGTTAAAGTACATGCAAGTTTAACTTTCTTTTACATGATGTTAATCTTATTCATGGGAGTAAGTCACTCCCCATCCCCATTTTATATTGTGTAACATACATAAAATACAGAGGGGAGGGGTCAGTGCCCTACACCCTGTGCTCATGTTAAAATGCTTTTCAACTGATCTTACCCAAGTAAGTTGCCAAGAACATCGGTTCATTGTAAATCATGACAGCTGCAATATCACCACGTCTTAACCCACACTCAAGAGCTGCATGGCCTGCTTTGTTGGCCATATCGTTCATCTCACTGTATGTATACTTCTCATCTCCGAAAATCAGGAATGTTTTGTTCGGATACATCCTCGTCCTTTGCTCAAATATATCCACCATTGTCCAATGTTTCGCGGCATATCCCATAAGTTTCTTCTTTGTTTTCCCTAGTTTTGCGAGGTACTTTAAATCCAGTGCAATCCATGGTGCTTTGTACTTTATGATGAGGTATAACAACAAACCAACTGATCCTCCTAATCCCCCTGCCCACAGAGCAAAGTTAAACAGGCAGCCTAATGCTCCCATCCTCAGAGCAGTTATAGCTAAGGAATACTCTATATAGAGCTGGTGTTACTTTTTGAACCCAGGTCTAATACTCTAAAGTAGCAGCATAAAGTTCAGTTCAAAGTGCACATCTTTTAGTATCTGGCCAATAAAAGCTGTCTCTCAAGACAACAAGACTACTGATATATCAAACACATCGTGTGATATGTATACATCAATATGTGTGTATACTAACTAATACAAACACGAGACCCCTGAACTCTGGACTAATCTTGAACTAATCTGTTTAATAAATCATAAAGTAATATACATTAACAAGTCCAGTTGGTGTGCCTTTCAAATAAGCAGTCTGGTAGTATTGTATTGTATCCTTTATTTCCACAAATAAATAGTGTGCATTAATATATTTCACTTGGAGTGCATTGTAAATATAGTTTTGGCTTTCAAAACCATTGCTTTCACATCATCAGATTTGAAAATCTGTATTATCACATTATTTTTAACAATTCTAAATAAATTAATAAAACTCCATCTCTTTTAACATCTATGGATTTTTTTTCTCTTCCTGGTTCCTTCTTTATGAAATGTTTTTTGTTTCTATTTGTGTTTAAATGCTCCAGCTGTTAACATAGACATGTACTAGCTTAAAACTCTGCAGTGTAAAACACTGCTCAAAATTGTACCTTAAATGGTTAAGTACCCATTTAATACAGTGCTATTAATAGATTTAAAAATAAATGCACATGTACTAAACTCAATGAATATAAAATGTATTAATAAATGCATTATTTACTGAATGACAGGATACAAATGCTGATGGCAAAATACCAAATTGTTGAGGACCAGGCCTAAAAGGGGTATTTATAGACCTGAAAATTCAAATTGTTCATTCAACTTGGCCAACCTTAACTCTTGAGTTCCAACTCTTTTGATGATTTTTTGCAGCTGTTTGATATAACGGAGAAGGACTGAGGCCGATGAATAAGACATAACATGTTTAAAAGTATGCCTCATGTTCAAGGTTTTTTTTTACTATAGTGCACTGTATGTATTCATGTTTTTTAGTTTTTTATTCACTTTTTATTTCATATGCTGTTACATAGAAAAGTTACAATACTGTTTTGTTTTCACTTCACATAAATAAAACATATAAATAAAGCTGAAAATAATGGATACATCACAAGAAATGTGAGTTTTAAATAGTGCATTACTTCATTCCTGAGCTTCAGGGATGCAAGTTTACTGAGATAAGGTACACCATACTATTCAGGCCCAAAGGGGTAAAAGCTTTGTTACACCTTTTTAATAAAATGAGTCCACAACTAACATAAATTAGGTAAATTCACCATTTTAGTTGATGCATTCTGGAACTTATAATATTATGTAAGGTCATGACTACACAAAATTGTATGACTACATAAAAGGTCAGGGTCAGGGATATGTGTAAGATCATGACTACATAAAATTGTATGACTACATATAAGGTCAGGAATATGTGTAAGGTCATGACTACATAAAATTGTATGCCTACATGTAAGGTCAGGAATATATATAAGGTCATGACTACACAAAATTGTATGACTACATGTAAAGTCAGTAATATATATAAGGTTATGACTACATACAAATGTATGACGACATGTAAAGTCATGAATATATGTAAGGTCATGACTACATAAAATTGTATGACTACATGTTAGGTCAGGAATATATGTAAGGTCATGACTACATAAAATTGTATGACTAAATGTAAAGTCATCGTCTACATAAACTGCAGAAACAATTCTTAAGGCTAGCTTTAAATAAGGATAGACTTTCTCACTCCTTTCTCACTTTACCATTTTTATATACCTACATGTAACATAATATAAGTGTTTTCTTTTACATGTAGTCTAGATGTCATTTTAATAATTTCTGTTAAACCGCAACATATACCCAGTAGGGTGTCTAGCGGCTTGTTTTTATAGTGTATATTATATAAGAATTATGAAATAAATAAAAATTGAATTGAATTGAAAGTCAGGAATGTATGTAAGGTCATGACTACATAAAATTGTAAGACTACATGTAAGGTCAGGAATATATGTAAGGTCATGACTACACAAAATTGTATGACGACATGTAAGGTCAGTAATATATGTAATGTCATGAATACATAAAATTGTATGACTTCATGAAAAGTCAGGAATATATGTAAGGTCGTGACAACATAAAATTGTATGACTACATGTAAGGTCATGACTACACAAAATTGTATGACGACATGTATGGTCAGTAATAAATGTAATGTCAGGACTACATAGAATTGTATGACTTCATGTAAAGTCAGGAATATATGTAAGGTCATGACAACATAAAATTGTATGACTACATATAAGGTCAGGAATATATGTAAGGTTATGACTTCATAAAATTGTATGACGACATGTAAAGTCAGGAATATATGTAAGGTCATGACTACATAAAATTGTATGACTAAATGTAAGGTCAGGAATATATGTAATGTCATGACTTCAAAAATTGTATGACTACATGTAAGGTCAAGAATATATGTGAGGTCATTACTACACAAAATTGTATGACTACATGTAAGGTCAGGAATATGTGTAAGGTCATGACTATATAAAATTGTACATAAAAGGTCATGACTTCATAGAATTGTATGACTACATGTAAGGTCTGGAATATATGTAAGGTTATGACTATGTAAAATTGTATGACTATTTGTAAGGTCAGGAATATATGAAAGGTCATAAGTTTATAAAATTGTATGACTACATGTAAAGTCTGAAAAATATGTAAGGTCATGACTCTGTAAATTGTATGCCTACATGAAAGGTTTTGGCTATTTGTCGGGTAAAGATAATATGGAACTGTGTGAATGCATGAGTCATGACTTCTAAAAAGGTAATTCCAAATGACCATTGTCAGTTCATTGCAGTCCCCTAGTAGTCATAATAACATATTAAATAAACTAGTCTCTAATGTGTCACTTGTAACATCAGCTCCATACTTTTATAGTTATCATGAAACCTCAATATGACATAAAAATTATCAAGCTGCATTATAATAAGTACACAAAATATTTATTTATTTATAAAAACAGTAAATACATAGTTATAAAAATACTTGTTAGTCAAAGATCTGGAGAAAAATCTTAAATAGTAAGAAATATGTATGACATATAAAAACCTAGGCCCAAATATAAAAGGAATAACTTTTAAGCTCGACTATACAATGTATATAATGTGAATATGTTTACATGAGAACACCTATATATCTAGTAGATGCTAGAGATCTAATAATACACCTCCGTATCAAAAACATCATATTGTTTGATGCATACCAAATATTGTATTGCAGATCAAATATCTATAATAGTTTTCAATAAGACTTGAAATGCACCACAATATCATTAACTTTAAGAAATAGAGGTTCTTGTACGAGTACCTGTGCAAAATCGTCCATTCTTGATGAACTTTGATAATTCTTCTTTACCAACTTGAAGATGAGATACAGAAACATTATCAAAAAGAAAAGAAAGATTTTCTCATATGACGTTGTATTATGGCGTATTTTCACCTTTTCAGTTTTAAGACAAAACTGAGTGAAACTTTGTCTAAAATAGATCCAAATTGGAAATGGAACTTTTATCTTTCAATTGCAATGACATCATACCAGTATTAATAATGACAAAGCAGCTGCATTTGGTACTCAAACAGATTATCTTCAATTCACTGATGAACCTAATCACTGTGGAATACTGCAGATATTCTTTTCATATTGCTTTCTAGAGTTTGAAATCACCTCTAACTACTTCCTCATACAATTTACTATCCAACACTACATAAGTCTTGTTCCTGTTGTCGACAATATATAAAGGGCTATCAATAGCAGCTGGGTTGAACCCATCTTGTGAGTAACTGACCTTCATCTGCTTATAAGTCCCTGTCAGCGAGATCTCTTTCTCCAGGCGGAGGAATTTCGGTTGTGCATAGGGAGGAAGTAGTTCCTGTAGATGATGAAAGATGTCTCTGAGGTGAGTGTTTGACAGCTCCACCTGGTGTTCAGTTAGTGAAACTACTGCCATGCCAGCTTTACCATCATAGCCTAAAAATATGATATGTATGAGGGTTATTAAATGGGAGGTTTACGATAAAGGGTATATCCTGAGAGAAATACAATATATCTATCCAAGGGACCACAGGGACCGAGAGTAGATATATTATATTTCCAAAGGGTTATATCCTGTATCCAGACCCGAGCATTAACAACTGATTTATCCTATACTTAGTAGATTATGAGGATTAAAAAATGAATGCTGAGAGGGACATACACCAGGAGATACAGTGGGAGATATATCTCCTGCTCACCTCAGGTATCATTATTCCCAATTATATTCCCCATGTGTTACACAGCCCAGCTTATATCCACATAGAAATGTGAAAATATCATGTTTGCCATACAAACATTACCATTAATCCTATTGGCTTCTGAGTATTTGACTATTTGTTTGTTTCAAATTGAAATTTTTTTTCAAAATCATCTAAGGTATTAGTACAAGGAATTCATAGAGGTGGCAAATATTTAATCAAGTGATAAAATAAAATAAACTTGACATCTCAAAAAGGACCAAAATGAGTTCTAAAAATAAAGTCTAAAAATGAACAATTCTTTCAATTTTATTCCCATGCTACTAAGAACGATGTTTACTTATTTCAAAATATGTCTACATAAAAAATCAAAGTGGATCAAAATGTGGTTGTTTTTCTATAGAATAAATAAATTATTTTTTATGTTCAGTAAAAAAGTTCAGTATTGACTTAGTGGTTCCTTGGGATCACAGTATAATGCATCAGTGTGGGTCTTAGGATTTTTCTGTCACTTGACAAGTTATGAAAAGTTACACTTGCCAAAATGTTGCCACTGATGATAAATTATATGTATACTAGTTTTCTTGTGAATAAAAATCTTTAAAAAGAAAGTAATATGTTTATATGCAAGTATGTATTTAAAACTGACTTTGTTCTATAAAATTCAACAATGGCGAATTTCATATTTTTCATGTTAGACAATGTGGTGCAGGGACTTCAATTTTACACTAGACTCTAATTATTTACATCCGCCTGGGGCTACTGTCGAGTGGATATGACCCACACTGTGCATTCATTTTATTTTCCATGCTTTTCAATGTTATTCCCGCTTTAAATCTTATTCAAACAATAGGAAACAAGGCATTAACATGACAAAATGTCACCACCTAATTGAAGCAAGATAAAAAAGACCTTTTTGACCTTGAGGAGGTCCTTAAAGGTCAAATCAATTTTGACCTTAAGAATGTCATTGAAGGTCAAATCTATAGTCAGATTTGAAATGTTGAGAACTTGTAGATTATTTTGTCAGATTATTGACCATTTTTATCCATCTTTAAAGTGTGTTGTAATTCAATCTCAACAAGGCATTAAAATGACAAAATGTCACCACCTTGTTTCTCACAATATTATGAGTTCAATCTTAGTCAGATATGAAGCAAGATGTAAAAAGACCTTTTTTGACCCTGAAAAGGTCATTGAAGGTGGAATATCAAATCTAAAAAAATTGGTCAATTTGAAGCAAGATGAAAAAGACCTTTTTGACCTTGAGAATGTCGTTGAAGGTCAAATCTTTTTTTGACTTTGAGAATGTCATTGAAGGTCAAATCTATAGTCAGATTTGAACTTTTAAGAACTTGTAGATCATTTTGAAAAAAAGATTTGTCAACTTAAAGCAAGTTGAAAAAATATCTTTTTTGACCTCGAAAAGGTCATTGAAGGTCAAATCTCATATCTAAAGTCAAATTTGAACTTCTGATAACTTGTAGATGATTTTGAAAAAATATTGGTCAAATTGAAGCAAGTTGAAAAAGACAATTTTGACCTTTTTTGACCTTGAGAAGTTCATTGAAGGTCAAATCTCAAGTCTAAAGTCAGATTTGAACGTCTGATAACTTGTAGATGATTTTGAAAAAAAATTGGTCAATTTGAAGCAAGTTGAAAAAATACTTTTTTGACCTTTTTTGACCTTGAGAAGGTCATTGAAGGTCAAATCTCAAATCTAAAGTCAGATTTGAACCTATGATAACTTGTAGATGATTTGAAAAAGAATTGGTCAATTTAAAGCAAGTTGAAAAAAGACATTTTTGACCTTGAAAAGGTCATAAAGGTCAAATCTTAAATATAAAGTCAGATTTGAACTTCCGGAAACATGTAGATGATTTTGAAAAAAATTTGAAGTCAGTCTAAACAGTATTTGTTGAGTTAGTGGAAGTTGTAAGAATTTGTTACAGACGCTGATCCAGGGTATTTCCTAAGGAAAAATTGCTTGCCGGACATACGGACCTGTGATTTCAGAATACCTCTGGTCCGTACCATCGTGTGCCGGACATACGGACCTGTACTTTTAAAACATATCCGGTCCGTATCAACATCAATCAGACCGTAAATAAATTGCAAAGGGGTTTTCTAATGCCTCTAAAGTTTTGAAACATCGGATAAGCCTATGTTGTAAGATTTCAAGATCAGCATCACAGCCCTACTGATCAATAATATAAGGCCACTGTCATTCTACTCTAAATCAGGATTCAGAGCCATATAGGCACTACTATGATCTCCCAAGACCCCTTTAACTTGGCACTGTACCAAGCGTAACTCTAACTCCGCCTAGTTTGCACCCAGATGGAGCTTTGAGCTTGGTTGAAGTTACCAGAAGTGAAAATCGAAAATGAAATTTCATTATAATCTACATGATTTGGTGTCTTTGAACAGGTAAACTATAGCAATTATTAAATGTTTATGGTCATAATCGTAAATATGATTTTAAGCAGGGTTTGAGCTCCCCTAGGAACCCTCAGGTGTCCTACGTTTACGGAATTAATGACAAAAGTCAAGCGAATAAATGTATGTCAAAGATTATAGGGGATTCCCCTTGTGCATGACCTTCACGCTGTTGCCGATATTACAAAACAACGATCCGAAATTTACCTCTCGTCTTGAAAACAAAACGTATTTGCAAAATTTGTAACATTTATTTAATTTTTTGCATTAATCAGAGTTGTCATTAGTTTATACTGTGGAAAAGTCAGCTTCCAATCGTCGGACATGACTTGGAAAGTATGTTTACATGTCCAGTTAAGCCATCGGTCACGAGGTCCGGTAATTTTCAATTTCTATAGGACCCTGCGAAAATTGGTCGGTCTGGTCCAACGGTCCGGCGCTTAGGAAATACCCTGCACTGATCGCCAACTGCCGATCGCCAACACAAGCACATTTTTTCATTAAATCCAAGACTTACCTGGCACAGCAACTCCATAAACACATGCGTCTTGTATAAAGGAACAACTAGATAATACATTCGAAACCTCCATTGTAGACACATTTTCACCCTTAAATCTGAAACAGAGATTTTCAAAAATGCAGTGAACATCAAGATAATAACAAAGCACAAGGAGCTCATGCGTCTCCAACTCACTACCTCATGTTTACGACACAGCATCTAGCTTGGCCTCTTCATCACCAACCAGAACAACGGCAACGCCAAAGCGTAGCGAATCCCATCGAACAGAAATGGCTGGCATTTTTACAAACGAAATATATAGCAAACATCATAAAACAACACACCAGAAAGGCCACCATTTTCAAAATGGTTGCTCACTAGCCAAGTTGTCATCAGAAGAAATAATATGCTTTTAAGTAGCCACCTATAAAATCTTTGAAAAATCGCATACATGTACTTGTAAAATAACACACATAAAAATGGTGGCCATTTTTCAAAATGGCTGACTACTCCCCAAAGTTTTATTAGACAATGTGCCATGCTTAAAGTATTTACATATCAAATATGAACAAAATTGCTCCACTACTTTTCGAGTTATAGTAGTTTTCGAGTCATTTTTATAAAATGGCTGCCTACTATCTGAAGTGTCATGAGATAGTGTGCAAGGCTCATGAGTATTCACATATCAAATATGACCAAATCGCTTCACTACTTTTCAAGTTATAGTAAAAAACATAAAAATGGTGACCATTTTTCAAAATGGCCACCTACTACCCAAAGTGTCATTAGACAGTGTGCCATGCTTATAGTATTCACATATGAAATATGAAACATACCAAATATGAACAAAATCGCTTCACTACTTTTCGAGTTATAGTAAAATATGTTAAAATGGCGGCCATTTTTCAAATTTTTTTTCAAAATGGCCGCATTCTACCAAAAGTGTCATAGGACTAATAGTATTCACATACCAAATATGAACAAAATCGCTCCACTACTTTTCGAGTTATAGTAATATACGTTAAAATGGCGGCCATTTTGAAAAATGGCCGCCTTCTACCAAAAGTGTCTTTAGGCAGTGTGCAATGCTTATAGTATTCACACACCAAATATGAACAAAATCGCTCCACTACTTTTCGAGTTATAGCAAAAATCGTAAAATAATGAGTAAAGGCCGCCATTTTTCAAGATGGCTGCCATGTGCTTCTTTAATGTCTACATTTATAGCTTTATTAATGTCCTTCATAATTTTTTTACATTTAAAACGTATTGCTATTACAGTTTTACATATTGCACCTAAATTACTGTAAAATCGGCACTAAAATGGCCGCCATTTTGAATTGAGCGGCCATTTTGAAAATCGGCTTTCGAGCAGAACTTCTACTCCCATAGGGTATATTTGTACAAAATATGAACAAAATCGGGCCAACGGTATTTGAGTTATCGCCCAGACGGACGGACAGACGGACGGACGGCCGGACGGACGGACATACGTACGGACGGACGGACGGAGGCGTTCCCTATATCCCTCCGAACTTCGTTCGATGGGATAATCATTATTATACCAAGCTATAAGATAATTAACAATTTAGTAGTATTATCATAAATAATACAAATTCAACTCATCACAATACTTCTGCAACATACTGCAGTGATCTCCCCAGCATTAAAGCAAGTGGGCACAGCACCCACCTGAGATTTTAAAAACAGGCTTACACCCACCTGAAAATCCATTTGCACCATGCACTTGAAAATGAGAAAAATTAGGAAAAATGGGCATATTTTGACCAATTTTGATCTGAATTGTGAAAATTAGAATTTTGAACCCACTTACGAAAAAATCATGTGGAGATCACTGTACTGTAGCAGTTATTGTAAAATGGAACATCTCTGTAAATGGAACAGTTCTTTTTATCATTAACTTGATGTAAAATAAACCTCTGTAAGTGGAACATCTCACAAATGGAACATGTATTTGAGGAATGTACCAAAGGTGTTCCACTTACACAGGCCTTTTTGTATTTCTAAATGTTACTAAGAGTGCAATCATCACCCTATTTTTTATTTACCTGAATGTATCTCCAATCCGGTCCTTGAAATAGATAAAATACATGTCATCCCTTGTGAAGAGATCCCCTGAGTTGAAGTACTGATCCCCAGGTACTAGAACGTCCTGCAGAATCTTACTGTTGGTCAATGAGGCTTGCCCCTTGTAACCATCAAACTCTGAATCCTTCTTGATCTTACATACCATTAGGCCTGCTTCCCCTGTAATGTTAAAGTATGTATACAAACTCTATCTTTTATGAAGGAGTTTTTATCAAACCTGACGATTGGTCAAAGTTCCTTTTTGGGCAAAATTGGTAATTTTGTGGTCCTTGTAATCTCTTGATAAAGTCTGGTTATGGCAATGTAGCGTGGCAGTTTTCCCATGTATTCCTCAGTTTTTCCATATTTTCCTTAGTTGCCATATATTGTATTCATAAACAAGGCATTTCAAGCAAAATGTCACCACATGCCATTTGTTACAGACACTGAACTCCAAACGCCACCTGCCCAAAAATGTTGGAGACTATGACAAGAGGTAATTTACCTTTTTCAGCTTTGATACATCTGCCATTAGAATCTCGTACAGCAGCACCCTGCTCAATGTCATACTTCACAAACTCTACTGGGAAAATCTTTTGCTAAAAAATTACAATCTTAAAATTATAATTTTAACTTCCCGGACCTTACTGGTTACTCACTAGCCAGGTTGTCATCAGAAAGTGAAATATGCTTCTAAGTAGCCACATATAAAATGCCATGTGCTTCTTAAATATTTACATTTCTAGCCTTATTAATGTCTTATACAATTTTTTTACATTTAAAACATATTGCTATTACAGCTTTATATATTTTACCTAAATTACTGTAAAATCTGCACCAAAATGGCTGCCATTTTTAAACGAGCGGCCATTTTGAAAATTGTTTTTCGAGCAGAACTTATTTATTTACGTATGGAGGCATTCCCTATATCCCTCCAAACTTCGTTCGATGGGATAAAGTCAGAGGATAGCAGCTTGGGATCAGTATATGTAAGAGCATGTAAGTAACCCAGATCATCTGCTTACCAGAAGAGGTGACAACCGCCCTACTGATCCAAATTTGTTGTCGATATTGAGGAAACCTGCATTGCCCTCTGTTGCGGCATAAAACTCAAGTATCCTTGGTATCTTGAAACGATCTTTAAATTCCTGCCAGATATCAGAACGTAGGCCATTCCCATATGCCACTCTGATTTTATGAATGCCATCTTGTGAGTTCTATAAGAACATGGAAAAATTGATTGTGATCGGTGTACAGTAGAGAAGACATGGAGACTGAGTTATATACATGTACATGTATTAGTGCCAAAGATGAATGACAGTGAAAGCAACGAAAACTGAGAAACAAAAAGAAATTACTAATTCACCAATTTTTCCAAAATCTTTTTGCTATGGATCTATAATGGAAAAAATAAAAATATTACAAGCATTGGCAAAATGTCATCAACTGGTTTTTTATTTGAAGTTGCAAGAATTTGTTCGGATGATAACAATATGTCACCACTTGTGATGTTGACACAAAAACAATTTACATGTGTTGAATTATTTTTCATTCATTGATTTGTGGAATCATTAAAATTCCTAATGCTGTATACATATAATTAAATTACCTTAGGTTGGGCCACAAGGTATCGACATATCTCGCCAATGTACTGTATAATTGTTACATCATAGTTGCGACAATCGTCCCAAAAACATCTTGCAGAGAACTTGTTTCTCAATACAATGGTGGCCCCTGAAAAGTAATTTTGAAGAACTCTGCATTAATCCTTTTCATGTGTGATGTTGATTAAACAGAAAATAATTCCTGACAATGCGCAAGTAGAAATGTACGTAACATCCAAATTAGTTGCACAGCTCTTTATTACATCACAGACTTACAGAAAGGTACTTTAAGCATTGTTCTCACCAGAAGTTTTTCTCAAGTGGGTTCAAAATTCTTAATTTTCATAATATTTTGCATTTTCAAGTGGGTGCAATTGGATTCTCAAGTGGGTGCAATTGGATTCTCAAGTGGGTGTGGCACCCACTTCCTTTAATTCTGAGAAGATCTGCACTGTTAAGTATCTAGTGACATACGTACCTGATGCAATGACACCTCCAAATGCTATAAGATTTGAAGCTGAATGGTATAGCGGCATAACAATATAGAACACATCATTCGCTGCCATATCTGCATAGCTACCAACCAGGGATCCCCTCAGGCATCTTGCATGTGTAACAATGGCAGCTTTCGGGAGACCTAAGAGTGACATGTGTAGATCATACAATTACAATACTTACACTGCATTTAATGCCGGGATTTAATTTTGATATCTAATTGTATTAGACAATGGTTGTGTTTTACATGGTATCATTGATGTGCTCTATTTACTTATAATGTCATTACTAAAATTGATATTCATGTATTTCTTGTTCTCTAGAACTGGTTTGGAAAAAATGAATCATAAAAGGGTTCATGTTGTGGCAACAATACAAAGTAACACGGAAGTTTGGAAAAAAGTTGAATTGCTTTTTAAAAAAGAATTTTCCAATAATAAAAACTTCGGACATTCTTTCTCAACAAAACTATTAAATGCTGTTAAAAAAAATCAAGACCACCAACCCTAATTAGCATGGGAAAAGCTTCATATGTTTTACCTGTAGTTCCTGATGTATATATGAAACAGGCTGGGTCAGTCACCTTCACTCCTTCTCTTTCTGTTGCGCTGATAGGTTCCTTAGAAGCATTACAATACATGTTGGTCAGAGAGATGAATCCAGGAGGTGGATCTGAGGTACCAGAGATGTATACTGGAATGCTATTGTTTTCAAGAGGTCCTTTAATGTCCTGTATGGCTTTGATAAGTTCATTTTCTACAAATAAAATACATTTGTAGTATGATAACAATTACATCAAATAACAATTACAAAAAGAACCACATGTTTTGGTTTCAGTGATTTAATGACAACATTCAAAATGTCACAACCTGCCATTTGTTACATTTGTTACAGACGCCAAACACAAACTGCCAAACACCATCTGACGAATAGTATCCACAAACCACAAAGAAGTTGGAGACCAGTTACAATATGTCATTACTTCTGGTGGTAACAAAAAAAGTCAAATCAGAAAAACATGAATTTTGAACTCTCAAAACATCGAGATGGACAAACAATATACAAATATGAGCAGTGATATCAACAACTGCATTAAATTCAATTATGCATTGCTAAAATGAAAAGAAAAAATAAATGCTATTATTTTGATTTAATTATTTAAAGTAGTTTACCTGCACCAATGATAAGAATCTTTCCCCCACTCACATCTAAGGAATGCAGCAAAGATTTGGCACGCAAATTGTAATTCAAAAATGCAACCTTTACTCCAATTTTAAGTGCTCCTGAAAAATATTTTATAACGTATTCCAAGGCCTCAGATCTGCACCCACTTTAAATAAAAGTAACAAGAATCATGTAAAAGTAAACATATTTGACCAGTTTTGGTCGAATTGGGAATTCTGCACAAAAGATTAATGAGTGCTTTATGATACCTTTACAAGCCAAATCTTGAATTGATTACCTAGATATATCCAGATGAATGCCGGCTCATTGAACATCATAAGCGACAAGATGTCTCCCTTTTGCAGTCCCAACTCTTTCAGACAGTGACTTATCTATAAGTAAAACACAAATTACAATATACACATACGTGTGTAAATAATCATGTGTTTGTTATAGATCAATTTCTTCAACCATGGGCTTTCAAGAGCCCATGCTTCAACCTACATGTACATCACTGGTCCATCTTAGGTACTCATTTTGCATTCTTTCCCCCATCCTATAGTCCAAATTACCTAAATGAAGTTGAGCTCTATGATGTATTGAGGAAGCAACAGGACCTTAAAAGTCTCACCCTTAGTCTTCGATCATTTCTCTGGTCCTTTATGGTTTATGGGGGGGGGGGGTTATAAGGGCTTGAAGCATTGCAAGACTGCACTATACATAGTCATAATACATACCTTATTAGCATTTTCATCTGCTTGTTTGTATGTATACACCTGCTCAGCATACTTCAGAAAAACCTTATTCGGATCTTTCCTCACTGCTTCCTCAAACAAGTCAGGTAAGAAGGTACCAGAATTTTTCCACTTGATAAAACGTTTTAATCCTCGAAGCACCAGAAGAAAAAACTGTATGTCTAGCCATATCCATGGATATCTCACATGGACTAATATCCCAAGGACAATAAATCCTATGAGTACTGTAAGGAGTATATCCAACATTTTGATCACTCAGAATCCCAGGCTTATAATGAACCTATCCCAGGCCAGGTATATAGCTTATCTGAAAATCAAACAACCTGAGTTAACAATTTATATACAGCACGTCCTTGCATAAAGTAAGCTATAAAAAGAACAGTATTATTACACATCCCACCTCTCAATTAATTGCCTTAGATTCCTTTGCAATCTAACATATGGTATCCTAACACCCCTCTGGTTTTTACTGATGACCAAGGAGGATTGGCTCCCAGAGTGCACCACCGATATTCTGTCCCATATATGGGTATGTCGTAATACAAAATTCGAATTCAAACAGCCGCCATTTTGTTCACTTCAACATTTAAATCGTGAATTTTGGTCTTATTTCCAAACGAAAAATTCCAAAACTCACAAGAAACGATCGAGATATTGGTTCGAATCTTTTGAACTGTTTATTTTGAATTTATAGTCGGTTTTAATTTCAGAAAATAACGACATTTCGACGTTTTCATTGTTGGAAAATATCGAGTTTCGATCCTGGGAGCCAATCCTCCTTGTGATGACATTAACTTGGACGCGTCCAACTAAGTATAAAACTAGTAAGTACACGTGCTGAGTTCCTCAATTTCCCCATACAAGTGCAATCTACGTACTACTGTATAGAAATTTTGTCAACCTACAGAAGTTAGGAATATGGACAGCAACAACAACAACCCCATCCTAAAGGATGTTAACCTCAACAACACAGCATTGTATTATGGTGAACTGGAAGAGGGTCAAATTATAGACTCTGCTTCATTAGGCTTTCTTCAGAACTCCACGACTGACTTTGGAAATTCTGCATATAACATGCCATCACACACCAACACCAGCGGTTCACTCGACAAACATGCTAAAGAAGTCTTGCTTCAGTCAGACTTCAATCCAGATCTTCATGATCCCAGGCTCGCTAAAGCCAGTGATTCTAGGCTCTTTCCTCGAGGGAATGAGGTGCAGGACACTTTTAGCAACAAACATCAGAACCCCATGTCTCACATGAGACCAGGTGGAGACTGTTTACAGTCCGATAAATTGAACTCTATAGGATTCAATTCTACAAACATTCAGGCTTCTAAAAAGCTACTGAAAAAACAACGCGATTTACAACGCTCCAAAGAACCCCTAAATGAACCCCAAGTTTATCAACAAACGGGGTCTGGATTAGTGCAAGACATCATCAAGGGGTTAACTCCAACATTGGAAATGATCGCCTCTAATAAACAACTGGATATTGAGCTCTTAGGTCAACCTGAAAACAGGAACAGATCTTCTCAAAGACGCTCACAACAAAGGAGAAAACGTCATAATTCCCCGGTTTCTTCACAAGACGATAGCTCGCCCGCACGGACACTTAGCATTAAACGGCATCGTTCTGATCACCCCTCCACTAGTGAAATGGAATCTCCCGACAGAGACACAACGCGCATGCGCAGTGTTAATAACCCGGAAATGGATTCCGATTCTTCAGCATCAGAAAATGATTATGACTCGAATTCGTGGAAAAACTGCATTAAATTGATAAAAAATGCATTCCCGGAACACTTTACAACGAGCCCCGATACCAACACGAACAAACAAACAGCAAATATTCCATTAGGATTACAATCTTTGGGCAGGAAGGCATCGTCTTCTGAGAATTCGAATGGATTACCGATCGGACCTTCTGTTCAACAAAATTTCACAGCGATGAACCAAGAAATATACAACAAGAGGAACACCAACGACGGTAATTTCCTTCTCAGGCCTAAGCGGTCTTTCACTTCTTTGAAAGATGATGAACATTTTTATAAAAAATGCATCTTAAACAACACAATCAAAGAATTGGTTCCACCTACAATGAAACTCTCTGAATTGAGTAATTCAACAAATTATAAGCTGCCAGCAAAACATCACAAGCTGTTAGAGGAATCAGCTAAAGCCCCCCTCAGATATTTATCACACACAGAATGGCTGCTAGGGGCAACAGGTAAAATTGTAGCAGAAAAATTCCCTGACAATGAGGATTTGATTAATTTGTTGTCTACAGCTTCTACAATGGTCAACAAAGCAACCAGAGATACTGTTTCAAACATTACCAATGTGATTCTAACACAGAGGGATCGTATCAGTTCCAAATTCAGAAGATCTGATGCGGAATCACTAAGGAATCTCCCAATTGATACGACCTACTTATACCCAGAGCCTCAATTAAAAACAATTTGTGAAGGCTCTGATAGATCCAAAACTTCTAAAGCTCTACAGGATCTGGCTTCAAACTGGAAAAAGCCCAAAAACGACAACAACAACTATTCAGCTAAAAACAGCTATAACAGAAATAATAACAGAGGCAATTATCACAACAACAACAACAGAGGAAATTACAACAATAACAGAGGAAACCACAACAATAGAGGCAATTACAACAATGACAGAGCCTCTACATCAACTAAAGACAATAACAACAAACAAAAGAAGCGAAAATGACACTCACAGTTTAACTGTAACCCAGCCCTGCCTCCCCCTATTCTCACCTACAGCCCAGCTGGGACCAGTGGTAGGCAGAATTCAACAACACAAACACAACTGGGAACTCATTACCAAGGATCAATGGATCCTAAACATAGTAAAACATGGATATGCTCCAGAATTAACAGCAACACCACCAATGACAAACCTATTCAACAGGTTCGAATCGGCGTCAAAAAGAAAATCCCAACTTTTTCAAGAAATAGTAGAAAAATTACTTCAAAAACAAGCAGTGGAACTAGTAAAAAACAACACTATAGGACACTACAGCATAATCTTCTTAAGACAGAAACCAAACGGAGACTACAGACCTATAATAGACCTGTCTCTCCTCAACAAGTATCTAACTTGTCCAAAATTCAAGATGGAAACAACTGCAAAAATTTCCAGTGCTCTTCAAATAGGCGAGTGGGCTACCTCCATAGACTGTCGGGACGCCTATTTCCATGTACCAATAGCCAAAAACTTCAGGAAATACCTCAGATTTGTGATAAACAATCAAGTGTATCAGTTCAAAACACTCCCATTCGGGATGTCAACCAGCCCTTACGTCTTTACAAGGATAACGTTGGCAATTGGGGCATTCCTACATTTCCAAGGAATAACAATACACATGTACCTCGACGATTGGCTCATACGAGCCTCATCTGCCCAACAGTGCCTCATATGGACTCAAACAGTAATAACTGTGATGGAAAAATTGGGACTGATAATCAACTTCGAAAAATCAGAACTTACCCCAACTCAAAACTTCAAATACATAGGCTCACAATACAACCTAGCCTTGGGACTTGTATATCCACCTCAAGACAGGATCCAAAAGATCCTAGAAATCTCTCATCTATTCATCAACTCTCTACACCAACCAGCGAGACATTGGATGAAACTACTAGGCCTGCTGGCCTCTGCGGAGAAAAACATACCCTGGGGAAGGCTACACATGAGACCGATACAACAATGTCTAGCCAATCAAATGTCCCATTTACAATCCCTAGAGACTCCTATTTACATAAATCAGGAGGTAATACACACCTTGAAATGGTGGATGGACAAAAACAATCTTTCACAGGGCCAACCATTAGGGATGTTTACCCCAGATCACACAATTTTCACAGATGCATCAGAGACAATGTGGGGTGCACACATGGACACAGTGGAGATAAATGGATTCTGGTCCCCTACAGAGAGGAACAATCACATAAATTGGCTGGAACTAGCAACAGTACTGAAAGCTCTACACAAACTAAATCACCTTCTAGTACCCCAAGCAAAAATTCTCTTTTGCCTGGACAACACCACAGCATTGAGTTACATAAACAAACAAGGCGGGACAAAATCGAAACAGCTTCTGACCCTGAGCCAAGAAATCCTAAATTGGTGCAAGGATCATCAAATCAACATAAAAGCAAAACACATAGCAGGATCCCTAAACCGACGAGCAGATGCTCTATCTCGGAACAGAATAGTCAACACAGAATGGTCTCTACTCCCACGAATTGTGCAATCACTGTGGCAGATATGGGAAACTCCCCACATAGATATGATGGCAACATGTCACAACAACAAATTACCACTGTACGTATCCCCAGTCCCAGACCAAAACAGCTGGGGAACAGATGCAATGTCAATGTCATGGAACAATCTGAATTTCTACATATTTCCACCAACAAGCATGATGGACAAAGTCTTGACAAAAATGAAAACACACACCTGCGAAGCCATAATGATAGTTCCAAAATGGCCAAATCAACCTTGGTTCGCTCAGTTACTGGATCTACTAGTAGACCATCCAAGAACTCTACCAACATCTCCAAAGCTTCTAAAGATGCCAAACACAAGCATGTTTCATCAAACTCCAGAAATATTTGCTCTTCACGCCTAACAGGATCTTAAGAGGTTCTGGACAAATCATTTGATTCTGGACTTGTCATATTTTTTTTTCAACGAAATCACATCCAAGGGTTGAATTTTTATTAGCTATTTAGAGAGTGAGTCCTGCCTAGTATTAATTTCAATAAAAAAGTTAAAATAGAACCCTATTTGAGAGTCAATCTAATACTTACATTACATTGATAAATTAAGGCAAATCCTGAAATATTTTTAAAGTGCGTTTTTTAATGAAATATTATCCAGCAAGTATTTAAATGAAACGGTCTTATTTAAATACAAATCATAACATGATATTTTTCATGAAACATTTTTCAATGAAATTCAATTGAAGGGTCAAGATAAAACGAGCTAATTTAGGTGAAAACCCTTACATGATGATGTGTTTTCATAACTTCTTTCATAAAATTCCATCAAGGGGTGAAGATAAAATGATCGAATTTAAGTGATTTAAGGATCACGAGAATATGTTTTCTTTGATATTTTCTATGAAATCCCATCCAATGGTCAAGGTAAAATTTTGATTTTGATTTTGATTTGGTCACGTGTTCGAAAGATCCATATAGGGCCCATAGAACCATATAGGAACGTCATTTTGAATGTCACGTGATAGATCCATATAAGGCTTTTAGAACCATTTATGGAAAGATGAGGGGAAGCCCCTGACACCTGTTTCACGATTTTTATGCACTTCATTATTGCACCGAAGTTTGCCGATTCGATTCGTCGTATTTCGGAATCCTGGTGACAATTTTATACTCCATTGGAGTATTTTTGACCTACTTCTTATGACGGAAATTCCCGAACCTTGTTCGGATTAATCCGGATTTTCTGACCTACCTTATCTACCGAGATTTCACGAGTTAACATTCGTCTCATTCCGGAATCCTGGTGACAATTTTATACTCCATTGGAGTATTTTTGATCTACTTTTTCTGGATTTTGCCCTACTTATTATATCTTGACAACAAGCAAATCAAAAAGTTCGACATGAACGGGTCTCGATCAACTAACCTAGACTATGGAAGCCAGGCACGCTAACCATTAGGCCAACGAGCTACCGATATGAAAGAACAAAAGTATTATATATTTATACCGAGCGTCAATTCAAAATGATCCTCACTTTTGTCTCCACTTAAATACGACTCGTCAGTTGTATCCAGAATAGTAGAACGCCTATGGCGCTAGTGAATAACCAAGTCCCAGGTGAGTGGTTCGTATCCCTCCGTGATATACTATTTTTGTTTTATTAAATACGACAGAAAGGAGCAAGGTGTAGGTTGAAAACAAGACGTTAGTTTGTTTCAAAACAGTTTGGAAACATTAATCTCTGGAACATTATTTTTTCAACACTGATACAAATTTCCCTGATATTTCCCTGACATGTCTACCGTTTCAAAATTCCCGGTCATCTTTGGCCCTTTTGACCTAATTTTAAAATTACCTGACATTTCCAGCACTTGGAAAATCAAGTCAATTTCCCTGACATTTCCAGGTGTGTATGAACCCTGGAAATATCCCACTGGCTCGCCCTATTAATCGCTAGCACAGATTGGATTGATTAGTGTTTCAAAATGGTGGACGAAGTGTTTGATTAGATAATTTACATATTAAGCTTCTTAAAGGGGCAACAAGGCCTGTACATAGAAAATTCGAAATTTTTTACATTTTCTGAATTTTTAGGGCAACATTTGGCTTTAACATCTTTTTTTATACATTTTTTCTTAAAATGTATGGATAAACAATAAAATTTCAGCATTAAGCAGTGCAAATTCAGTTCAAAGCTTCTATAAAGGGAGTCCAACTTATAGATTTTGAAAATCCGACTCGTTTAAAGAAGAATATCAGCAGCTTAAATCACGCCTTGTGATCATACAAAATGGATGGAGGGGGGGGGGGTAGGCGATTTCTGCAAGAAAACTCAACAAATTTGGAAGATTTATTTTTTTCAAGATAAAATTTACAACTGAATTGCCAAATGAATAGGCGCAGTGCATGGCAAAATATGTAAGGTCTTCTAGTATTTTTTGAACTGATACGCTTCTAAGATATGAGATCTATTATAAAAGGCGCATCATCATCATCGTCATCATCAACGTGCAAAAGTCAATGTTTTTGCTATAAATCAGGCAAAAATGGTCTACACGACCTGTAATAAATAGGTATGAGGGGCGTTATTAGAGAATTTTCGTTATAAGTTTTTTTAAAACTTATACGTATACTTATACTTATAAACCCAATAAACAAGGTGTTTCATAATTTCCTAATTCGTCGGGAAATATCTCCTAGGACGGTAATAAAAAGGGCCAATGGCATACCATCCGTACCCCCTTGATGTAAAGCATGTTTAGTTGTGTCATATGTGTTTTCTAGAATCAAATAGGCTGATATAGCACACGGGTTTTACAGATTTATCTACTCTCAAATATATTTTTTGTAGATGATCGTTTTGAATCACCTTGTAGAAATAACGAAGGGAGAATTAGTTCAGCTAATGAATGAGTCGAGCTATTTGATTGGATACTATGCCTATTCAGCCAATTAATTTTAATAAGCCATTCTGGTCAGTAGGTCCACACATATACTATGCAGAGATCCAACTCTGTAAGTTTATAATCTGCGTATAAAGGCCCTTTTATACATAAAAACTTAAAAATTGACCTTATAATTTCATGAGAACTTTGAAATGATCTACTCGTTCGTGTAGTGATTCACTTTAAAGGGTCTTGTTTATCGTACACTACAAGGACCCGTCAACTAGAATTTAGTTTATCGTGTTCATAATTGACACTAGCAAAGGACATTGTATTCGCAGTCCCTAGTTGATGATGAAGCTTGACTATATCGGGAATAGTTATGCCCCACTTGGTACAGATTATGAAAATCAATTTGAATTGATTTTAGTTCGACAAGACCCTTTAAACTATAAGGTATACGTATAAGTTTTTGAAACAACTTAGAACGAAAATTCTCTATTATCACAACACTGACATTGCTCACTTTTTAAAGTTGTTTCAAAGCGTTATATGTAAATGGGCGTGTGGAAGGCCCGTGGGTGGCAATAAAATAACTCGAACTTCAAATTAAAATATATATAAAATAGTATATTTCAAACTTCAATGTTTAAAATACAATGCTCTGTAATGTACAACATGAACTCTTACAGCAACTACTGACAAGCCAACACCCAATGCAAACTCAGCTACATGTGAGTGAGAAAGACCATATAGGGGAACAATAGATATATAAAACTGACACAGTTTGCATAGTTGAATAACTCAAGGTGAAAAGTACTCTTTGCATTCGTTTGACTTCACTTCTTAAAAGAGAGCTTCGTCTTCACTCTTTCAAACTAAAATAAACCTGTGAACTCACCGCGCCAATCAGTGTTCGTCGGCCAAATTTGACCGACGTTCTATATATGGTCATTCCTTCTGACGTCATCGTTGAGCCCGGAATTGACCAATGACATGCGCATATTTAATTAGAACGCATTTAGCGTATGTTTCTTCAAGCTCGCTGATTGGTGGAAGAAAGGTCAGCGCGTAGGTCAGAAGTGATTTATTACCCAAACTGTCACCGGTACCCGTCGTGGGGGCGGGGCTACTAAACTGTAATATGGTCTCTACTAGGCAGAGTGTAGTTTAACTAGACTCTGCACGCAGGGTAGGTGAAAAGTGAACATGGTATTAAAAGAGTAAAACTGCAAACAACCTACTTAGGGACCTGTTATATTGAGATGAATAGGGATTGATTAATATGAACAGTAATAATATAAAATGTGAAAATGACCATGTTACATATACAAAAAATAACCCCATTGTTACAAAATCACAAAAAGTGAAATATCTATTCTTGTATTGCATTTTCGTTCACTGGACATATTTTAATTGCATTGCTATTAGATACATTTTAAGGGTGATATGAAAATTGAACCACGAAAACAGATGTACTTTAAGTTAAAGGGAACTTTCTACCATACCCGCCATGCTATCTGACCCGAACGAGCCACCTTGTGGTGAGATTGGTAACTACCTGCTCGCATCTGCGTTATTACGCAGAGACATAAACGTATACACAAGGAAACGATAGGAGATAACCTATTTTATCTCTGCATACATTTTAACTTTAATACATCGTTGAATCGAATTTGTCCAAAGGTCTTGAAACGTAAAATACCTAAATATTTATCTTAGACCTTGGGATGACCTTGTACAAGAAACATTAATGTTGACCTCGGTTCATCTAATCATAATTCGCCAAGGGCCATAGTATCATCAAACGCCAAATACCTAGACATTGATCGTTTACTTGGATTTGAATAAGGAGTATGATTTTAAAATTGGCTAGGTCGTGGTTAAGCAACAATAGTATGTTCGAAATACCGCTGTGTAATGCCTGGATCACATTTGCTGCGAGTATTTTGTTCAAAATTGAATACATTTCTGAACACAATACTCAATCGGCCGGGCGCCGTAGTGAAAATCGGAGCAAATGTGACCAAGACATAAAACAATTGAATAATACTGTATCAGTTTCACATTTACAGCGGTCAAAAGCATTTACAAAAAACCGCCAGAGTTGGCAATCATATAAAATGAAACCAATCCCGCTGTGATTCATTTTTTATTTTTTATTTTTTTTTATTTCTCTATTCAAACAGTACAAGTACAATAATTAGAACAGTTCAGATATTTTTCACACCACCTCCATTCATTCAGACATTTGCAACAGTCATACTTTTAAGTTCAGGTACATAATAAAACATATTTTTTTCAAATTGCGCCTCATACAAATTGGGATTCACTTCGTCGAACTCTTTAATAAAAATATAGTACTTAATTGCAAGGGTAAGTCTATTTGGTAAGATATTTTTCTTATTAGCTTGCCTTCCAAAAACCATGTCATGGGCGTTAAAATCGAAATCAACTTTAAATAAACGCTTTAAATTCCCTTTGATTGCTTCCAGAAATATTTGAATTCTTTTGCACTCCCAGAATTTGTGTTTTAACGTATCTCGAAAGGCACAATAGTTACATTTAGAGTCATTTTTAATGCCTACCTGCGCTAAAAAGGCATTTGTAGTGCAGATACCATGAAGTATTTTAAACTGAAGTTGTCGCGTTTTATTCTGTTTCGTACACATATAAGGCATTTTAAAATAATCGGTTCTCTTTAATTCACGATCATGTTTGTCTTTATATAACGGTTCCAAGAACTTGTTTCCATTTAATATTGTTTGAATTGATTTAACCGTTATACAAGAGATTGTCACCTGTTTTTCACCAAGTTTCAAATACACGAGTTCTTCCCGTATGCTGGGTTCAGAGGTCGAACTTAAATCTGATTTCAATAGAAATTTCCAATCATTTGGTATAGCCGATATGATTGAAAAATACTCAAGAAAGTTGATATTAATATTATACTTAGTCTTAAACTCATTGTACTGTAAAAAAGCCCCATTCTCGTTAAGAAGGTCATTAATATAAATGACCCCCTTTTCCATGACATGTTTGTACATCACCTCATTATCATTAATTAGAATTGATTTGTTATTCCAAATTATTTCACCTTTAACCCCTGAACTGGTTCTAGGCGGCGACCTATTTCTTAATTCTGAATAGTTTCGAAGCAAATTCATATAAAAGGTAGGAACACTGTGTGCCAGTGTTTTAATATCATAATTACACTGCAACAAAAAACTCAGTCCTCCAAGACGCTTGAAATAAACTTGAGGAATAAGCTTCCAGTGACTAGTTCGTGTGTCAAGTAAACGTCTTAACCACATTAATTTCAAGGCTTTCTCCATTGTGAACATATAATCATTCTTAGACCCCCATCCTCAAAATCCCCTATTAAAGTTTTTCGCTTAATTTTCTCACCCTTTCCTCCCCATAAAAAAGAATAGACTAGTCGTTGAGCCTTCGTCAAGATATCATCAGGCGTATTGGTCATTGTCATCGAGTATATTAGCTTCGACACTGCCTGGGACTTAATTATGAGTACCTTTCCATAAAAAGTAAGATCTCGCTTTGACCACAATATAAGAACCTTTTCAAGCATATTTAACTTTCTCTCAAAATTATCCGTGTTATTTGCATTTGTGTCATATGATATTTTTATCCCTAAAAGTCTACTTGGTATCTTTACCCATTTCAGACCAAAAAGGTTTATTTCATTATTATGACGATCACTTCCAATATACATACACTCTGTTTTTTCTCTATTAATACTGTGATTCATAGAAATAACTAATTTACTGCATTGAGTTCAATGTTATAACCATGTCGATTTACATGAGTGTCCGATTCATTGTACCAAATTTAAACCTTGACTGTTCTCCAGAAAGCAATAAGCTGACATATATCATATTTTACATTTTAATACAACTGAAAAGATAATAAATGTTTTAATATAAAGTTGACGTAGTTATAAATGTTTTCAGCGTAAAATCAAAGCACAACCATATAATTAAAAACATTACGCTGGGATTCCAACTGGATACAACTGACGAGTTGTATTTAGGTGGCCTAAAGTGCTGCTTATTTTTTCGTGAAGCCACTCAGTAAAATTACGATTTCTCTCAACCCTGATGTTCAATCAACATCATTCGAGTATCTATATGTTCCTGACACGTTCGGGCATCCGGTTATGACAACGTCTACCCAATGTTTGCACGAGAAATTGACGTAATTCATGACTGAAATCAGGAAGACAAAAATATGTGATATTCTTTCAGAATTGTTTATAATAACTATTTACAAAAACGTTCCCGAGACACAATCCATTTAGGTAGGGTTTGTTTTATGCCTGGGTCACATATGCTCCGATCTATCGGCCGGCGCCCGGGCGATTGAGTGTTTTGTTCAATATTGTATTCAATTTTGAACAAAATACTCAATCGGCCGGACGCCGTAGTGAAAATCGGAGCCTATGTGACCAAGGCATTAAAGTCGAAAAGCCCCAATAAGACAATACAAACCCAGATTAAACCCAGAAGAATGCAGATTTCATGTAATGATTTACGTTCATGTAAACAAGGAAAGTACATATAATCCCCATATAAAACACTGGCCTACGTGACATGTAAACACAGGTTCAAATTGAAATATAGAAAATTTTCAACATAGCATTTGCTTCTGTGTTCTGTATGCCCCTCTACCTGCTAATAAGGCAATGTATCTTCAAATAAAACCTTAGCCAAGTAGATAAGGGTCTCTGGAACACTTTTGTAAATAGTTTTCACAAGCAATTTTATTCCCAGACGCCCAAACGTGTCAGGAACACATATATATTTGAATGATCTTGATTGGACATCAGGTTGCAGAGAAATCGTATTTTTACTGAGTGGATTATTGAATTTCATAGATCTAGAGGCCCTTCAGGAGTGGAAAACCTTAAATTATCAGAGATTAATGTTTCCAAACTGTTTTGAAACAAACTAACGTCTTGTTTTCAACCTACACCTTGCTCCTTTCTGTCGTATTTAATAAAACAAAAATAGTATATCACGGAGGGATACGAACCACTCACCTGGGACTTGGTTATTCACTAGCGCCATAGGCGTTCTACTATTCTGGATACAACTGACGAGTCGTATTTAAGTGGAGACAAAAGTGAGGATCATTTTGAATTGACGCTCGGTATAAATATATAATACTTTTGTTCTTTCATATCGGTAGCTCGTTGGCCTAATGGTTAGCGTGCCTGGCTTCCATAGTCTAGGTTAGTTGATCGAGACCCGTTCATGTCGAACTTTTTGATTTGCTTGTTGTCAAGATATAATAAGTAGGGCAAAATCCAGAAAAAGTAGATCAAAAATACTCCAATGGAGTATAAAATTGTCACCAGGATTCCGGAATGAGACGAATGTTAACTCGTGAAATCTCGGTAGATAAGGTAGGTCAGAAAATCCGGATTAATCCGAACAAGGTTCGGGAATTTCCGTCATAAGAAGTAGGTCAAAAATACTCCAATGGAGTATAAAATTGTCACCAGGATTCCGAAATACGACGAATCGAATCGGCAAACTTCGGTGCAATAATGAAGTGCATAAAAATCGTGAAACAGGTGTCAGGGGCTTCCCCTCATCTTTCCATAAATGGTTCTAAAAGCCTTATATGGATCTATCACGTGACATTCAAAATGACGTTCCTATATGGTTCTATGGGCCCTATATGGATCTTTCGAACACGTGACCAAATCAAAATCAAAATCAAAATTTTACCTTGACCATTGGATGGGATTTCATAGAAAATATCAAAGAAAACATATTCTCGTGATCCTTAAATCACTTAAATTCGATCGTTTTATCTTCACCCCTTGATGGAATTTTATGAAAGAAGTTATGAAAACACATCATCATGTAAGGGTTTTCACCTAAATTAGCTCGTTTTATCTTGACCCTTCAATTGAATTTCATTGAAAAATGTTTCATGAAAAATATCATGTTATGATTTGTATTTAAATAAGACCGTTTCATTTAAATACTTGCTGGATAATATTTCATAAAAAAATGCACTTTAAAAATATTTCAGGATTTGCCTTAATTTATCAATGTAATGTAAGTATTAGATTGACTCTCAAATAGGGTTCTATTTTAACTTTTTTATTGAAATTAATACTAGGCAGGACTCACTCTCTAAATAGCTAATAGAAATTCAACCCTTGGATGTGATTTCGTTGAAAAAAAAATATGACAAGTCCAGAATCAAATGATTTGTCCAGAACCTCTTAAGATCCTGTTGCCTGCAAATTGTCAACGACTCCCTCAAAAAACAAGGATTTTCTTCAGAAGTGTCTTCTAGAATATCAGAATCATCTAGAAGGAAATCAACAAATAAACTCTATGATTCCAGGTGGAACACCTTCACTCTTTGGTGTGAAGAACGGGATACAAATCCATGCCAAACAGATATACCTCTAGTGGCAGAATTCCTTCTCTACCTACACAAGACAAAGAAATTCTCTATTCCAACTATAGAAGGCTATAGGACAGCTATCAACACAGTACTAAAGAAGTCTTCAGATATAGACCTCACTGACAATTCACTAATAGGAGATCTTATTAGATCCTTCAAACTAGAAAATGTAATACCTAAAAACATTATTCCCAAATGGAATTTAGTGTTCGTTCTAAATGCACTAACAAGAGCACCATTTGAACCTATGGCCACAGCTGAATTAAAGTTCACAACATGGAAAACTCTATTCCTGCTACTCATGGCTTCGGGCAAGAGAAGAAGTGATATTCATGCACTGGACTTCAGACGTCTAAAATGGTCAGAAAACAGGGATCAAGTGACTATGTATCCCTTTATAGGCTTTTTGCCTAAAACACTATCAGCTGCGGAAGGAGAATCTCGTTTTCAACCAATCTCCATAAAAGCTCTTTCCTCTTTCGTGGATAAAGATTCACCTGACAGGAAACTTTGCCCTCTGAGAGCCTTACGCTTTTACCTACAAGCCACAGTCGCTAGAAGAGGAAACAGGAATAGACTTTTTATTCCATTTAAGCCTGGATACGATGGAGATATACACATTAACACTATCTCACCTTGGGTGAAAAATCTGATCTTGTATACATACAAAAATTCACAAGAATCAGATTACAGGATCGACTCCATTAAACCCCACGAAACCAGGGCCCTTTCTGCAAGTCTAGCTGTTCAAGCAAACTTATCAGTGGCCGCAGTTCTCAAAGCATGCTCATGGGCAAATCACAACACATTTACCAGCTTCTACCTCAGAGATACATCAGTGATTGAGGGAGAACTGCGGAAACTGGGTCCTATGATGATTGCAGGCACCCTGTACGACATATAACTTCAACATTACAGTAGGGTGAGTTCAAAACCTGTTTTCATCAAACATTCTTATTTATTTATTAGAATTAAATTCAGAATGTTTCTACTCATGGTTTGTGGGGCCCTCTGGTTATTACTGAATTCACCCACCACCTTTTGGCTACATTCAGGCAATTAATTGAGAGGTGGGATGTGTAATAATACTGGGAAAATCCTTTTTAAATTGATTTTCCTGTTTATAAACATACCCACCTCTCAATTACCAAAGTCCCACCCAACCTCCCCGCTATTCACTAGGGGGAATAGGGAAATTGAGGACCTCAGCACGTGTACTTACTAGTTTTATACTTAGTTGGACGCGTCCAAGTTAATGTCATCAGTAAAAACCAGAGGGGTGTTAGGATACCATATGTTAGATTGCAAAGGAATCTAAGGCAATTAATTGAGAGGTGGGTATGTTTATAAACAGGAAAATCAATTTAAAAAGGATTTTCCCAACTTCAACCTTGAGGTCAGTCAAGGTAATCAAGCTGTCACATGCACGCCTGTACGGCATATACTATTACATGAGACATATAAAAAATATATTTCTCTAGTGTTTATTCAGTTTCCCTCAAATGGTTTGACAGCATCTATTGAACAAAGTTTTAAAGTCTGTTCAACAAGGAGGATTGGCTCCTAGAATGTAACATTGATATTCTTAGTGTTCCATGGTATGGTATGGTGACCTTATCCTAATATTTATATGTGACAGGTTCCAGAAACATGTCACATGTAAATAAATGTCACCATACCATGCATATGGTACAGAACATTGATGTTGCATTCTTGGAGCAAATCCTCCTTGTCTGTTCAGGGACGAGATAAAACAAAGCAAATGCGTGACACACATTCACAATTCGAGTGAAACTTCTGAACAAACTGCGTTCGATTATTTCGCCGTTCGTTTTTGTCAGCGTGAACTGAAACATTTTTGCTTGACAATGATTTGAAAAAATGCGTATTTGCTTGACATATTCATAAAGGACATAAAGGATGACCCCAAGCCTGAAGCCTAGACTATATCCTATTTAGTCAGTCTGTTGGATACATACTAACCCCAAGCCCATGGCAATTGCCCACGGATAGTGGGAAGTCCTCCATCTAGGAGGTATATAGTAGACCTACACCCTGACAAATAATATAAATATGGAGGACTTCCCATAACCGTGCAATTGCCCCCCGGGAATTGCCCTTTTCCACCCACTGGCGGATTAGGGGGGGGGGGCATGGGGGCCCGGGCCCCCCCCCCCCCTTGGGTGGGCCCAGAAAAAAAAATTGGGCCCAAAAAAATTTTTGAGCCAAAAAAGGCCTTAAGGCCCCAAAAAGTCGGCCTTTTTGGTCATTACTGGGCCTTTTAAGGCCTTATTTTTTAAATTCAGGCCAAATTTTGAAGAAAATGGGCCTCAAAATTTCAAAATTTGGGCCCACTTTTGCGTTTTAGGGGCCCAAAATTTTTTTTCGCGCAAGCGCGGACGTTTTTTTATCTGACCTGAAATTTGCCCCCCCCCCCCCCCCTTGTTGGTTCCCAGATCCGCCCCTGCCACCATACCCAACCTGAGAGCAATTGTGTTTTATATTATAAAATGGCAATATGTAAATGTTCAACTGTCTAACATTATTCATCAGAACATTCCTACACAGTGTTTACCTACATCTCTGAAGATTCTGTACATTCTCTCCTTTATTTCACTGCGTCAAATGTGAAATTCCAAGCAATTTCTAGACGTGCAAAGATAGTCTAGGAACTCCGCGTATCTAGAGATTCCAAGACGTGTCAAGAGGTGCAAAGACCTCGCGTGTAAAGAGCGTGTCAAGAGTTTTGATATCTCTTTGCACAGCCTTATCAAAACAAACGGTATAATTAGACTGGCCACATGTTGTTATGCCCTATAGTCGCGCTTAATTATACTTTACTAGGATTGGAATATAACAATCATTTTAATTTCGTGTTAATAATAATTTGTGTTTTTTAAATCATTATCAAAATAAAATTAATTTAAAAGTATGCGTGTGCGTGTAAGTATAGGCAATAGCTTAGTCGGAATGAGTAGATGTGTGCAGATGGAGATCGCCTATGTATTTTGCTAAATCTGACATTTTTACAGGATCATGTTAAAGATCAAATGAAAACACGAAATGTGTTTTTCTTAGGTTTATCTACCCTGATTTCGAGTGATTTTAACTTGGACGCATATTCCTAGATATTAAAACAGTTTGAATAATTAACAAAGTCCACTTTGAACCGTGTCAATCAAATTATCAATTGTCAAATATGTAGATAGCACATGCAGGCCCGAATACAGGGGGGATAGATTGGTTCTAGCGACCCCCCCCCCCTCCGTGACCAAAATTGCATTTTTTACCCCATACTGAGCACCTTTTAAATTATTTTGCTCATTTTTGAACTAACATTGCCAAAAGTAAACTCCCCCTGGAATTTCTTAAAAAAGTAACCCACCCCTTGGCAAATCCTGGCTATGGGTCTGAAACGCCTGAAACATGCTCTGATATAATGAGGCATATTCTGTGATCTGAGCATATCAGATGGGAAGAGTTATGAATGTCAATAAGTGTGATTGTTATCATGTAATCATCTACCTTAATGTCAATACATTACATAATGTAGTAAGGCATTGTACATGTATTTAACAACAGGCACATCCTTCTTCAAAGGACTTCATTTATACTTGTAAAATACCCTTCCAGCGAGGATGCAACAGGCACAGTTACACAAGTTTTATGACCCCAATTAGATGAAATATGAGCTGGGATGAAAGATCTCAAAAATCAAGGGCTGGGAAGATTTGAGATGTCATGGTTTACTATCATGACGCTGAAACATGTGTCGCTTATTGTCACCTGTATTGATCATGATGGGGCGACGGCAGTGCCCCGAGTCTTTTTGATCTGTTTAATCTTATTAGTTACTATTTAAAATTGAATAATTTAGGACCCCGGAAGCAAAACAACTCTTTGTTATGAAAGGAATACACCACCCACATGGACAGAACCCCTCATGTAAACCATCTATAAATACCTTTGAAATCAATTTGATTTTCGATCTACATCTGAATCTCAGATGGAGAGTACTCTTTGACAAGATCAACATTTAAAAGTGTAGGAAAGTTTTGATAAAGATGTTTAATAGCTAATTATTCAGACATATTGTTCTTTCATGTTGACGATCATCGAACATAATTGCAATCAACTTCCATGATATTTGCAATTTTGAATTTTGAATTATTTTGAATGCAAATGTACTCAAGTACTATATCCTGAGTTCTGCCCGGATCCCCGAAAACGTTTAAAATCAAACTCGATTATTTAGCTAGACTTCAAAATAAGGCATTCAATAGAAACATGAAATCCATATCACTGTATAAATTGTGGAATTTCTAGTAATTTTTAGACGTGCTTAGCCGGTCTAGAAACTCTGCGTATCTAGAGATATTGACCAGGGCCTACACCAATATTCTTAACACCACTTATTAAAGGATGCATGCATCAAGGGGTAGACATCATTCAAAAGACATAAACATGACCGGGTCGGTGAGGGGAAGGTTTGCATACGATGCAATTTGTACATGCAAGCTCATTTTTCACATATAAATTAATAAAGTCGATTCCTTGGGAATACGTTATTGGGTTTATAAGCGTAACGAGGAGAAGCGATGGGTTCGCACCCCCTCCTACAAGCAATAAAAGGTACCATAAGGTAGAGGAAGAAAAGAGCATTAAATTGATTTTTTGTTTGAAGCTTCTAGCTCAGGTTTGAAGGAAGTTGCATCATTTTCGTAAAAATTCAAAACAAATATTTTTTGCCTCATTTATGTCACGATCGCACCCCCGACTGAAAACCTAAAATATTTTGGTGATTGCATCACCCCTCCCCCCGACTGAAAGCTGGCTACGGCCCTGGGGTTTTATCGAAAACTATATCGTCAACATATTATCATTATGCGGAAAGTCCAATATGAAATCTTAAATGGTAAATATGTTGCATTTATGGAGGGAATTCCACTGTAAACTATAATGTGAATGTTTGATATGAATACTTCCATACAACCATCAATATCCATTCTTTTGAAATAAGATGTTACAACAAAGGGAATATTGAAAACTACAGTGGTAAGAGCATCTTTCTGACTGCTAATTATGTGTATCAACATTTTGATTGCACCTCAGCTGGAGATTAAATCTTATAATAATTTGATCAAAGGGATTGTAATTTTCCCCAATTCGCTTATCTATGTTACAATCTGTATACTTGTTATATTGTGAGCGGTATGTGTTGATAAACCAAAAAGATATGTTTTTTGGATATCAACATTTAGAAAAAAGTGTAAGATACCATTCTATATATTTTCTTAGTGTTTAGCATAGGTAAGAATGGGGGATGGGCTGGCGGGGGTCCGTCTTTGAATAATTCCAAGGGGTTCATATATTATCACAATTTTGCTACAAAATCACTTGGAAAGTGCATGATTTGAAAGATTATTTGGCCAAGGCTTCCGCTATAAACATGAGTATGAATTTTATAAAAAAAATTACTTGAATCAAAATCGAAGAATTCCTTGCCCCGTGTGTTCACCATTCACCCCGGGGGTTCACACTCGGCTCAGGTGGGGTACCTTTTTTACATTTGGTATGTCAAGCCAATGGACCAACATTTTAAGACAGATTTTTCCATTTTCTGGTATAAGAGTCGGTGTGGAAAATATGTTGCCCCTCAATTGTGGTACGGCATTGGTCCCGGGGCATTGGTCTAGTTGTTACACATATCCTTCATTTGAGGTTGTTTACTCAAAGATCTGCCTTCTTCTCGGGGCATTCGATATTTCGAATGGCCTTGGTCTTATATTCTGGATATTTGGTATCCGGGGGTATGGCATTGGTTCTATATTTGGATGTTTGACATGGCATTGGTCTTGTGTTTGGACATTTGATATGGCTTTTGGGGGTTTATTTTAGTTTGTATGAGAACACATTTAATGCCACCCCCCAAATTACAAATCTACATCTATTCTCTCTATCCCAAAGGTGGATCGGAAGCATGAAAAACAGATGCAGACTCGGGACAGTTGCGAGGGGGGCTATAATGGAGAAATTCGTTTTGATTTTGAGTCTAACTGAAATATTTTGTCACAAATATTAATTAAATACGCAAATAGCCTGTTTTATAAATGAGACTAGGGCAAAAAATCTATTCATTAAATCTAAAGCCTAGACGATATCTTCTGTAATCAAGGTGATTTTGGTACACTTCCGCAATTATAAAAACAAAAACATAGACTAAGTTATTAATCTTTTGTTATCATATCAGATTAAGTCAGTTTTGTCTCCGATTGTTATGCAGGTGTGTGTATCGACTCCAGTGAACAACATTAAGTGAATCAATCCTTGAAATTCCCAAATTCATTCCAAATTCTGGCCGTTATTAATTAAACATCACTGATTTATGTTGAGACATTCAGTGCGATTATTTCATTTCTTTGTTCAAAAAGTTAAAGCACCAATTAAATACATATTTTTATCACACAAAAGGGGCAGAATACTTGACCTTGTATCAATTCATATCCCGATAATTCTTTACAAGGGAATGTTTCTTATTAAAACATAAGCAGCGCCTAGGCGTCGATTGGGGGGGGGTCAATCCGGTGTTCTCAGGCTATGTACAGCCAAGTATCCTGTTTATGTAAAAACCCTACGTTCCCGAATCACAATCAGACAATTAATTAGTATATTTGCTGTGTCTAGCAATTGATCATACAATTAGATGTTGCGAAAACTATGGGAACTTGTACCTGTCTGTTTATGGATAGGCTGGGAAAGAACAGCAGAGAGAATGGTACATTCGATTGAATATGCTTGTTTTGCCCAATTGTGTATTAAAATGCCCCTCATTTAACATATGTATGGTCACAAGTTAAGTCGGCGATAATTTGTATTGACGTTAACTTGAAACAAATTACTCCGAAATCCAAATACTCATCGAAAAGTAAGTTTATCTTTATATTAAGCTAATACAAAATAAATATATAAATAGGCCTGATGTATCAGTGTTTTCAAAGTTTATTGCACGTTTTATCCTTGAAACGCCTTTCTTTTTCTTATCATGATATGTATTTCCTTCACTTAGGATCAATGCGTCGATTAGCATTGCCTGTAACTGATTTATATATTTTCAAAAGGCGGCATGAAATTGCCAAAATGTTTAAATAAGTCAATGTGTCAGCGTACATACAAAATAGTCTGTTTAATATTTGCTACATGTACTTGTTCCAAACAGTCTGCGAAAGAATGATTAAAAAATATATCAATTAAAAGTATCAGAGAAAATACTTGCAATCGTTAAAATACTGTATGTATTGCTATTGGTAATTAGGTTAGTTGTTTACACATAATTATGTTGTTCAGTGTGCCAAGAGCGTGTCAAGAGGTGTAAAGAGTTGAATTATCGCGTGTCAAGAGGTGTAAATAATTGGCACGTCTAGAAACCCGGCGTGTAAAGACCAGTTTCTAGACGTGTCAAGAGTTGGAATCCCATATTTCACGCAGTGTTTCTAGCTGTTCAAAACTTTATTATTAGAATTCTTTAGAATATTAGAACTACACTTATACTCACGTCGTTTATCAATGCCAAGCAACTATCAAAGAGCTATCCACACTAGAAGTTCAATTTTCTTTTTCTTCTCTCCACGTAAAAACATGAATTCTATGTAAATAGCTTGTGCAAACTTTAGTACATCTTTTGACCAGATCGACTTTTTCTGTTTTCCTGTACTAGTGTCGACATCTATCGATCGAATGTACTTAAATCCTTGGCGGGAAATTTAAAAGTTTTTAAATATTTGCTTCTATTCAACCATACCACATGACCATTGACCACGTTTTAAATAGAAACAGGTTTCTATCGATGATGACATTGGAAACTTAATTTAAACTTCTAAATGCTGAAATAGATAGGTGTATCCATACATTTTAAGAAAATAGTGCTGACAAAGATGTTAAATGACCATGCGTCCCTTTTGGAGCTCAGATTTTTTTTCTACAGGCCTTGTTGCCACTTAAAACACAATTGCAATGGCATCCTTCATTTGTTTTTCTTAAATTAGAATTAAGATTGAAAATAGTTCGGACTTCGGACTACATCATCTTTTTTTTAATTCTTGTATAGCTCACGTGTAGCTATAACCCTGTGAAGAAGTCTTTGGCAGTTCGATATTTGAGAAAATATCTATTAAATGGCAAAATGAGGAATCTGCATATGGATGCATCATTTGAACATCTGAATAAACTCTGTTCTAAGTGGGGTCAAGGGCAGTGGCGGATCCAGGGGGGGGGGGTGCAAAGTTGGGCCAAGGAAAAAATTGGGCCCCCAAAAAAAATTTGGGCTAAAAAAGGGGCCTTATTTTTTTAATTTCAGGCCAAATTTTGAAGAAAATGTGCCTCAAAATTTTCACTTTTCAGTTTTATGGGCCCAACATTTTTTTCCTCGGACCTGAACTTTGTCCCCCCCCTTGTTGGTTCCTGGATCCGCCCCTGCAGGGCCTCAGTTTAGGGCATAAGTATAAGCCAAATGCATAAAGGTTGTTAACAAGAACCTCAATATAGAGTCCACCTAAAATTGTATTCCAATAAGCAAACAAAAACCATTCATTGTTTTCAGTATTTACAAAAGTAGAGTATCTTTATTTCAATAGATACAATAATGTTAACATTATTCCAGAAAACAATTTCCATGTATTTCTTATAAAATATCTTAGGTACAATATGTTTCCAACTAAAACTTAGTGCATGATTTCTATTTTTCCAGTATATTGTATATAACACTATAAGAACACATCTATAAGTAGATGAGGAAGAAATATTTACATATGAAGTTGTATTTTAAGATCAAATTAAACTCATATATTTGTGTTCAACTGATTAGACTAGGTAAACTTACAGTGGGATTTTTCAAGGAGAGGAGCCCATTTTTGGCTACCATCTTGCTTTTATTGAAATTCATGTGGCCTGTATGACCTGTTTGATCAATATCAAATTTTGCCTTACCCATAAATAATGATCTTTGGATACACTTAATCTCCCTTTGCTTTCCCATTAAGAGCATAGATATATTCAAACCTGCCTAAATTGTTAAATTTGAATATTTAACATTATCAATTTCAATTTCCCTTTTTTCTTGCAAGGGAATTTACAACCATAAAATTATTTTCTAAACTCCATTAAATTGATATACTACATGCATGTTTTTATAAAAAACACTTTCATAAATAATGTACATTAAAACTAATAACATTGAATGATTTAATTAATACAAAAAATTCTTGTTTACATAATATATTTAATGTACATGTGTATAGTTTTTACACAAATCTGCCCCAATTTTATCCTTATCAAATACCTGTAATGCAATCTTTATATAAAAGATGATAAGTTATATGATTTTAACATACTCTATAATAATACAAGAAAATATTGATGGAAACGTTTTTCATATTTACAGCTATACAATTTTCAGCGAGCATGTTATCAAGAAACAACTGAGATCACATGTATTAGAGCTTTCAATTAAGATTGAATACTCAAGCACTCATGATGAATGGTCAAAAATTGATCTTAAAAGCGAGCCTTGATTTTCATTTTTTGATTAGAATGTGACATGTACACTAACTTTGATACACATACTGAGATTTATCTACAGTATTTTTCACAAAACCAACTGATATTAAATTAAAGAACCTCAGCCTCTAACTCTGATTCTAAAATACATCAAAATTCAATAATAAAAAAGGAGCAACCGACAACTTGCAGACTTGCGCCATCAACACATTTGATATGACTTTTTTATGTAGATTGTAGAAGTCTCTTATCTTGAACAAAACTACTCAAGTAGTTAAAATTAATCATTGACCTATTAAAATAAAATTCAATTTGAACTGATGCAGTTTATCTCACTTAGTATGTGAGCAATTTTCCAAACTTTAATTTTTTACAGAAAAGAAAGCCTGGATCAAGGTCTATGCAATATACATGGTGCAAATTCTAGGCTGTTATGATTTTCTTTTAATTGTAGCTATTGTAGGGTTATAGTTAGAGAGACTGAGGTACTTTAATTTAATCCAGATATAGCTATAAATCATTTACAGTTCAATCAGATCATCTATAATATAATATACACCCATATGTACAGTGTCTGTGGTGCAGCAACTTCTTTCCTTAAAAAAATAAGAATTCATTTTTCCAGTTGGTTGTATGACCTTCATCTCATCTCCAGAGTGGCATAATACTGTTGGCATACATCCTTAGAATGGCATACTGTTGTCAAGCACATCTCACACAAAATAAATGTATATGATCTTTTATGACAATTTTCTTCCTGCATTCAAATATTTACACAATTCATAAAGATGTCACTGGTATCAAGATGTCACTAAGCCAACTCCAGACACAAGTTGACGTCGTATGGTTGACATGCCTGGTCGTATGTGTTCCCGTACTTCAGCAAGTTTCTTCTGGGCAGATTCCTCGACAAGTTTGGCGAGCTCACCCGCAGAATAACCAAGCAACATCCTAAGGTCACAGATAAACTTGTAGACAAATCTCTTTCCGTGCACCTGAAAATACAAGTTCAAAGTTGTAAGGTGTCAGCTACTGACTCAACGATGATTCAGATTCTGTGAGGCTTGCCAGTATATACTCTAGAAAAATATGTTAATTAGAAAGTTCACATTATTTCACCTCATGTTTAGATGCATAGTTTAAAATTTAACATAATTTAATAACTAGAGTTTTTCATGATTCGATTCAGCTTTGAAGAAAACAAGTGCTAAATTGTTGAATGTTTCACCACCAAAGAAAATTCATTATATTCATACACATTTACATTTACTTTTTTTACATTGAAGCTTTATATGGATACACTTATGACATGACAGTTGTTTATATGCAATGTCACATTTGAAAAATCAGATTTATACCAAATATATATATATATGTTTTTAAGCCCACTAAAGGCCAGGATATGATCTAGACATTTCAAAGTTGCACTTCAACAGAAATAAATTATCCTACCTTAGCAATCATATCACCATCATAATAATAACGTAGTGCTCTGCTTAGTTTCTCATAGTTCATGGTTGGTTTATTCTTCCTCTGTCCCCATAGCTGGGCCACCATCTCTGGGTTGAGCAACTTAAACTCACCTAGAAATATTTTCATGAAGTTTAAACATAGAGCTACACTCTACAATCAAAAACATGTGTTGTTAAGATTTCAGACAACCAAAAATAAATGGAAGCTTTTGATTTATATCATACTAGATTAGATATTTTGGAGACTGAATCAGAAATTTGAAGTTCATGAATGCAGGCTATGAATGTAAACTTTGCATTACTTACCCTCCTCCCCTATCCAATGTATAATCTCCCTACATTCCTTGTCAGTGAGAAGTTCTAATAAGAACTGCCACAGCTGGATCTGACCATTGTTTCCTGCATAAAAAAGTGTTCTATATAAATATACATATAATGTCACGCAATACATATAAATGTACAGCATTATACACATATAAAACATGCATATGTGAAAGGCAATACTGTTTATTTAGATAGGCTATACTTAGTGATATTCAGTGTTCTCCAGGAATTTTCTCAGTAGGGTGTAAAATTAAAATGATTCCTTATCTATCCAAAAATCCAAAACTAGCCCAGTCAAAATATTCCAATATCATCATTTGACCAAAATGGGTAAAATCACCAATTTCTTCAATATTTACCTGTTCTGTTTCCCGCAGTGCCAAACTTGTCATCTCCAGTGAGACGTGGTGCCCTCATCTTGGCCACATGTTTGTGGAATGATTTACGGTTCTGAGCTGAAAAAACATCATAAAAACGTATAGCCTATTGGGAAATCAATATACATGAGTAAAGGATCAACAGATCATTCTTTAATAATTTCAAAATATTGGAATTACTTTTTGGTTAATATATTTGCCATTGGTACCTTGAGATCCCAGTTTTCAAAAAAGAAATATTTATGAACCTTTTTAACCTGGAATGAATTTTGAATTATTGCTGTTTGTACTCAACATAGCAAAACAATTGGTACTACCCCTTGTATCCATTAATATGTACATTTCCAGATAACAAATGCAAAAGCTCGCTTACCATTCAGCAGTTCAGCCTCTGAGGTGGATACAGTTATTGTAGTGATGGCATTAGGAGTAGGCTGCTGCAGTACAGCTGGAAAACATCAATATAACATGTTCACATTACTGATTCAACTTACTACAAAATTTACTTGTACACAGATTCAAAGGAGTGGAATAGTTCAGTATTTCTCATAATATACAAACAAGGCATTAACATGCAAAATTTCACAATCTGCAATTTGTTACAATGCAAAAAAGTATTTTCTCAAAAGTCAAGCAAGTAACAAATACCATGTTTGTGTAAGTATTATGATTTTAAAACTAGCCATTCACAAGACCTCGGTGGAGCTACAGAGTACAATATTTTCACAAGACAAGACTTCTGAACACTGAACCTCATCAGGCAATGTCTGATGTTATTCAATGAAGGCAGTCTGACCTCAAAATGGACCACAAAGCAAGGTCCCATTGGGGTTTAGCTCCAGGAAATGGGTAAACCTTGGCAGGGGTTTCATTAGCTGCAGACAACAGGTAATTTTCACCAGTTTTTTCACAAAACTGCCTGTTGTTTTTAGGGACTTTTCAACTCTTCCATGCTTAGTTCATGATTTCCATTAATTTTGCCAATTGTTTTAATTTATTTAGCCTGTTGTGAGAAATTATAGTGAAACCCCTGCCTTGGTCATCACATTCACCTTTATTATATCAAAGACACTCACCTACAAATTTACATTTCCTTAACAGTTCTAAATGTGTCCAAAAAGTGTCCCCATTATCTACTGGTACCATCTTTGTAAAAGTTGCGTGGTCCATGGATACTAGTTGTTTCCCAGTAATGTTGAAGTTCTCAGAATCCACACCAACCAATGAAAACTCTTGTTGAGCCCACTGGATCCAGTGCCTCACATGGGTGCGGTTCCACAGTGAGGGGTCTGAAAGGCAAAAGTTAAAATCAATATCACAAAAACTTGCTGGTCCAACCTTAATTGCACCATTCATTGAAAAAACGGTGATATCGAAATCTTTTAGTTTAAGGGAGCATCAAATTGCCATTCCTGAATGCTCTGACAATCACATAATAGTTTTCTGCATGAGAAAAAATTCTGTGCAAAATTCTCCATGAAAAAGTCAAATTCGGTGTCAAATTTTGCGTGAAATCCCAAATTCCAAGATAAATCCTGCAAGCACCAGGTTCATCTGAACTATCACGAAATTGTAGGGAATTCAAAATTTGTGACATATAAGACGTAGGAATTTTATATTTCTCCATGGAAATCCTCACAACACCAGTTTCTGACAACAAATTACTGTCTAATGTGTCGAGGTGAGATGAGGTGGTTGACTGGAAAAGTTTTCTGCGAGATTCAATGCAAACAATATTGAAAAACAAAATTCTGCAGTTTTCCTGCAACAGTGCGGAATAACGGGATTCTAGTATGTGAGACCATTTAAGCAATATTTAGAGGTTTTACATGATTGATCTCAATAACCTCGATTAAAGCTCCCTACCGAATGGTATCTTAAGTCGTTCCTGTTCTTTGCGGAAAGCTTGGTCGACGATCCATCGTGTCACTTGGTTGGCTTCTTCTGGGAATGGGATGACGACTTTAGTTGGAGCAGGGGCAGCTTGGACCACTGGAATATGTGGTGAGATATTAACTCATGAGAAATGAAGCACCAAATAGAAGGTTATCTTACATGCTTTACATAACACTGTCAAGTTCAGATCACATGACTTATGTAGCAGTAAAACGAGTGTTGTTTTGGCCACTTTGTCTGAAATTCAGTACCCTAGCACTGCCTGAGATAATATCAATGGTAAAAATATTACTATTAAAAATATTGGGACATACATAAATCATGATATATTTTCACATTCTACACATTTACAGTGCTGTAGCATAAGATTGCTAAACATATCCCCGTTAAACCCATATTTCTAATAGACCCCCACTGAATGTTACCTTGTTCCTGAACTCCTAATGAAGGCACTTCTTCCTCCTCTGCAGGCTTCAGTATATCTACTATGTTAATCTTTGGCTTTTGACCTAAACAGAGAAATCATGATTAAATCAAGATGGTTTTCATTTTTTGAATTTTATCTCATTTGGCTTAATTGCTTTATTTAATGAATATCAAAAACACAAAGATAAACCTGACGAAAACAGTGTATATATTTCATATTTATGCAGCAAGTTTTCTACCTGGCTGTGATTTGACTTCTACATTGACTTGTACTGTTCCTTCTCCTTTCACACACTGCTCCACAAGGTTCTTGCTCTCATCTAGCTACAAGACAAAAACACAGACATTCAATGACCAGTTAATCAAGATGGGGGGAGGCTGCTAGATTTCTGATTTTTTATAGAAATTTGGACTTTTGGTCAATTTACATAATACCAATTTCAAAATGTAACAAGAAATGAAACAATTGTAAATGTATATGATTTTCTTGCTTAATTTACTTGTGTACTTTTAAAATGTGATATTTTAATAACACAAAGTAAGCGCATTTGTATACCCCGGTTAAGTCAATGTCACTGTAAGTGGAACACCTCTTCAATGGAACGTTTCATGACAAATTAACCTCTTTAAGTGGAACGCCGCCTCCCAAGTGGAACACTGTTAAGTGGTTTCTAAGGTGTTCCATTTACACAGGTTTACTGCATAGAGTACAGACTAACCTCTAACTGATCCTGCAGGTAAAACTGATGCTCATCCAGTGAACACTGTAGCTTAGACTCCAGCAGTCTTTTCAATGTGGTCAGTGGTTCAGCTATGTCCATGTGCTGGATGATAATGTTCTGGAACTGGGGTGGAGGGTTCAACTGTGTCTCTTCTGTAGTTTCAGAGCTGATCGTCTCTGTTTGTAATGTGTCTGTGGTAGACAGGGTTAGGCCTGAAACATAGGAATAACACTAACAAATAGACACTAGACAGCACCTAGTGATACAATCTGTGATAGTTTAAGTTACAATCTGTGACATGTTGGACACTGGAGGTTGATAGAGTTCAACTAAACCATAGATTGAAAAAGTAGATAAAGCATATTTTAAAATCTCAAGTAAAATACAGTGTAAGGTATGTGCAAAATCTTTTTATGATAATGATGAGATTTATCTACCCTAGCTTTAGGAAATAAGTCAAAATTGGCATCCCCTTATAAGAAATTTATTTTCAAAAAATGACACAATGATATTTGACCCAACTGCTGAGAGCCACCATAATATCTGGGAGAGTACCCTACCTTGACCCTCTTCTGATATATGTAGCTGGACATCATCTTCTTCCATTCCTCTCTGTATTATCTGCTGTCCTTCAATTATATGACCTTCTTCTTGAATAATCTGGTCCTCCTCTTGAATAATCTGGTCACCTTCTTGCATAATCTGACCTTCGATAATCTGACCATCTTCGTTAATAATCTGACCTCCTTCTTGAATTATCTGACCTTCAATGATCTGACCGTCTTCTTGAATAATATGTCCACCTTCCTGAATAATATGGTCACCTTGTATAATCTGATTTTCCTCTAAAATAATCTGACCTCCATCTTGAATAATTTGACTTTCTTCAACAATGTGACTCCCTTCTTGTATTATTTCACCCGACTGAATAATCTGTCCTGCTTGTATAATCTGCCCATCTTGTAGGATGACTGTATCACTTTGTTCATCTCCTTCATTGACTTCAACACCTTCCTCCAATTGAACATTAGCTTCTTCATTTTGAAGGTTTGAGGTATCATCTTCGTCTGTTGTTTTGGCCTGATCATCATTAGTAACTTCTTCTTCTTCTGTAACCTCTTCCACTTGCAACACTGTCCTGATAACAAATGGAGGTTGAAGGATTAATGTAAAAGCATTTTCAAAAAATGTCTATATTTTACATGATAGAACCTTTAGATTTTGTTTGATATTATGTACTGAGTTTCATAATCTTTTTAAATCTAAGAAATTTGCAGATCATTTTGATTTGATAAACAAAACTAAAACTATTTATTTACCACATTTGAACTTCTATATTTGAAATGTTTTTCTTTTTCTTTTTGAATGAATTTGATAGCAAAACCCTTGTATATTTAGGCACTGGTTTTCAAGAGATATCTTTAAAACCCATGGCCCTTGCAATTAAGGGAGTTTTAGCCATCATGTAAATTTTTGAAAATAACATGAAGGGAAGCATCAAATCATAAGGGGCTACAAATTTTATCAGCCAAACGGTATCTTCACAGCACAATATAAGCAATTTGGAATGTGGTCTTTTGACTGCTAATGTTTTACATTTGAGTGACGGAGAAAAAATGTGGACTGTATATTCAAATTCAAAGCTATTCAAAATTCTTACCCATCATCCATGATAATATTAGAATGCTGTGCAGTCTCTACCTCCTCAGAAGCCTCTTCAGCCTCCAGCTTCACTTTCTTTGGACTCGACCCGCTGGACCCACCACTTGCAGTCCGTCGTCTTGTTAGCTTCATTTTAACTCCTCACAGATTTATATATCTACTAAAAAATTGAATTAGACAATTTATGATACTATATGTATCGCCTGGATACACTTTGCTATTCTAAAGTATAACTGTTAGCTTGTTGATTTTAAAGCTAAGACTTGATGAAACAATTACATTCCATTGAATCAATGGTTTCATTCTAACAATGGACTCTTGAATGTCCATGTTCTATCCACCTTGGAACAAAAACTGGAACAGATAAAGTTCTATCTTGGGTACATACTACCCATATTAGGGGTATGCAGCAGATCTGTCAGTAATAAAAAAACACTTCTTGGTGGTGACATAATAATGTTATGTTAATAACCCCTTAAATGGCTACTTAAATTGTAGGCAGTGAATTTCAAAGTATCTCTTAGTGGGCGCATTTTAATGTCTCTAATGAATCACCACATACTGTTTGACTTAGATCTTCGACAACAATACTAAACAATAATTTTCTGAAAAATTCAAAAGATTCTATTCAGTGACCTTTCCCAAGGACCTACTTTTAGCTGTTTTTCAGTCACATTTTCAGAGGGCTGAAAAGTTATTTCATCATGTTAAGGGTCATTCTGACCATGTACATGTACATTGTGATCCTGATCATGTAAATGATATGTGGAACTAGTCAAACTGACTGGAGGTCAAAACAGAACTCTGTTATTTGGTTCAAAAAATGTTTGAAATCCAGCATGGTTTTGTCACTTCCCTGTTTTGTTATTTCCTGTTAAGGATGCAGTACCAGGTCAGCGTAGAAAAAGTTCCAGACATTAGATTTTGCTCATATTTTTTACAATGTATCACTATGGTGTTATCATCATGCAAGTGCAATATAAAGAGGATTGACCGTCTGGTAATTACAAAATAAAAAAATTATTTTACCCACCCAAAATGAATCTTTTTACTTTTTTGAGTTTTCAATAGAGCTGGCACCTTTCGAACCCTGGTTTTCGTATCCACTAATTGCGACTCAAGAACAAGTTTTCCCATAAAAGTGAAAGGGATGAAATATGCTTGATAAAATGTTTGCAATTTAATTCTTTTCTGGAAACACCATTATCGAAATAAACTATAATTTTTGAATAAGACTAACTGCGAAAATGACGTTCTTGGGAGCTAGCTTTCTCAAACCGGAAGTCAAACCTGCGCAAACAGACGTGAAAACCGACCCGGTTGTGTATTGAGAAGACATCATCAATGATTGATCAAATTGACAGACAAATGACATAATTCAATGGTGGTTTCAATATTTTCTAAAAATGCTTCAAATAATATTTTGAATATCAAAGTTTGTTATTTCTCAAGATAAAGAGTGACGTAAGGAATATACCAATGTCGATTTAACGTCACTTCAATGTGTAGTATTCGGGAACTAGCCAGTAAACATTTTAACAAACAAAGGTGGTCAGCAAGAGACGTAATTATGTCAGTCATCTTCTAATCTAAGCTCTGGGGTTTTCCCTAGACTGTATCCTTCGTCTGAATAAATATTCAGACTGTAAGTCACCTATTGTAAAATGTGGTGTTGTATAAATGTTACAAATAAGTTTGTTAAATGATAAAATGATTACCTTATAAAGTACTTACAATATTATTTTTTCGTATATTGTCCTCTTACTGAAGATATTCATAAAATGTACAGACGCTTCTTGTAGCGAAGCCATTGATTAGGTCAAGCCATTTTGGCAATGCCAATTCTCACGATAAACGAGATTTAGCCAGTGACGTCAGTCTATTTGTAAACAAATAACACGTGGAGCGGACGGAAGCGTGTTGATAAATTCCATTTGTGCGGGAATTTATTAGATCTAGTCATTTATTATCATTATCCCGATTAATTTTCTTCATTTATAGTAAATAGAGCGGAAATATTCATGAAGAAGGCCGAGGTAATCAAGTGGTCATGTGTTGTCAAAGTTCAAAATTTGCATATCTCGTTTGGATCTCGTGAACTCAAACGTCCTTGACATTGATTTCGCGATGTACTTATAAACACATCCTGAAGTTTTGGTGAGTCTGAACATTTCATTATTTTATATCAACTTGTACCCGCCTTATACAAATATTTTTGCTTCTAGTTTAAGATGAACATCTCTTCAACATATTCACCAATTTTCAAGGTGAACATTCTTGTAATAAACGAGAAATTTATGTGCAAAAAATTTCACCGAGATTTCCACCGGAAATATATCAATCATAACAGACCGAATATTATATTCGGTCTGTTGGATACATACTAGGGTTTTCCCTCTATGCCTAGCTCTACATAAAATCTTACAAATAAAAAACAAATAGTGTGGAAATAAAAGTGGATTTACCCAAATAATACAGTTCAATTGACTACTATATCATATAAATATATTTCAATTTGAAACTATAGTCAACAGGTGCAACTAAGGAGAACATGGTAATTTTCCAAGTAATTTCAAAACTCTTGAACTGAACAAACAACATCCTTGTTAGACGTTGCTCAATTTTCATTCAATATGGCGGCCTAAATCACGCCATCCAGACAATATCGTGTCATATAATTAATAATTAATGATAGATAATCCATTTACCGAGTTCTTGTAATGTCGTTCGACCATGGAAAACATTGTTGTCTGCTTTTTGAAGTAAATAATCAAATTTTACTTCCGCCGGATGCTTTTGAAACGTGATAAACATTTGATGAATTTCACTGGTTTTCAACACATTCCTGGCTATTAATTGCACAAACGTTTATTTTGATCAACTCACCTAATTACTGGCCAATATTCCAAGTAGTAAACAAGACTAATACTTTGCGTAGTGAACGTAAAATCTGGATTTAATCGATGTTTTTCCAACAGGAAATGCAGACAAAGCTCCCTGCAGGAAATGGCTGTGTCACGTGACCCTTATGATGCAGAAGGGAGTGTCATTCTCTGCGAGATACTAATTAACTTTATCTAGAATATTGTCTAGAGGTTCAAACAAAATCAAAATATAAAAGTAATTTATTCAATAGCCTATTTATTCCCTGCTTTGACGAGATATTGCTTTTGTATGTGCAATAAACGAATTACAAGTTGTATTCAAAATGATTCAACTCTCGCATATCGCCGCGAGAAGATCGTCCTCCATTTTGGCTGAAGCTCGAAAATATATAAATCAGGTATTTCTATCTAAATAGCATTGCCTATGATTAACGATTCTGAATAATTTTATCAAAAAACACATCTTCAACTATGTAAAGAATAATATTTTCATGTTTCGTACTGATCTGTAATTGTGAAAGACATGTAATTGGCAATTGAATATTATAATTCTATCTCGAATCTGCTGTCTAGTCATATAAATCTGACCCTCGTATGATGTTATTAGTTGTTATTTTTTCTGATTTGGATATTTATTTTTTCTTATTTTCTTGCATACAAGGGTCATACACACTCCGCGCATCTAAATTGCGGGAAATGCTTTCCTGGCCTGTCTACCCAACCAAATTCACACAAATGATAAATAAATGTCTTTGCTTCAACTATAAAGTATTTAATCTTACCTTAGACACGTAAAACGCTTGGTAATTGAAGAAATATAAGCATGCCGCTTGAATTTTAAAATTTTTTCATTTTGCCATGCCAAGGTCACTTCCGGGTTAATCTGAGTCTAGATGTAAAACTATATCAAACGAAATCATAAGTACTTGTTACACGAAGATTCAGTTGAAAGGGAAGCAGTGTCGTTAAGAAGGGAAGTTATTTGGAAAAGTTATTGTTTCAAAATGAGAAAAGTAAGAGAACGGCTTTGGAATCGATCTCTGTGTAATAAATAATTATGATTCCGTTTCGATACATGTTTTACATTTAGACTACCGGAAACAGCATTCAGCAACATGGCGGGCGATAATGAAAATATAATTCAATTGATCATATTTCGTCAATTATCAAGCGTTTTACATGTCTAAGGTAAGATTTAACACTTTAATGTTGGAACTAAATAATTACTCGATAATTTGTGTGACTTTGGTTAGTATGGTAACTATGGTTACCGAGACAGGCCAGAAAAGCGTTTACCGCAATTTGTTCCATATAATATCTACGACGGTGTATGCAAAGAAAATGATAAAAAATAAATATCCAAATAAGAACAAGGAATATCGAAGAACAGCATACAACGGTCGGATTTATATGACTACTGCTGTCCACCTGATCTTCAAGTTTCAACTTCAAGATCTTGAAATTTTGGACTTTGGCAGCATAGATGTCAGCAAAATTCCGATTTGTAGGAGAATCAGAAGCTCAATAAATATTCCACATTCCTGCATTTCGTTCAGACTTTACTATTTTTTTCAAGGCCTGTCTGCGTCGCTAACATGCTAAATATAAGAGTTAGCTGACGTTTGGGAGTCTGACTTACCTTCTAAAGGTTAGAACCCGAATCTTAATGAAACCATATCACCTTTGTTCCGTCAACCATGGAGCATTTGCCACAACATCCAAGAGGTAAATCATGGATCGAGAAAATGAATGATTTCCTTGTAAGTTCCGGAAGTTTCAATACGAAAAATTACCGAACATATGTGAAAACCGAATATTTGTTCGTTGTTTTCACGATTTACAGGTTCGTTTGTTCTTCAATGTTTTGGTCTAAATTATAAAGCATCACCAACAGGTCTTTCTCTATTAATCGACTAATACAGCAGACGGCTCATATTTCTACGTAGCATTTCATTCAGACCAATAGTGGGAGTGTAGATCACGCAGTTTCGTTCGTTGCGTACTTCACTTGAAATTGGTAATTTTTAATATTGACTACTTCACTTAGCTTGGCGGATGTAGAACATTGCTTAATATTCTTTTAATTTTCACACCAGACATGCTTGGTTGACACGTCAACAAAGTAAAGTTCAAGGGTCAATGCGTTATTTCGTGATAACTACAACGCCTTCCCGGAGGTCAACATTGATGAAAAATGAAAAAGTCGGAAAAGCATTTACGCTAATTTCTATCAAATGCTATTATGCATCATCATCGACGCAACAAAGGTGATATAGTTTCATTAAGATTCGGGTTCTAACCTTTAGAAGGTAAGTCAGACTCCCAAACGTCAGCTAACTCTTATATTTAGCATGTTAGCGACGCAGACAGGCCTTGAAAAAAATAGTACATGCGGATACTTTGTATGTCACGAATTTTTTTCGAATAGATCTACCCCGGTGTTCAACATTTGTAAGTCACTCATGTTAGGTGTTCCCAAGTTGACATGCCTGTACCTCATTCGAAGCATCTTGTTATTCTTTATCTTTCTTATTATTACTAATGAATGGTATACAAGCCACCCTGCGTTGATAAGAGACCAAAATAGTGGTATTTTATCGGCGTGCTGCTCTTGTCTGTCCAAATCTGAATGGTGCTTTCATGAATTCATAAATGTGACGTCAGAGTTACAATGATATTTAGACAGACAAGTGCCCCAGAGCAAGAGTAGGTGTCTCATCTTGTGGAATATTTATTGAGCTACTGATCCTACTACAAAATAATCTTGTCGGCATCTATGTTTGGCAGGCCCAGGCTTTTTCCGGTTCCTGGACTACAGTCATTCGAGTATCCCTATAAATTGTCTTTGTGATTACAGTAAAATTTTAAATGTTTGGAACTACTTTGAATCTAAAAAATAAGCAAGTAAAGGACCATATTGAAACAGAATATGTAAAAATAGAAACATTTATACATGTTATAACTTTTGTATATTTAGTTTAACTACAATATCTGTGGCCTCTTATATTTTGATGCTTCTCTGCCATGTTATTTTGGGAAAAAATTAACATGGCTGAAACTCCCTAAATTATAAAAGGCCACAGCTTTGCAGTGCATTATCAACTATCTGAAATATACAAAAGTTAGGACTTGTAAATATGTTTCCATTTTTTCATATACTGTTTCAATATAGTCATTTGATTGCTTTTTTATAATGTATGAGAATTTGGCACATATTTACATTCGGGGCTTTGTCTATTAGACTTCCACTGTGTTGCAGCCTTACGCGAATCATAAATCCCTGTATGTTAAATATTCTGCCGTATATGAATATGTTTTTGGGTCTTATAAGCTAAAAAAAAATTCAAACTTTGAATTTAGTTATAATGTTGTTGTTCGGTGTCTGTAACAAATGTAACAGATAACAGGATGTGGTGATACTTTGCATGTTTATACCTTAACACCTCTGTAATATAGACACCTTTCAAAATGAACACTTTAACTTAGTCCTAAATTTGTTAAATCCCTCTGGAATGCATGTTTTTAAACCTTGAAATATGAACACCTGCTTATCTGAAGAAGTCCCAGGGGTGTTTGGATAAGACAGCTTTAGCTGTAAAGTAAAAAGTGTGATTGCGTGATCAATAACTTGAATACTTACAATTTGTTTTTTGTTTGTAGATTTCAGAATGCTGACTAGGGTTTTATTGAAGGTCAGCCAGGCTGGGCAGTGTGTGCGAACTCAGTTTTCACGAAATCTGGGAGTCAGCGCTGTCGTCACACAAAAAGCACAGGCCAACCTAGATCCTATTCAACAATTATTCTTAGAAAAAGTTAGAGACTATTCAAAACAGAGCAAGTAAGTTTACTAGTTAATTTGCTATAAACTATTGAGCCATGTCATGATCAGTTACACACATCAGAAACATTTCAAACAAACCTATCTGTAACATGATATATATTTTGAATATAAACTACACAATTGACTATAGTTGGTTTGGTAGAATATGTATGTATATATTCAGAATATGTTGAAGGTTGGTAAAAAGAATCAAAATTTCTTTGACGGCAGAAGCAACCTTTCTTAAAATTGTTCAATTTAAAATATTTTGGATGCATATCACTCCATTTTTTTTTCAATAATCCCAAAAGTTCTTTATTCCAGTTTTTGTAATATTTGTGTGCTTATTCTTTAATAATATAGATATTAGGAAACTAGGATATACAAAATAAATTGATTAGATTTCATGGATCTTTTTTGAATTTTTTTTATTATTACTCTGTATTATAGGGCAGCTGGAGGTAAACTGGTAGGAGCCTCCCCAGATGTAGAGAAGCAACTAGATGAACAGTTAGCAAAAATAGACAGAGTTTACAATGCCAAGGGTCAAGATATGACTAAATTCCCAGCCTTAAACTTTCAAGGTAAGATGGTATAAAATGTTTGTGCATTGTTTTCTATTTCATGGATTTTATTTAATAAGCTTTTTTTTCCTGGAATGTAGTAATATGAAATAATAATAAGAAAATAAAGTTACCAAAGCTATCAAACACTTCTCTATTTTTTATTTCTGAAATCAGTAAATAATATGCTACCATTTATAAAAACAAAAAAAGATATGTTTCACATGAAAAATTTACTGTGGCTATACACTAGGGCTGGTCAGGAATCAGTTTGGACGGTTTGGAATAGGAACTTTTTCTCACAGAATTAGAACTTTCAGAACCCTTTTCGAACCACAAACGTAATGAAACAAAAAGAAACGAACCTGCTTGATAAGTTGATACGACAGTGTCTTGGCATAATTTGCACATCATTTTATATTTGTTTTGATCGATGGGAAGTAAAACTCCAAAGTAAACTTAATAACTACTGATCTTTTATCTAGATGGCACACGAAAATATATATATGAAATGTACACGCAACATGACTCGTTCCTACTTCCAGTGAAAAATGAAGGTCATACTCTCGAATCAAAAGAAAACTTGATTTCATCGCTATTTATTATATTTTTGTGACTAATACACATATATATTTAACACAGTTCTGATGTTTGTTCTGAAACCCTTCGGAATATGATATGAAAGTTCCATATAACGGTATTCAAGCAACAGTTTGAGGTTTGGACCGATTTTGGTCAAATGGCACGGCCCTACCCTACTATATACAAGTGATACCAGATATCAGAGATTTCACTCGAAATATTCACAACTAAAAGAATTTTATGATGGCTCCTTACATTTTGATTTTGGAGGGTATTTCATAATGAACACTTTTTCAGGTTTCATCCCTTATTGATTATATTTATGATGCATTTGTTACAGATCTCCCTCTGGAGCCCCCAGGAATTGAGGTGTCAAAGGAGAGTGCTGATGCCCATGTTACCCCCCTTGTCAACCTTACAAGCTCTGAATCTGAGGCAGATGACCCTAACAAACCATACTTTGAGATGTAACATACAACAATTTAGGAAAATTCTAGCTACAGACTTATGTAATATAGCATACAAATAGACACTAATTTATATACGATGTTCAGTGATTGTGAAACCAGTTCAACAAAGAGGTTGCCAAAATTTGAGTACAATATACTGTGTTAGATTGAGCGCAATGTAGGAATGATCAGACTCTTGTTTTCATTAATATGTAGGGTTATTCTCGGGACATTGTGCATGCTTCACATGTAGTAGTAACAGAAGTGTTTTAATAAATAAGAAAACATAAATCATGTTCTTTATTTTATATATACTATTAGAGATCAAAAGGAGATGATTGAATGGGAGGAATTGAGACTAAATTTATCTCAAAATCTCAAAATATTGGTTAATGTCATTTCACTATATAGATGGGTATCATAACATACTCTACTGAATCTGGAAGTTTGAACAGGATTCAATCCAGTTCAAAACTGTTTATCAAAGTGCTTCTTAAACTGTTAAATGTCAAAATAGTGCGGGATTTTGATTTTCAACAGCAACATGGGCATCTTATTTAAGACAAATTTAGTCTCTATTTCTGGTAAATATCTTAATTTAATTAATGACTTGCTTCTGTTCCTGCAACCCTCAAATTGATAAGGATAGAAGCTTATGAGCAAAATGTTAACCCTATATATATTGAAATTGGGCTACATTAGTACAGTATTAATTTCCTAAAAGTACAAAATTAAAGTCTGATGTTTTTGACATCCCATTGTGAGCCTATAGAATCACCCATTTATTTGTCAATAATTGCTGAAAATTACTGTTCACCTGAGGCAATCCTGATAAAAGGAGTCCATACTGATTACAGGATTGCAATTGAATCATTATCAAAATACAATGTATCACTTTTAACAACATATGAGTCTGTGCATGAGGGCTCTCCAAGAGGGGGAGTGAGGTCTCGTTTGTCCCCCGTTTGTCACTTTTAAAGTTTCAAAATTGTCATTTGTCACATATAAATTCCCAAAAGTTACATTTTTAGAGGCCAGGTCACCTTGCATTGGATTTCTATCCATAGTTATTGCAATTTGACCTAGTATATTATCAAAATAGCCACCAAGAGGGTAAATATGTGGATTAAGGAATTAATAGTCATTTTGCTAAATGGGTCATCAATCATGAGTTGAGATTGAATAAATACTCATATGGGCAAATCTATGTTTCATCAAATACAAATGATCAGGCAGAACCTACAAATTCTTAGAATTTGCATCGTTATGGAGTTTAGCTTGCATATAAAATCGAAACGTCAATCTATGTCCTATATGTATGACCAATTGCCCATACAAATGCATCGCTTAAATATTTTCCGTTCACGTTGTGAAAAACATTGCAAGCTTAAACTCCCTATTATTTGTCCATAATGTGTAAAGCTTACTTTGTTTGAAGCTCCCTTATATCACACAGTATTACAGATACATTCCTTCTTTCGTTGTGAGATAAAACATCATGGTTTCTAACAATGCGAGCCTTATATGAGTTTCTTAAAAACCTGTGGCCCATCCAATTGATGTCATTTACGGCCATTAAGAGGAGAGTTGCCTTTCATATAATCCAGCACTTGTGTTTCCTTTTTAAGTGCCTATTCTCATGCCTGGTCTCAGTTATGATGATGTTGTAATATATTCCCGGGTTTTGCTTCGATTTTCGTTCAGTGTTTTTGAAAAGGTAATAATGATTACTCATGAAACCATTTGGTTTGAGACTATACAAAGAAAAACAAGAAATGGCCGCCGATTAAAAAATATTGATTCTGACATTTATTCTAAAATAGAACCAAGACTCCAACGAAATCAAATATTGCATGCGTTTAAGTTGATGTGTTAGTAATTAATTTGGAAACAAGCATACCAATATGTCTGGAAGTCCGTGTAAATTGGCTAAAATTGACGTCTCTAAAAAGTTGGACACTTCGACGTCTGCAAATAAAAAAGCTGGTGAGTATTAGCTAAGCATAGTCTTACTTAACTTGCACAAACCCGTCTCTAGAAAGACGGCTTTGGATATATACATATGCTCAGTCCATTTAAAGATCTTTGCACAGTGATCACAATCAATCTTCATCATTTATTTAGAGTCCATTTCACTGCTTCATTTCGTAAGTAGAACGGCAAAAATAAGGGTTGTACTAAATACCACCTAGGTGCCCCACACCTAGGTGTCCCCATTGAAATGCCTTACTGGCATATTTTACTACTTTATTTCAAGATAACATTTTTCCAAGTGTTAATATGGTACATAATAAAGTATTTACATGGAACTTGTGTAAATATTTCTGTTTGTTTATGATATCTTTAGGGCGAAGGGGTGTAATGTCGACGTGTGGGGTAATGTCGACATAATGGACGGGGTAACTTCGACACTTACGTATTAGAAGTAGAATTTCCGTTTTCCGCCATGTTTGATTTCTGGAAAAATTAAAATCTCGCGAGATCTCGATTCATGCGAGAAAAAAAACATGGCTTTCCCCTAGATCGGAAATTAGAGCAAATAAACAACAAGGTGTCGAAGTTACCCCACATGTCGAAGTTACCCCAAAACGATGTCGACGTTACACCCCTTCGCCCTAATTGTCTTGAAAATTTTGATCGATGTCAAAAAAGTCATTTGTAAGAATAACATTTCATTATTTGCTCACTATGAAATGCTACAAAGTCACTATTTTAGCAACTTAAGCCTTAAACTATTTGCTGACGACAGCCTTTTATTCATGACAGTCGAAAGCAAGCAAGATGCATTAACACTACAGGAGAATCTAGATAAACTGGTCTCCTGGGCATCAACATGGCAAATGAAATTCCATCCATCAAAATGCTATGTGCTTAATATTCACAAAGGTAAATCCCCTATCATTCACAATTACACCATGCTAGGGGAAAACCTTAAGTCGGTAACACACATCCCATACCTAGGTATTGACATCACAAACAACTTACGCTGGACTACACATATTCAAACTATTGTATCCAAAGCCAATAAGGTGCTTGGATTTCTCAGGCGCAACCTCCATCAATGCCCTGAAAAAGTGAAGGCTCAGGCGTATAAGTCACTTGTCCGGCCTAATTTAGAGTATGCCAGTTCGGCATGGGACCCATACCGACAAAAAGATATTGATATGTTGGAACAGGTACAGAGAAGAGCAGCCAGGTTTGTAACCAAATGTCATTCAAGGGAACCAGGCTGCGTCACCAAAGCTCTTCAAGACCTACAGTGGGAGCCACTGAAGGAGCGTCGAGAGGCTGCTAGAGTTTTCCTTTTCTACAAAGGAAAGCAAAACCTTGCAGCCATCGACGTGCCTCCATACTTCCGCCAACAGATCAATACCAACACTAGGCTGTATCATCCTTCTAAGTTCATACAACCATCAACTAGAACGGATGCATACAAATTTAGCTATTTCCCTAGGACAATAGCTAAATGGAACACTCTACCTGGTGACATCTTAGACTGTGACAGTCTAAGTAGTTTTAAATCATCATACTATGCCTATGTCAATAACTGCAATTAAATAGGTGTGTTTTTAATATAGATCTATGTTTTAATGTAAAAGGTCCCAAGTGCACAGCAACAAGCCTGCACTACTGGTAAAGAGGGGTGATGTCAACGCGGTAGCCTGACAGTCACCCCAGGGTATTTCGCAAACCATAGATCTATTTTTAAATGTTAAGGTTTTAAATTATATTCTATTCAAATTCTATCACTGTTAAATTATATATCTGCTTTATATGGGCTTATTAGCCTTTTGCAGATTATCGACATAGACATAGACAAGAACAATATATATATTTCAAATATAAATGCACACTTTAGCATAAATGGTGTTTTATTACTACAAATAAGTAACCATACATATGAGCAAAATTTTCCAGGTGCCCATTTTTCTAACACAATAAAACTTTTAACATTTTATTTTCGAATCTTCTTTGCTATATTCTCGACTACAAATAATTATTTCAAGCCTATTAATGTCAAGTTAATATGACAAAGGAGATAATACTATATTTAAAATGTGTACGTGGTTTTAAATGGAATTAGAAATCCAGGTGCCCAAGGGGACACCTAGGTGGTATTTAGTAACACCAAAAAATAAGAAATTGGGAGACCATTGTGCAATATTATATGGAAAAGTATATTCATAATGTACATGAATGACATTTGTATATCTTGGATTGCTTCTAGTTTGGCTTATAAAGTGTGTGGCCTCTTATATTTGGATGTTTCTCTGCCATGTTATTTTCAGATTAACATGGCTGAAATTCTTCAAATTACAAGACTGCACAGGCTTATTGCACAAAAAACTAAAAATCTGAAATATAAAAATGTACTAATATGATGATGATTATAATGTATCATGGACTGGTGGAGGGGGGGGGGGGGTAGTATGTATCCAACAGACTGACTAAATAGGATATAGTCTAGGGGGGGGGGGGGTAGCATTCCCCATCCAGAAAATTATTGATGTTTAGAACCTCTTTTTTGCAAACTGAGCATGATATTCCTCATAAAAGTCAAGTTTTAGGCCCTATAGATCCTAAAAAAGAAAAATTAATGAAGAACAAAAAATACACATTGCTTAGTAACAGTAATCGCCGTTTTTAGCGCCGACCCCATATAACCATTCACCCCGCTTCACAAAGTTCAAGAAATATCAAGGAATAACCAAGTATTATTACCGAATACACAGAAAAAATAATTTCCGAAAGAAGTCAGCGGGCGATAATAGAGTACTTCATCATTACTTACACTAAAATGCGGAAAAAGTGGCGCATTTTGTAATTCAGTGCATCATCACGATAAACATCTATCATTTCGTGCTTTCCACATTATACTAAACCAATATTTTGATGAATGGAGAAGGAAATGTCCGAGTTAAAAAATATTTTTTCGGTGATCGCTTCTGCGCAGTTTTTATGCGCATCTGATCTCTTCGACCAATCAGAACTCTCGAATAAAGAAATCGAGAGCACAGCCAATCAGAATTCATGATAGAAAACATTTCGGGAACGATCAATAAGGAATATCCGGATGTTCCGGATTTTCGATCTCGGTGAGTTCCTTGGCAGAAATATGCCATTATCTTCGGGTATTTAAGTCTGATTTTATCCCAGATCGCCACTATGGCAAGTGCTCCATCAAAACTGTTCGCCAGATGTATTTTCTGATGGCATTTGGCGAATGGCGACCGCTTATCCGACACACTGGTATTACGTTCGCCCTTGGTATAACAGTATAGGAAAGTAGCACAAAATCACTTCTTGACAACTGGTCCTTACTTTATGTGCAAAAATATCTTCAGTGCTTATCAGCTAAGAATAAAAGAAGAGACTTTTTGAAGGATTAAATCATAGACAAAATTGAAAAAGAATATTCAGCTCAGAGGTTTTGGAAAGCACTTGACCTGGTTGCATACTTGCGACCAACATATAAAATCTAGTGGTCCTCATTGCAAGTACATGTACACTATATAAAGCATTATTCACAAGATTTTATTAAAAATTTTACTTTATCTGACGGTGACTAAGTCCAAAGTTGTCGACTAACATTTCTCCAGGACCACTTCACATTAATTTTCCCGGTCCTAAAGGACCACTACTCAATTTTAAGGACCTAAACCTCAGTTCAAAAAAGTTGATGTTCTTTAAAAAAAATTAATTTCTTCATGTTTCTTACCGATTAAATTCACCATATTTTATAAGATGTTTATTTCTAATGCTATAGGAATTCATTCATATGAAAAATATAAAGTAATTTGTAGGATCTGTTAGAAATAAGTGAATACTTAGGACTTTGCAAGGACCTTTTCCCTTGCGATCAGAAATTGTTTATTACACTGTTGTTAAATCACACATTTGATTCGTCCGTCGCTTCCACCAATTCTAAATCGAAAGTGCCCTATATCAGTGTCCATGTCGATCTATGATGCAAGAAGAGAGTGCCATGGTATTCCATGATGGTGTTTTGCTCTACATGGAAAGTATATATATGGTAATAGCTACCATATTAGGAGAGAGGTGGTTTGGCAAGGAATATACCTTTAAATTTATATCTGCATGATCAGACAGTATTGGCTTCCTATCTGAAGTCTTATTTTCATGTATATGATATGACTCATTTGGACATTCCATACATGGTCTAAGTCTTTCAGTTTTGTGTAAAGAATGTATAAATATACATGTTTTCAGGCATACTGTTTGATGGATTAATTTCCAGTTTTCTTGGTTGTCCTTCACTGTTCCACAGCTGGATGACTAACTGCAGTTAGCTTCATTCAAGATGGTTGCCGCAATTCTTTCGTTTTCGATAAACCTCCAATTTCAGCTAAACAAAGTTGAATCTTGATTCCAAAAGTTTCGCTATGCAAAAGAAAACCGCTTCACTTAGAATGACTCTAACTGAAGTTGATGATCTACATCATCATTACATCCTCATCATCATTTTCAGATTCTTATCTTAAAATCTGCATTTAGCAATATGGAATCTTATCCAATATAATAATCATATAATCATGATATTGTAGAAGTTTGAGCTCAGCCATTCAAATTTATAAATATTAGCAATCTCCCCACCTGAGATTTTAAAAACAGGCTTGCACCCACCTGAAAATCTAAATGCACCCACTTGTCTGACTTGTGAAAATGAGAACTTTGCACCTACTTGAGAACAAATCCTGTAGACAACACTCATGAGTGCGACATAGTTCACCATGTGCCTTGATTATAAGAGGGAGAGAAATGCTGTAAGACTCTTAATATAAACACAATCAGCTGATTTGGTAGTGATCAGATAGGGAACACAGTTAGCTGATTTGTTAAGTCAGAATAACCCAGTTAGTTATTACCTATAAACATCTGCCATCTTTGAATTTCAGTTGAACTATATTCCCTTTGCAAATGCTACATAGACTTACGCAATACATTCTTGTCATGATTTATCAACTTAACCCTAAAATCACATCTGTTACCCATTAATATAAACTTATATTGTTTTAGTATATGATTTGTATTAAAGGTCATTGATATGATTTAGAATGATCTTGAAACCTGTGAAGTTAGTTTTATATTCACAAGAGTCGGAGAGGCTGGATTTCTTGTTTATATTCATATGGTCATAACATTGATTCTGACACTTCTACGCACTTTCGAGAATATACTGCTTACTCAAGATACCAGTCGTTAATAGAAGGTGTAGAAGATATTGTGTTATTGAACCTGTTGATGTTAAGATATTGCGTTGTGTCGTAAAGTTTATAACCACAAAGAACCTGCTTGCATCAACTAGATCAGTTTGTTGTTAAAAAAATCACGAAAAATCATTGAAATGCCTGGTTCACCTGGAGGATCAAGCCCTGAGAGAAGTCCTATCGCGGCCAAACGTTCACGCCTCTCACTCATCTCCACAGAGAAGAATCTTAAACTTCAGCTAGGCAAGTGATGTTTTTTATGTCACCAACAAAACTGGTGACATATTGTTATAATCTTGAACTTTTTTGTGGACAGTGGTCACTAGTTGGTGTTCGATGGTTGGTATTCAACATCCAGTGGTTGATGTCCATAACAAATGGCAGGTGGTGGATCTTTTAGGAATCAAATTTAAGACTATACCAAGGGTATTATGTAATTCTGGATGACTCATCACTAGGCATGTTAGCAAATGATCCAGTTACCTAAAGCCTTATAGATTTATTAACTAGTTCTCTTGATTTCTTTTTGTGAACTATCATTGTTTAAGCCATTCAATTCTGCATACATAAATGTTAATATGCACATACATACTGAATTCTTTGGAGACTATACTATAGAAATATAATAGCCAAAATAATTCAAATTGTATGCATGATGGACTAGATATTACAGGCTTCTACTTTCTAAATATTCATATTTTACAATGAAAAGCACAAACAGCAACAATGAAAAATAAAACAACGGTACCTACTTTATAGATATATGAAATCTTATTGCGAACAATATAGCTAAATAAACTTTAATGTTTGAGAAACTATTCAGTACTTTTCAGTTGGTATTGCTTCTTCATGGAGTTTTCTCGTTGATTATGTGAACATAAATGGTGTTGATTGATGATAAATTTTTGATTTTTGATGGTGGTTGTTTGGTTGATTCTTGATTATTTCATGCAACAATGGTTGATACATGTGGTTGTTATAAACACTCTTATTTACATAATATATGAAACTCCAATGAAAAATGATGTTTACATGTTCTAGAACCAGGAATTGGGTAATCAACCAAACAACAAACAATATTACGATTACACTCTGAACTCTAACTTTGAAGTTTTGATTTATTTCTATTCCATATCTAGTCACTTCCTGTAGTGGCTGTTATTGAGATAACTAGAGCTGTTCAAGTAGCTGCACCTGCATGGTTTTTAGTACCCTTCATGAGAGCTTCACTCTGACTATGTAGTCTTTAGAGATGATTTTTATTGCCTGTTTCCAATCGGAATCATTCTGATACTCATAGCATCTCTCTCTCTGTTGTATCATAGAAGAAGGACAGAGATGGAGAGGATGCATCCTTTTAATGCAGGGCTCCAGACATCATCCACTGCATTCTTCCAAAGAGGTACACATTCTGGAGGCCTGTGTTTGGAGGATGGAGAAGAATGAATCAGAATCAAAATGAATCAGAAAACGTAGTCATGATACTTTCTGCCTACCGGTAGCATACAGAATCCTTTCTCATTAACACTCCTATAAAAGGTCAAATAAGATGCATTTGAGATCACTGAGATATGTTAGTCTTGTTTCAAGACTCTGTCTCCCCCTATTATCTTCAACAACAGGGTCTTGTTTTCAGCGCTTAGGAGCAAGACTAAGATCTTATCATATCACCATTAAAACATTTAAATCATCCAAATATTGATAAACTGGAGTGAAAATAATACAATTGATAGTAAATGAGGGAAGCAGACCCTAGGTTCTTAGGTAAACAAATCTAAATATGGAACAATCCAATTTCTGTATTATATAGAGACTAGCCAACCTAGAGATACTGTTTGAGGTACATTTTGCAATCAGCAAATAAACAATAACAAATTTTTCAATAAACGAGATATAAGAGATGGCATCCGTCCGCCTGCCCACCTTGACAAATGCAGACCTATCATCACAAGACAACGACAATATAGCACTTTTCTAGGCGCGATAGAAATGAAGTAGCACCAAAAGTTACATGTACAAAATAATTTAACATGCTTTAATTCTCTCTATATTTCAGAGTTAGACCAGGTAGATGCTTCAAGACCAGGCAGTAGCAACAGTTCCCTTGCCTCTACCCCTTTATCTCCAACAGCTATATACAGCCATAGTAAGAAGTTCCCGGGACTCAAGCAAGCACCCATGGATGAGCGCTTTCAAGAGATTGCAGGTAAGCAGTTTAGTTTCACTATTGCATAAGTCTTCATCTATTTTGTAAGTGGTGTTCAGCAGTTGGTGATTGTCATTCAGCTGTCAGCATCTGTAACAAATGACAGGTGGTGACATTTTGTGTGTTGATGCCTTGTTATCCTGTTCTTTAGGTGCAGTGCTTTCACAGGCGAATGGTATTGGAGGACGAGATGATAGTGCTGAACATGAAATAGCTGCTCCCTATGAACTACCACAATGTCCCATAGAGGAGACACAGTTCCATGAACAACAGATTCAGAGACAGTTAAATGTCAAGTAAGTTCATTGAAGATCTTTCTATATTTAACAGTATTTATTTTCCCTGATCTGGCTCAACCTTTTCATTTTACTTATTCTGACTGGGAAATCTGGTCAAAATATACAAAGGGTTTATGATTTTCAAATTTTAAACTGGGTGAAATGGAATTTTAGCTGGGAACAAATTTGGTATTTCAACTTGGTGCAAAAGGTACTCCAACTGGATGCAAATGAAATAGAGTTTTAACTGGGTGCAAATGTTTCAGCTGGGAGCAAATGAAATTACAAGTGGATAAAATGGGATTTTAACTGAGTGCAAATGTAACATCAACTGGATGCAACTAGAAATTGATCTGGGTGCAAATGGAATTTCAGTTAGGTGCAACTAGAATTTTGACTGGATGCAAATTGGATTTTAACTGTGTGCAAGTATTTTTAAGAATCTCAGTATTTTCATAGCTTTGCATCAAGGTAGACAGAATTGATACACTGTCTTCATACAAGAGTTTTTTAACCTTAGCAGATTGTCTGTTTATATTAACTTACTTCCTGTTTAGTCTGGATGTTATTCAGCATCTACAATGCTTGTGTGGCCCCCCTCTATCTATACAATAAGTACTACCACATACTCACACATATAACAGGGCATTAAGATGGAAGAAACTCGATTCAATGCCATTTTTAACCTAAAATTTCTTAGGCCTGGAAACACTTAATGGATCTGGAAATACTGTAAGGCAGAGTTTCATCAAGTTTTGAAATTAATTGAAAATTTGTTTTTCGTTGGGCCTGGTATTCTCTTAGAATAGCACTTTATCTTCATCCTTAGGTTTATCAGTTCAATGGGTCTGGAAGTCCTTCATTGCAGCAACTACTTGGCTTGAGCAAATACCTTGCATGCCATAGATGAAAGTTAAGATGGACTTTCCAATACCCTTGGCTTTTAGAATGTACAGTGTAGTTAGTATAGCCTAGCAGTGCTCATAAATAGTTCATGCTTTAAAAACCATGTTTCACCATTGCATTGATTAAACAATGCTATAGACAATTAAAGCCACTATACAAACTTTCTTAGAATGGATTGTTCTCTTTTAGCTAGAAAATGGAATGGAATGATTCTTCAGTCTAATATTACACTCAGTATTAAAGAGTGTAGTTAACATCAAGCTATTGTGAAGAGCAGTTGTTTTGTTCAAAAGTAGAAAAAATCCATTACTGCCAATTTTATCACTAGCCATTTTCCTCCATCTTGATTCGCAAGGTTTCAGTTGTTATACCCGTCTCTAGGCCCAGTGGAAAGCAATGATGCTCTTCCTCATTAATATTGAAGATTATGATCACAGCATTATCTATACCTCAATACCGTTTGTCCTTAAAACTAAAAGTGTGGTCATTAAATACTGATGAATACCCAGGTTTTTAGACCCAGATTTCAACATCATTAACACAAATGTTTCTCTATTATTTTTTAGTTTTGGATGTTTGTAAGAGTGATGGGATTCAAGATTGAAATGCAAACCACACCTCATCATGAAAATTATCAAAATGTGCAATTGCACTTATATTCTGACTTCTGTCGATGAATTACAACATACTCAATTTCAAATTCTCATTAAAAATCTGAAATGAATTAAGTTCAGACATGAAATTACAAAAATCATCACTTTTATCGCTTTGGGTCACTATACAGTATTTGTTTATTACTTGTGTTTTGTTAACGTAAACAACTATATGAAGTTGTCTTTTACATAATACTTGTACCTTTACAAAATCATAATATTTACTCGGGGTGGAAAATTTTCTAAGAGGCTCCGTTAAGGAAAAAATGACTTTATGAGCTGGATGGAATTTCTGTGTATTTTTTATTCTATTAGGGTGTCCTGCATAAGGGATTTCGCCTGCGAAGTATATAACTCTTGCGAACATATCTCAATACTGGTCCGAAGAAGACACACCTTGAATTTTTTAGAAAAAATTGGCTAAAAATTGAAACAACAATAAGTCAAAATGTTCGACTCAAACAAAGTTGTAGCTATTCTTTATCAATATTATATGTTATGTGGTGTTTTTCAGATGTTTCAGGACCTTCATTAGTGTACTTGTGTCAAGAAATGTGACATTTAAGGACAAAATTTGGCATTTTTTAATCATTTTCACTTTCACCAATAACATATAGTTTCTTATATCTTGAGTTTAATGCTGACTGGTTGTGACATTTTCGATTAAATCTGTGCTTGTACATGTGTTTTTCCATTTAAGGTATAGAAAAAGTATTGTGGACAACCAATGTTCGTATGAGAGCTTTCAGATCTCCCCTACCCCATTTATTATGGAAAATTACTGAAAAAATGAAAAAATAAAATAATTTGAAATTATAAACCTTAACAAAGTTGTAGCTATTCTATATCAATATTATGTATTATTTAATGTCTTTAGGATATTTCAGAACCTTTATCAGTATACAAGTGGCTAGAAATGAGACATTTAAGGACAAAACTTGGCATTTTTTTATCATTTTGGCTTTCAGCAGTAATATATAGTTCCTCATATCTTGAGTTTAATGCTGAATGGTTGTTGCATTTTCAATCAAATCTGTTCTTGTAGATGTCTTCTTTCATTTAAGGTATAGAAAATGTATAGTGGACAAACAATGTTCATATTAGAGCTTTCAGATCTCCCCTTCCCCAATTATTATGGAAAATAACCGAAAAATATGAAAAAATAAAATAACATGAAATTATAAACTTTAAAAAAGTTGTAGCAGTTCTTTATCAATATTATGTGTTATCTAATGTTTTTAAGCTTTTTCAGAACCTTTATTGCTATTCATGTGGCTAGAAATGAGACATTTAAGGACAAAACTTGGCATTTTTTAATCAATGCCACTTTCAGCAGTAACATATAGTTCCTCATATCTTGAGTTTTATGCTGACTGGTTGATGCATTTTTGATTAAATCTGTTCTTGTACATGTCTTCTTCCATTTAAGGTATAGAAAATGTATAGTGGACAAACAATGTTCATATTAGAGCTTTCAGATCTCCCCTACCCCATTTATAAGAAAAGATGACCGGAAAATATAAAAATATAACTTCAAATTACCAGTATAAACTTTAACAAAGATGTAACCATTCTTTATGTGTTATTGAATGCTATATTTAATGTGTCAGGACCTTCATTAGTATACTAGTGTCTAGAAATTAGACATTTAAGAACAACATTTGGCATTTTTCATCAATTTTTCATCATTTCCACTTTCAGCAATAACATATAGTTCCTTATATCTTGAGTTTTATGCCAACTGGTTGATGCATTTTTGATTATATATATATCTGTTCATGTTCTTTTCCATTTAAGGTATAGAAAATGTATAGTAGACAACTAATGTTCAAATTAGAGCTCTCAGATCTCCCCAACCCCATTTATTAGGAAAGATGAGCGGAAAATATGAAAAAATTAAAGAACTTCAAATTATAAACTTTAATAAAAAAAAAGTAGCGTTCTATATCAATATAATGTGGTATTGAATGTTATATTTAATGTTTCTTGAGCTTCATTGGTATATTAGTGTTTAGAAATTAGACATTTGAGGACAAAATTTGGCATTTCCATCATTTTCGCTGTAAGCAATAACATATAGTTCCTTATATCTTGAGTTTTATGCTGGTTGGTTGATGGATTCTTGATCAAATCTGTTCTTTTGAAATATAAAAAAAAAACAGTTTAAAATTATAAACTTTAACAAAGTTGTAGCTATTCTAGATCAATACTATGTATTATTTGATATTTTTCAGATGTTTCAGGAACTTCATGAGTATACAAGTCTAAAAATAGACATTTAAAGTCGAGTTGCAAATGGGGCGGGTATTCTGTAGCTTTGACCATAGGGCTTTTCTGGTAATAATACGTTGCAAACTGCACATGAATCTATATAATATATAATAGTTGTGTCATATAACCAGTGATCAAGCCATATTGGTTGAATTGCTTCATATCAATTGCAATGTTGTCAAAGGCTTGGTGATTTCGATATTACACCTAAGGGTGGTGTAATTAGGAAGTTCATGAAGGATAATGGGCTTGGGGATATTTTGGTAAATGCAAACATTGTGAAATGAAGAACAACCAAGAAGATGATTTTGGAAAGGATTACAAAATGGTAAGTTAATTGTCTTTGGTTTGTGAAGCAATGTTACTGTATCTTTAAAATGGGTTGAATTTCACTTATGATAGTTGCAACTTATAGACAATCTATTTAATACTGATCGTGAAAAAGTTGACACTCTCCTTATGGCCCATGGTTACTACAGTGCCGCAGACAAGACAAAGGAATTCAATGTTAAGCGAATTTGTATTCAGTCTGTTGATACAGAATGTTGATTGCAAAGAAGGATGAGAGTTAAAAAGAGCTCTTAAAGTTTCTTGAATGATTTGAAGTGCAATACAGGATATATTCTGTTCGAGAAATTTTGTATTGAAATAAGACGAAGTCGAGTGCCAATACAGAATATCGAGACAGAATATATCCTGTATTGCACTTCAAATCATTCAATAACATTTTTATCGTGTGATCCTCTGTATTGCTCCTGAGATTGTCCCCTTCGTACCAATATTTTTTCTGTATTGCGACAGAGATGATCAACGGGGACAACCTCAGTAGCAATACAGATTGGTACAGCACAAGAACTGACCAATCAGAGGGCTTCATTTTACAGATCATACGATAAAAGTGCACATTGTTGGACAATATTTTAGGATGAGTTTCTCAGAACTATAAAATTATTTAGAGATCTTACATATCTGAATATAGCTTGTGTTGTCATGAGCAACTTAGACATTTAAAATGACTGAAATGCAGCTCTAACATAGAACCAGGGAGATTTGAAAAATCAGGCTGTTGCTGGATTACGTTTGAGAGTTGTGAACAATCATGTTAACAAATAGACATATTCTTTGATTCATATGAGAGTAAAATGTGAAATTACAAAATTATTTTGTACTATTCTGCTTTTGAGTAAT